TTTTGTTGGATTCGCGACTGGTTAGCAATGTTGGGAAATGGGCGTTATGAATTTTTCATTCCGCTTTTGGTGGCGGGGAAGGGCTTTCTTCGTTGTAATTCGGGGTAGAAGTATGAGACTCTTTCAACCCAGGTGCGTCTTCATTTCCCCCCTCTTCTACCTAAACCATACCGATAAAACCACAACTAAACCAAAAAAAAAGCTTGCAAGCCTCTGTGTTGCTGCCATTGCATGGGGATGATAGGAAGGAAGACCATCCTTTCAGGCATACCTGGTTGCCTTATCACTATTACACCGGAATACCATGCCGAGACAAACACTGTTACAGCAAAAGGACATCCACCTCGTACTAGTTAAGGTAACAACCCCTTGAAGCAAGTCAGTTGGGGCATCCTAGGACCTCTAGCGCTTACACGGCTATTACACAATGTCTTCGATCGATGCTGTTCCTCACCGCAATCCTGGTTTGTTTGGCTGTTCAGTGTGGCACCTTGACTGGATAATATTCTCCGTTGAATTCTCACAATTCCACAAATTCGGGATGCGAAGCCCTCCTTAGAAGTGGAAAAGACCTGCAAACCTTCCCGAGACCTGAAGCTGTTATGCCTTTGAGGGCCTACGGATGCGTTCAATGTCTCATCCCCCACTGCAGATCAAAAACAGACCTTGGTAAGGATGCAGCGTATTGAGATTGAAAGCGGATGAACCAGCGGCTATTTTTCATCTTTCAGGTGTCCATATGCCAGGACATGAAGTGTGTTCTCTGGTCTACCTAAGACATCGCAAGCGTATTTGCTTCCCACGTTTCATACCCACGCACTAAGTATCTCAGCGGTCACTCCACTACATCCGCTTATACACCACCAAATATTCAGATACGTCCCTTGTCACGAAGACAGCCGTTGGAGATTTTTCGTATATCCAGTTAATGTTTTCAATAAGTTGCAGCCTTCCACGCACCTCATGCTGCCACCTGCTCAACACAGGAGCGCAGGTGACTGCCATCAAACCCCCCTGTCTGTTCCAGCGGGACGGTCCGAACCGCGCTGTTGGTAAACGCACCCTTGGCACAACCCCAAGATCCCTAGCAGCGGCCACGGTGATCATCATCAAAGCGAACTCGCCACACTTCCGAATGGAGGCCAGTTCTTCTCCCTTTTGGAGTCAGAAGGTTCAAGCGCCGTCCCGAGTGCCTGGTAGTTGGTAAATGAATCGTAAAGTTGTTGTTCCGAGTCATTCTGCTTGTCCAGCCTGTCAGTTGTAACGGGTTGAGCTCGTGACCAGCAGAAAAGCTCGTTGTTTTCGTTTCATTTTCCGCTTGATTGGACTATGAGCACGAGATTTTGTAAGATATCCTTCTTTCCTGTCCTTCCCTGCTATCCGCTCTTCTAGATTCGGTTTATGAGACCCATCATCACAATCCAGCTATTGTTAGCGCGGTGGTAACTCGGTGTTTTTAGCGATCGTTCACCGACATAATTCGGCGTTGCACCGCCCGATGTGCCCACTCCGCTGACTCTTGCGATAACAGGTCCTAAATTTCTAGACTCGACGATATAGTGTCGATTGGTGACTGCCGTGGTTGAGATGACCCTTGGTCAAGCAACAATGGGGTGATGCGAAATTGCCACGGCAATGAAGGTACCTTCCCGCCTCGTGTGTTGTCACTCTTTGGGGTTTCTTCAACCAGTTGTGTGGCTTCAAGTGGTGTACTGACAATTGTGGCCTTATATTTCTTACTCTTCTGCTCTTCTGGACCAGTCTCATCGGATTTCCTCTTCTGTTTTGCGATACCCTCGTTCTCAAGCTCGGAACATTGTAGCCGTTCAGGGGGCAGGCCTTTCTGAATGACACAAGACAAAATCCTGCACTGGACTTCATGGGATGACCACACATCGTATATCTCGGTGAGTCCCGGAAGAAGTGATGCTGATGAGACAGTGACGTTGCAGAAAAGACTGCCCCCCAGTGGAGCAGAAGCTTTGATACCATCACAAGCTTGAGAAGTATGCTTCAACGAGCCTTCGAGCAGTTTGTGGTTTAACTCGAGCCAAGTCAAGTAGCGTATGGGCCATCTGATAGATGGGTAGGAGTTGAAGATCCGATTAAGGAATTTGCATATGTCAGCGAGGTTGTCTGACATTGACCGTGTCCATCCATGTCTGAGGCAGAGCAAATTTCGCAACTCGTTTTCTGAACGCACAGGTGGCTCTCGATAGCGTTCGATTGCTTTTGGATCAGAAAACCAACTTGGGATGGCTATGGTTTGATAGTCGTTATCTTTGAGAAAGGCTCGAGAACGGGCTTGCCTTTGGGAGGTCAGCGTTGTCAGGTTACTGACTTTCAGAGCGTCGAAGTGTGACTAATCATTTGTTCCTCTCCAACCGGCCCTCGTCATTTTTGACAATATCCCACATCGTCCTAGCCAGCTGCTTGGCCCTTTGAGCGATTTCGAGCGCAACGTCATGCTCGATTCCCGGAGGGCCTCTTGCATATTCGCATCCCCCGAGAAGGAGTCCCAGAATAAGGCTCGACGAGTCAGGATCCCACTGCTGAAGCAAAGCCACAGCGTCGTGCTTGTTCACGACTTCGTCGATTATACCTGCACCCCTCCGGTGGCGATTCTGCTCTTTGAATAAGACGATATCTCGGCATTTCCATGCGAGAGCCACGCTGTGGTTCGTCCAAACCGCATCGACGATGCCCAGCTGATGGAGCTTAACACATGTGGGGGCTGCCTCTGCAGGCGCCTGATGAAAAGGGACACCAAGATGGTTCAACAGGTCTTTGAGCAAACGTATACTGTCCGGCTTGCTTGGTTTTGAGGCATGCTCGAACCGAATGTAACGATCTGGGCCATCGAAGACAAAAAGAAGATGTATACTTGATTTAAGCAAGTTCATGATCTGATACATGATGACTTTCTCGACCACATAAGCTTCGCAGGGTTCTGGTAATGTCAGGTGTTAGCATTCTGCATTGTCAAAGCTTAATGTTGGGCGTCCAGTGGAACAAACTTTGGCGTAGCCAGTTGATCCTCGGATCATTCTGAAAGTGATGTTGCCAATAGTGTACGTCAATGGCTAACCTTAATGGCCGATCGTGTTGCTGGAAATGAGCGGCTGACCATTTTGCCAGTTCCAAACTAACGCCCGGAGGAGCGACATCTCAAGAACTGCGCAAGTCAGCGTGGGTGCTTGTAAAACGTTGCTTCAAACATGAGTGTAGAAGAACCGACCTGCGGGTAGGCTTGGACTGTGAATACTCGTTGTCCAGCATACCGGAAGTATTCGGAGCCCCTAACGTACACGAATTCCTTGACGCTGGAGGGCTCACATGGAGCTGCTCGAATATAAAATAACAAGGACCATTCGACTACAAGAAGGCCAGCGGGGGTCGGGATCCGGGAGATCGTGGGTTGGTCTCTCGCCGAACACGTTCGGATGAAATGGCGAGGCTGTTGAAATTGTTGGACTTCCATCTTAACCCTTTTCGGGTGATGCCACCATTAGACTCAAGTTTCCTGTGTTGTAGGGATAGATAGAATGGCACCTGCCACGATTTCTTGCACATGCCCGTTCATACATGATCTCCTCTGATGGTTCCTTCCCATGAAGATCCGGTACCAAGACTCGCTTCATGCCAAACTTGCCGGTTGTACCTCGCAGGGGTTTACCCAACCTGGAGGTCATTCACCAGTGCTTCTCGTTGATTGACACTTCGTTGACATCGACACCTTCCTTGAACCAACGCTCTTCTTCCGCAATTTTCACATCATTCCCGCTCATCTGCCGCTTCCTCATGAGGCCATTGTCGGCAAAAGTCCAGTCTTCAAGACCGTATGTCCGCCACCACTGACCGGACTTGTCATACCACTCGTACCAAAACTGAACGGCGATCTGGCTCCGTGGACACAAAGATTAGCTCTGGGTAGTGACGTTGCTTCTGGCCGGCCGCCATCGGGAAAATGGACTGACTTTGTTGTCCGTGAAAGCGAAGAGCTCCTTCCTCAAGCGATAGCCATTCTCTCTTGACCATTTGTTCTTCAAGAACTCAACGATCTCGTGGCGTCCTTGTAGGAAGGTATCGCGGTTTCTCCAGATGGAGTCTGGAGTGTAGGCCATCTGGACGGCCTCCGCATTTCTCAAGAGTCGACAAATGTCAGCCAACAACAATTGGATCTCAAGCAGATAGCGATGTTAGTCACTTTGTGTTCCACGCATCTTGCGCGGCCTTGACTTTGATCTTGGCAGTTTCGGCCGTGAACGGCGGAAATGGGGGCTTTGACTCGGTTGCCATGGCGACGGGTAAATGATATGAAGGTATCACAACAGGGGTAGCAGGAAACTTGAATAAGCGTGGGGAACAGGAGGGGCGGACGATCCTCGATTGATATCCAGATGGTCCTTGAGCGAAGGACAATATGATCTGGGAGACAAACGATGTAGAAAATTGACCCTCGATTTGTATTTAACGTCGGTCATCGCAATCTAGTGACTATGACCCCCAGGTCGTACGTGCTGACGGCAGACGGCAGACGGGAGTCATAGACGGATCCGAGCCGGCGGGGTTCGAGCTGTTACAGCTCGGTGCGAGACACCTCTTTCGGCCAAGCCCTTGGTTTAGCGACAAGCAGGCACATATAATTGAGTAATCATGGTTTGAGTGACAGTAAGAAAATGTATGACTGTCTCAATGACGGGTTCGCGAGCGTTGATAGTGTGAGAAGAACCAGGAGAGCGGTCTCTGCACTATGCGTTCAAGGGACATCAAGGACCTCAGGGCAACTTGAACACCGAGATGAAACCGAGAGAAGCCACCTCAAGAGGCACTTGCATAGGGTAGACACGGGACAGCCTCCATCCTTCGCATTGGCGGTTTCCCTTTTCTGAATTTCACCGTAAGGGGAAAGAGAAGGGGAGGGTATGAGCCGCTCTCGGAGATGAGGAACCTCGAGGACAATCGATCGGTGGTCGGCCGGCCACACAAGAAACCGTGAGCTTTTGGAAATGGAAGAAAAAAAGAATGAGCAAAAGGCCATTCAGCCGCTTCTGATCAGTCTCGCACGGCATGCAATGAAGCTGGGCGATCGCGCAATCCAACAATCTTCGAGCTACGAGGTCTGTCCCACTTTGACGTGACAATGGAGAGGAACCGCAAACCCGGGAAAGTGATGGCGTTCACTGAGGAGAGACTGAGAAAGGGCACCTTAACGGCCACCCTTTTCAGGGCAACTGATCGGAGGTCTCCACTGTCGATGGCTTCCGGTTGATGTTACTGGAGGCTTCGCAATGGTTCCTGCCCGCCCGGACGGAGAACGGAGAACCCCTCCAAAGCGACCCCGCTGTGATTGGAAATGCGATCTGATAACAACACATCAGCTTCAAGTTCTTATAGCTTCGTCAAGCTTTCAATTCCATCACCAAAACATTCACACATCTTGTCTTCTCTGAAAAACGAACGAACTCAATTTCTCACGAACTTCAGACTCCCAAAAAAACAAACAATACCAACAACATGTCTGCTCTCAAGGCCGGTGATTCTTTCCCCGAGGGTGTTACCTTCACTTACGTCGCTCCCAGCGGCGACACCGACCTCACCGTCTGCGGTCTTCCCATCCAGTACGATGCCAGTAAGGGTAAGCAACACCTCATCGATCCTCTCACATTCGCATCATGATACTAACGCAGCTTCACCCACAAAGAGTTCGCCAACAAGAAGGTCGTCCTCGTCGCCGTCCCCGGTGCCTTCACCCCCACCTGCCAGCAGCAGCACGTCCCCTCTTACCTCGGCAAGCTCGAGGAGTTCAAGGCCAACGGTGTCGACCAGATCATCTTCATTGCCAGCAACGATGCGTGGGTGATGGCCGCCTGGGGCAAGGCCAACGGTGTCAAGGATGAGTCTATTGTGAGTGATATTTCACGTACCTCCTGGCCCTCTCACAACCTATAGCTGACACACAACGAACGATTAGCTCTTCATGTCCGACGCCGACTGCAAGTTCAGCAAGTCCATCGGCTGGACCCAGGGTGACCGCACCAAGCGTTATGCCATTGTCATTGACCACGGCAAGGTTACCTACGCCGAGTTGGATGAGGTGCCTAAGAGCATTGCCAACACTGGTGCCGAGGGTGTCCTGGCTAAGCTCTAAATAGTTAGGAAAAGGGGGAGCGGAAAAGCCAAGGGGGATAAACAAAACAAAGACGCATAGTAATGGTATCACTGGCAACACGTTCATATAGAAATATAATGGGAACCAAACATATGTCAAGGGGAGACGCGATGGTGATCGCGGGAGACTCTTGTTGTGACTGGGTATCCGTTTGATAGAGTATCACGACGTATAGAGAAGTAGAAGCCGCGTGAAATGCCTTTTGCCCGCTGAACCGTTCGCCGTGCAGCGTTATATTATGATTGCCAGATCCCCGTTCCTTCGTCCCAACGGCCCCGAAACTGTCTCTCGCCTCCCTAGTATCACAGGGAGGTGGGATATGTGTTTTGTTCGTTCTTGACCAATGCATAAGTCGGCATTCTGTTAAGCTACCCATGCAAAGCGTTTGATGTCAATATCCGTTGGACGCAGGGATCCATGCAACCGGCCCTCCCAGAAACCAAGCTGTTGTATTGTTTTCGTTAAACGAGACGAAAACCCTCCAGCTGAGTGCAGGCAAAAAAAAGAACCGAGAACCGACCAGACCGACTCCGCGTATCCCTTCCAGCTTGCCACGCAGGACCGTAAAGACATTCCATTCTCCCATTCACATCATCGTGTCCCCCGACCGACAAGACCGCATTTAACGGGAGTTGGCGGCGACCTTGACGTGCGCACCCTTGGCACCCTGCTTGGAGGTGACACGGCCCTTGGGGTTGGCGGCGTTCTTGGCCTTCTCAGCCTTCTTAGCGGCCTGAGACTCCTGCTTCTTGGCCTTGGCGTCCTTGATGGCAGCGAGGCGGGCGGCGGAGCGGGCCTCGGGGCGCATGGAGCGGCGCTCCTTGATCACATCGAGGGAAGCACCGACGATGGCACGCTGAGCCTTGACGGTACGGCGGGAGCGCTTCTTGGCAACCTCCTGTAATGGGTGTCAGTCATCTGCATCGCGCAACGGTTTCCCCCCATCAATCCCCTTCACTTGATTGCGCGCGCGTTCCATATCCCCGTATTCGCGATATCCATCTCCGTCATAATCTCGAGGTCTTCGATATTGTTTCGGCGGAATCGGTAGAATAGGGGGCTGGTAACGGTGTACGCAACGGGTGAAGAAGAATGGGCCCGAGTGCGGATATATGGTTTCTTGCGTACCTCAGAGATACCCTTCTTGTGCTGGCGACGGTAGAGGACGGTCCAGGCGATACGGCGGGGGTTCTTGCGCTGGAGGAAAAGCGACTCGGACTTGCCGTTCTGGAAACGGAAGATCTTGCTGTCGCCACGGACGTACAGCTTACCCTAACGGTTTCAAAGAAAACATGTCAGCACTTTTGGTCACGGTTGGCCTGTACATCCATCCCTTCTCTTGTTGTTCTTGTTGGTCCTTCATGACCCCCCTCAATCGAAATTGTCGTTGGCGTCGCGGGGACGAGATCCGTCAATTTCCCTCCCTCGCTATCGCAAAATCGGTCGCTCCCCCAAATCCAAGACCAAGACCATTTCCCCACGGGTTCAGATCCCGGTCGCATTTTCCAGCCGGAAATCATTTTGGACGGGCAAAAAACGCGTACCTTTCCAGGGTAGATCCTCTGGCCGGAGAAGGTATCGTCGTACGTTCTCATTGTGGCGGTTTGCTGTCGAGATTGTCGGTTGTCGGGAGATGCTTCCTCGAAGGTGCAATGTTCCAGCGTCGATTTTCCTCAATTTCTTTCCGCAGCGAGGTTGTGCGATAGGGCTGCCCTGTGATAGGCTGGATGCACGGACCATAGTGTCCACTCCAGCACTGGGGTGGCTCAAGTGGGCTGGCAGCGGGCTGGCAACACGGGCAGATCTCAATTGCCGCCACTTATTTGCCAGCTGGTCCGGGCTGTAGGACGTCATCTTCTAGCAAATTGATAGGCAATTCACCATCAACAACGAACATGAGCTATCACCTCCGGGCGCAATGCATCACCATTATAGCTGGCGGGCTTGGAAAGATGCACTCGTAATGCCGCTTTGGGACTTTCCTCGGATTAGGCTGTTTTTTTCGTGATTTGTATTTGGTGTACCCAGTCTGCTTGATTATTTGGCTGCACTCCCACCTTGAACAATGGCCATCGATTCATCAAGTGCTAACCCCAACCCTTGTCATGCGACATGTGCTTCGTCGTAAGAGCTTGGAGGATGTCCCAAAAGTCGTTCTTTCCCGCTCGCCCACACTTAACACAACACCATTTTACACCATCTCTCATAAAAAGCTAGAATGGCTGATGCAGACGCAATAGCCTCTGCTGTTCATGAAGAGTTCAGCAAACTCCCCGCTAAACGAAAGCCCAGTGTCCGCGACAATGGTCTTCATGAATGGGTTCCCATGGCCGGCATCGTAGCCAAAGGTTGTAGTTGTATGTCAAACGGAGTTTCATACTCTTAACTAACACGATCTCTAGGCCCAAACGGACTGAAATGTGTAGCTTTGGCGTAAGTACGTACGATAGGCTTCTGAGGCCGTTTGAGTGTCTAATGTGCCTCATGATCACGGGAGGTGGTTCGTTCTGTTGGTGAAGCTAAAGATGGATTGTTGGTCCTAGAACTGGTATGAAGTGCCTTCCAGCATCCAAGCTGCCCAAGCTAAGGGAGTGACCATCCATGACTGGCACGCCGAAATACTGGCCATACGAGCTTTCAACCGGTTCGTTCTCGAAGAGTGTAAACACCTCGCTCTTCAGGGGGATGGTGCCTCGCAGTCCGAGTTCATCTACCGAAGGACCACAGTACAGCATGGGGACCAGGAGCAACAAGCAACAAAAACCGTGTGGCAAAGACAACCATTCGCCTGGAGAGAAGATGTGAGCTTGCACATGTACTGCTCTGAAGCGCCTTGTACGCGTGTCCACTCCCAAAACTTGGTCATGACTAACACCACTACACAGGCGGAGACGCAAGCATGGAACTGATCATGGCCGCCCAAGACGATGCCTCGCCCTGGGAGATTCCCTCCCCAGGACCAGGAGATCTACCAACCCAAGCACAAACACCAGCACCGGTGCCAACAGACAACACCACCGCCCCCCTCCCCGGCCGCGCCTACTTCTCCCAACTCGGAATTGTCCGCCGCAAGCCCTCGCGCGGCGACGCCCCACCGAGTTTATCCAAGTCCTGCTCCGACAAGCTCGCCCTGAAGCAAGTGACCTCGCTTCTCTCCTCTCTCACCAGCACGCTAGTCTCGCCTACGAACGCATACCTGTCCAGCGTCATCTTGCCCGACTATCAGTACTCCGCTGCAGCATGTAAGAGGTGTTTTTCTTCTTCTGTTACTGATGGGGGAAGAATGGCGCCTTTACTTGATGCCAGCGCGAGCGCGAGGCTGGAGGATGCGGGATATGCGTTTCGGGAGTTTAGGGTTGAGACGACGGGGATGGAGTTTGCATTTTCTAGGAAGGCTATACTTCCCTCCGGTTCTTCTTCGCCAGACACGGCGGAGACGAAGAAGCTCATAGCAAGTAACCTCGCTACTTCATGGACTCTCAACGGTCCACGCGATGGAGAGGGCCTGGTGGGTGGCGTGTTGCAGGGCCGGAAGCAGTTTGATCTGCGGGGAGCCAGTCTGATGTCTCGGCGGAAGATGTGGGCTTTGGCGAGGGAGGTTTGCTCGGCGACGGGGCTCGAGGATGATGGCGAGATCAAGCGGGTCTTGGGAAGTATGGACCTTGTTTATGATGAGATCAAGAATGGAAGTACCTTGCTTCAGGGGAGACGAAAGGCAAAGGAAGAGGCGAAGAGGGTGGCGTTGAAAGGGTGGGTGAGGAATACCGGGGACGGGGGCTTTAAGCTTGAGTAAGAGGGATGTTGAGATGGGAGTTGGGGAGTACACTACTGGCTGAGAGATATGGAGTCATCATGTACAGTATGTACGAGTGGCATGCAGATCACACTTCGATGCAAAGCATCTCTCATCTGCTAACCATCTTGGTCGCGTTGTATAGACCATGATCCTTCATTCTTACGCGGATTTTGGAAGCTTTTAACGGTTCCTTGGCAGTTGTTTTGATTTGGTTATTTACACCTTTGATCTAACGATGTAGCATATGCCATTCAGATATCCATCACTCCAACCACAGCCTTTCTCCGTAGAGTCCCGGAGCAAAAGCGAGATGGACCAAGACGATTTCACACGCCTTTCCCCCTCATTGCTATATGTGCCAAATAACATCCGTTGTCCTTGAACTAAAGCATGACGGCAAAAGTACCATCCAGATATTATTTCCCTGCTCCGCACCTAAGTAAGCCATCACAAGAAGACAATGAACGACCCAATGGCGAGTCTGAAGAGACCCCATGGTTCCCCAACGCAGCACGCCACGACAAATGTCACCGGAAATATGAAGGGGGAAGGAACCGCGCTTTTTGGGGGAATCAAACAGAGAGAGGGAGTATTTTATTTTTTTGTAATTTACTCGACCTTGCTCTCGAAGTTCTCGCCGGCAACGAGATCGGGGATGTCATCCTCCTCAGCGTCCTTCTCGTTCTTCTGCATGTTCTGATAGCTCTCAGCGAGCTTGCGGAGGGAAGCAAGGGAGTCGGGGCCGAGCTGGTTAAGGATGCCGGGGACGAGCTCAGTGAGCTCCTTGTCCTCACCGTTACCGTAGATGGCGAAGGTGTTGGCGGGGACAGCGGCGTGGACTGTTGGGCGAGAAACATAGTATGTTAGCAGACAAATTCCCCCAAGCAAAGTTGGAGCTTAGCTGTCGCATTATCAGAAGCTCGCCTGACTAAGTCGGTCATAACTCTCGCATATAAAGAGTTCTGACCCAACCCAGTTCAAGGTGGCACCTCCATATCGCGAAACAGAGGCTGGGCGTATCGGTACGTACCCTTAGGGGCGGCGAAGTGGATGACGTTGCCGTCGGACTTGAACATGTTCACCTCCTCGATGGCCTGGATGGGCTGAACATTGACCTTCTTGAGGGTGGCCTGGAGCTTCTTGTCATCGCCAGCGGAGCGGGCAGGCGCTCTCTTGACCTTTCTGCGGGGAGTACCCTTGCCACTATTTCAATTCAAAAAAAAGTCCATTGTCAGAAATCAAAAGCCCTCTCGTTTTGTCTGCATTCGCATGTTTCTCATCTCGTCTTGCGCTGGGCTCGCGGGGGGAGGTTTTGTGTGGGGGATATTCGAGGGCGCGCGCGAAAGAATGGAGGGGTAATTCGGTGCTGGCTCGTTTTTTTGTGCGTGTTGTGTGCGAGGAGCGATTGACGAGTGATATTCAAATTTCTACATACCCTAAAGCGGAGGGAAACCACCATTGTTAGCCTCTCGAACAGAACCTCAGCCTACAGGGCGGAAAAACACGGGCGACAACATACCGATACGGGCCGAGGCGCCCAACTTCTTCAAACGCTCCTGAACATCCGACATTTTGGCTGGCGGTTTGTTTGGTGATGAGAGGATGTGAGATTGATCTGTTGTGGGGAAAAAGCGAAAGGTGCGGGAGATCTCGGTGAACCTTAGAGCTCAGGGTTAGTTTGGCGCTGGGACCTCATCGAGGACCTGTGGGCGGCAGTGTGGGCTCTGGGCTTGCGGGCTGGGGGGGTTCAGGCTGCTGGCTTGGAAGAGGGGTGGTGTGTGAGCATTTCGCGGCGGTGCTGGTTGGGCAGCTGGCCCGTGCATGCTCAAAAACGTTTCGTTTAAGAATCCCTGCACCCCCGCCGGCACGTTGAGCTCATCGCATGTTTCGAAACAGTCAAATAAACAAGATAGCTATACCATCATTAGCTATTGGTGAGCCTCAGAGTTACGTGTGAACTATACACTGTTCGCTTGGAGCCTGCTTGTCATCAGCTTGTGGAACAAGTCATATGTGCCAGACCTGGGATATCTCTTCCTATTCAGCTAGAGGCACCGCATCAAATTTTTACCCCACCTGCCTTGCTGCTCACCTTGGCCTTTCTTATTCACCGAGAAAGTGAGCTCCCCTCACCTTGAGACTTGACATCATCACCTGTTTCTGTTATGCTAGTCCTCAGAGGTCCATACCTGCGAACATGTTTCTTAAATGTTGCAAGCTTCACTGAGTTTCAAACAGATGGGCTGTAACATGTCTTTCCCTTATTTCCAGAGCAGAGCAGCAGCATTGTAGTGTTGACTCGGAAGCAATTGTGATATTACACCTCAGTAACCGTGGTGTTCAGGACCAAAAATGATCAATCCCTCTCATTGAAATTCAGAGTACCCTTTTGAACGCCTTCTCTTTCAGAACCCATTTTATGAATACAGAGTTTGTACAGAACCATAGTGATACAGCCCAAGGCGCCTGATTATGCCCAATGACTGCCCCTCAAAAGGGTCATTGATCACTCCCTCAACGTGAGCTAGCCTAACCACTTTACTTCTCAAGCGGAAGACCGGCCTCACGCCTCATAGCCTCTTTCCTAGCCTTCACCTCCTCTGCCAACGCCAGGCTCTTCTGCACCGACGCCCTCTGCTGTCTCTCCTTTTCCTCGGCCTCGGCCTGAACCGTCCAGACTAGAGAAGTCAAAGTCAGCAAGCACACTCATTCATCTCACTCATCACACCCAACTTGGTATTCCCGTCTTGCCTCCTTCCTTGTCTCCCTCCCCATCTCCATAGCCCACTCCATCCCCATCGCCATCCCCATCGCCATCCCCATCGCCATTCCCATCGCCATCTCCATCGCCATCCCCATCGCCATCCCCATCGCCATCCCCATCGCCATCCCCCATCGCCACCACCCACATCTACAACCCAACAGAATCACCAACTAAGGAGCGGGTAAAAGGACCACACAACCAAAAAAAACTAAAAAAAAACTTACTCGGCTTGTCACTCTTGGAGTACTCCTTCAGCTTAACAACAAAGTCGTCAAACTCCTGCTGACGCTCGAACCTGCGCTCCAGACTTCTCTTCTGCAGCTCCGGGTTGTACTTCTGGAAGAGCTCCTCGTCTGTCGGGGTGAGCCAGTAGGTGAAGGCGGGACCGCCGACGCAGATTGCTGCACCACTGTTCATTTCGTCCATGCAAGTCAGATAATGTCTCTTTCTTGTTGCAATTTATGAAGAGAAAGAAAGAAGATAGAAAAGGATGATTCATTCTTACCCCATCAACATCTTGGTCCAGAGCCACCAGTTAGTTGGCTTTTTGGCGGCCATTTTTTGCTCAATGTGATTGCTTGCGTGCTGGTGATGGAGGAGATGGTTTGATTTGATTTGATGCCAAGACTTGAGATGACTGCTACCAATAACGGAGCAGAGAAATATTGGGTTGGATCGGCTTTGATAAGAACAACACAGATGAGGTGCCTAGTTGCTCGTGTTAGTGAAGAAAGTATATCGATTCAGGTGAAAGTCCGGTACGTACTGGTTATCAAAGTGACGTCGTCAATGACAGGTGAGCTCAAGTCTGAGCTTCTCAAAGGTTCGTCGGTGTTGCTTGAGTGCAGGCAGGCAAGGAAGCACCAACCGGCAGGACCGAAAAGCGGGGATATGCGGCAGAATGTCCACCAGCTGCGTGGTGTGGCTGACCGAGGTGAGCGATACAAACGGGTTATGGAAATACCAGTACATGTAATTTACGGTACCTGTGTGAAAGTTTGGTAAGAAACACCAGAGATACATGTCATCGTTATTATTGTTGATGCCAGCCACGATGAGTCAAGAAATCCTTTGAACCTCAGCCTCGTATATCTAATACAATCTCCATGAATACCGCCAGCTAAAACCATCTAAGCTTGTTACACATCATATTATCGCACCATGAACTATCGTCCAATCTCGTATCTACAGAGCACGGTTGACCGTTCCCCAAGCCCTCTGCTCTCTCTACTCACCCAAAACCCCATAGCTCTTAACCCGACTGAAAAAGAACGGCTTATCATGTTTCAGCGTAAACTCGCCCCAATCATCCGTCATCCGATCATAGTTATAGAACCCCCTCCACACAAGCTTATTATTCTTAGCCCCCATCTTCCCCGCCGACTTGAGCGTCAGATCCAAGCGGTAGATATACTTGCCCACGCCCTCGGTCTCAACGATCAAATCGCCTTCGATCTCGTTCAACGGTGCGGCCGGGCTATCCGCCGCCGAAGTCAGCCGCCAGCGGCCCTTGAGGGCGTACTGCATCGGCGCGCTGGGTAGGTGCGAAGGAACGGCGTTAGCGTTCGTGGCCTTCTTACCAGCGTGCAGCGCCACGGCCTCGCGGGTGAGGTGATAAACGACGTCGGCGGGCTCGGAGGTGGTGAGCAGGCTGATGGCGGTGCCATCGCGGAAGAAGCGCAGGTAGCGGTAGTAGGTGACGATGTGCACGGGACTGCCCCAGGTGGTGGCGTTGGCGCTGGCCTGGCCGGCGCGGATGTAGTTGACGGTGCTGATGTAGCAGCCATTGAAGCGGATGCGGGGACGGAGACGCCACATGCGTAGCCAGCTCGAGTTGTAGAGGGTCTTGTACAAGGCTAGGGTGGTGGCTCGTGATTCTTCGTAATGCTTTTCTGTTCGCTGTTCAGGAGTCAGGGGGAGCAGCAGGGAGACATCTGGGCTCTCTGTGCTTTCATCATCTTCGGCGGCAGCATCCTCACCGAGCGCCGCGGCTTTCTCTGCTCGGGCTTTCTCCTGAGCTTGCATTTGCTCCTCGAATTCGGTCAGAAGGTCTTCCTCCGTCAATGGCTCCCAGGTAAGTTGCCGTTGCCAGTGATAGTGCATGGCACCAAACCCAAACTCGTCACCCAAGCAAATACGTCGCCAAATCCTATCTTCGGTGGCGACCAGGAAAGCGAACTTCTTGCAGACTTGCGCAAGACGGACAAAGTCGGCAACATCTAGTATCGCCACGTCGCGCAAGATGTGAACTAGAAGCTCTTCGGGAAGAGACGCCATAGGGCACGGAGGTGGCGGCATTCCTTCTATGGGAGGACCGGCCGGCTCGATGGCTAACCCCGCGAAGCTGTTGATCAGCTCCTTCATAGTCTGCGGCTGTTCTGCCGGTGTCGATGCAGCAGCAGCACTCTCTGTACCACCAGCAGTTCCAGGGGTTGCCGCTGGCGGTTTGGCCTTTTGTTTTGGGAAATATTTGTTTCTGTATTTCTGATCCACGCTATCATCCATCTGTGAACATCACTCGGTTAGCCGAATTATGGACGGATAAAAGCAGAACTTTGTACGACCCGGAAAACTGCTTGAAGACATACCCTGAAGGCCTTCCTGTACAGCTTCAAACTATCACCCAAGCTACCCGCCGCCTCCCTCTCCACAGCCTTCTCATAGTGATCAAGAGCCGTCACCGGATCTTTCATGACCTTGTTCGCCGTCCATCCCCCTTGTGTCGACGTGGACGGCGCCGCAGCTCCATCGTTCGGTGCATCGAACGATCTCGGCTGAACATAGTCGTCTTCATAATCCTGGCGTGGTGCAACAACCTTTTTGGCCGGTGCCGGCGGAGGCTTCCGGGGATGAAGATGATGTTCTGCTGCAAGCTCGGCTACGGATACTGTCGTTTGTTGTTGTTGTGGTTGCTGAGAAGAAGAAGAAGATGATGAAGCTTGGGCTGTTGGCTGTCTTGCCCGGACCTCTGCTCTCCATTGCTCACGGAAAGACTCAAGGTCAGGGTTGGCTTCCCCGGAAGTATCCATTTTGCTTAATGGCGGCGATTAGAGTGGTGAAGTGAAACCAGAGTGCAATGAAAAAGGTAAGGGAAAACTGAGATCGTGAATTATTCAGCAAAATATATTATGTAAGAGGACACGGTAAAAAAAGGTACATCGGTTTGTTCATTCGTTTGGGCTGTCGTAGCAAAGGTAGTTGTATCAGAACACATTAGAATCGCCGTGATCTCATCCAATGAGAATTGACCGCCACGCTATTTTCTTAATATTTAATGACATTAAGAGAGATATGTACTGTTATGTACGGCGAGATGGAGGAAAGTGATGGGTTGGACGGAAGTGGTTGTGTCATTCGGTGAGTTGTTGTCGTTGATTCGGCAGTCTCGAGATAAGATAAGCACTTCCAGTGTGAGGTGGCGGCGTGCCAGATCGGGAACAAAGCCGCGGTACTTGGCCCGTGTACAGATCGCCAAGAACGTCATGGCAGTTGCGAGATCGGAGTCTTTTTTCCAGACTCTTGCGGTTGTACACTAATATGAAGATACAAAGGTATCTGCGTAGTTGCTACGGCCGGCTCAGGACTTGACAAGATTGGGCACTATCAAGTGCGATAGGTATCATCTCTTGTATGGGATGTAATAACTCATCTGAACCCCCTCGTGGGAGATCATACCTACACACGAGCGAAGCAGTGGATTGTGAATTTGTTTCATATTCGTCCGAAGCAGTGAACCGCTTATTGGAGGCCACATAAAGAGCCGAAATGCAACAGTCAACTCCATTTCTGATGCTATGTATGCGTGAAAAAGACATACCGGTGCTGGAAGAGCCTCTGAAAGATACTCATACAGTACAGCAATGCCATGATGTTTTTGTGTATCCCTCACTTCGCTTGCACGTAATGACGTTTATCGATATCCCCTCCCTACCATAAAACCCAGTGTAACCATGAAAAAGACAACTAAACACCTTATTCCGCTGCTCCGTGTGACGCTTTCCAGATAGATGAAACCCCCCTTTACAATGCAGCTTGTTTATGTATGAGGACAACACCATACGTTTTTCGTGTGATGAATATACCGAGAAACAACAAATGACCTTGGTCATGTCGAGAAGTGAATTCAATTCCTGATTCAAGTATCACAGAACAACCAATGCAGCCAAACCTAGTGGTGATGATGGCCATCAGCATCATGAGAATGGGTGCTCTCCGGCCTCGACACGTCCGGCACGACACAGCATCCCCGACCAGAGCAATCCTCCACGCAAGCAAGCAGACAGTTCCCATCCGCCTTGCCGCATCCGGGAAGCGAAGACGTTGCGCCGTCTAGGCGGGGCGAGGTCGCGGCCTCCTCGGTATGGTTGTGTGTCGCGTCGAGGCAGTACTCGGGCTGGATCGTGGCGCTGTGGATCCCATAGTCGTGCAGGCACTGCCGGACCTGCCTGGAGAGATCCATATACTTGTCACCGCCGGCCGCCGAGATGGGGAAGTCCACCTGGATGTGCAACGAGGCAACGAAGCTTGTGTCGTCCAGCTGCCAGACGTGAACGTGGTGGCAGCTGACTACGCCCTCCAAGTCTTGGATGTCTTCCCGGATTTGCTTGAGATCGATGTGCTCGGGTGTCGCCTGGAGCAAGATCTTGGAAGCCGCAAGGGTAAGCGGGATGGCTGAGCGGAGGATGATCATGGTGATGAAGAGCGAGACGGCAGGATCGGCGTAGAAGCGTCCAGGCCAGTTCGTGAGCCAGATAATCAGGGCTGTGGCAATGACTCCTACGTTACCCAAAGCATCTCCAATGACGTGAAGAACCATGGCGTTCATGCCCATGTCAGCATGGTTATGTCCGTGTCCACTCTTGCTTGCCTTCTTCGGCTTGGTGTGGTTGTGCTCGCGGTGAACGTTCGAGTTCCGTCGCCCCTTCTTTGGCGAAGATGAGTGCGCGCCGTACTGGTGATTGTGTCCATTCGATCCTCCGATGAGCGGTGTGTTTTCGGTGTTGGTATCATCATGTCCGCCGTTTTCGTTGTCGGAGCTATTCTCACTGCTGGAAGACTCCTCAGGCTGGGACCTGCTAGCATCAATAATCTCTTGCCGGAAGCTAGCCGGATGAATGTTCATGTCCTCGATGCTCGTGAAGCGGGCGTGTCTGGCGTTGCTCGACTTGCGGGTCCTACCCGTCTGGTGACTGTGCGCATCGCCCGTTGCTCCTGCGCGTCCTTCCTCGGCGATCGCGCTGTTCTGATATCCGTGGTCGTGCTCGTGAGCATCGGCGTGGCTATGCGCATGTTCGTCGTGACTGTGAGCGTGGCCGTGATCGTGGTCATGGTCATGATCGTGTCCTCCGGGCCCGTGGGAGTGGCCATGTCCGCCGAGAACGACGAAACCAACGAGGTTCGAGGCAAGGCCAAGCGATCCGACAATCAAGATCAGTTTCGGGTTTTCGATGGTGGGCGGGTCGATGAATCGGCCGAGGGCTTCGAGGATGATGGAGACGCAGAGCGCAATCAGAAATACGGCGTTGAAAAAGGCACCGAGTATTTCCGCGCGCAGCCACTATTACAGTCGCACCCGGTCAGTAAAGGATTATGGAACCAGGGAATAACACCGGACCGCAAAAGACTTACGCCGTAGGAGAACTGATCTGTTGTCGCCCGCTTGGTCAAGGAAAGAGCCCACAATCCGACAAGTAAAGAAATGATATCGTTTAGCTACAGCACATGGCACTTGAAGTTAGTCACCAAGCCTGTTGTTTTATGGGGGATATGATTCGGCGATTTCCCAGTGTATGCGACGTACCATGTGGAAAGAATCCGCCAAAAGCGCAAGTGATCCGACAGCCAGACCGACGGACAGTTCCAGGAGGAAGAACATGACATCAATCGCCAGCATCACTTGGATGCGCGTCGTCTTTGACCACGCCATCTTAGCGACGATGTGGTTGAAAGAAAGGCGCGCGCCGACCTGTTTCTCTCAACTTTCCAGCACGGAGTTGACTGGAGTTTTCTGAGTTGCGATCGGGAGATAAAGATCTGAAAGGACGGGAAGAAAAAATGTTGAAATCTGTTTGCTGGGTGTTGGTGCTTGGCAAATCGGAGGTGCCAAGGCAAGGGATGGAGTTAATATGGGATGGATGGCGGCGTTTCCGTTGAATGGAAAGCCGGATTTGTTCTTGCTTGTGGTGCTGAATGATGGGAATTTCGCCGCTCCTTGCGTGTTATCAGTCCCGCTATCACGTCAGCTGTGCGCAGGGGTTCCCAGTCGTCGCCCCAAATTCCCCGAAAAAAAAATTGTTTCCCCTGATTCCTACAAGATTCTTCACCCGAAGTTGGATATCAGGTGAATGCGCGCAGCACTGCAGTATTGCTGACAAAAACGCAGTTGTGGGCTTTTAGAACCTACGAGTAGAGATGAAGCGGGAGAACAACGGGAATTGCAACCTGAAGGGAATGCAACCTTGCCACGATGATGACTTATTTTACACAAGGTGTGCACACCAGCACCTTGAAAGGTTTTGTAAGCCCGCACGCATCACAAAGAATCGCCATGACAAAGCCCACCAAAATTGCCTTATTTTGTACAGACCTCAAAAAACCTCCTCGGTTGGTAATCTCAAGGTATCCATTCTGTACAACTCATCATGCTTCCCGCCGTCATGTCAAAAAACCCAACTAAAAAGTTAGCGGTCAACAGCTCCCGTAGGTCCTTTCGGCATTCGTTTCTATGGATCCAGATCCGTCAGTTTCAAACCAACACTGCGCCAAGGTGAAGAAAATGCGCTTTCCACTTCCAGGTCTGCCAGGTCACACACCCGACATTGCGCGCGAGTCACCAGACGCAGCCCATAGGTAGCGTGGAAGAGAGAAGGAGGAAAGGTTTTTTTTATAAAAATCTCGCAGTCCGACCGACCTTACCCCGGCGTGGACCGAAGTCCCCCGGCTCCCGGCCGAACTGTCAGGAACCTTGGCCGCACCGAAAAGGCGCAAAGTCTCACAGACGGGAGTTCGCAGTGACATCAAAAAAGCCGGCCGAAGCCCCACACCGGTCCGCCGGAATTAACGTTTTAAGGTTTTGATCTGCAACGGAACGTGCGTGGGGTAAGGTAAGGTATGGTAAAGTCGTTTCGTAAGTTACGACGTTGTTCGTCCGTCGAGTCGGGTGGTGAGGTCGTAAGAATAAACCTCAAAACGACCTGAACGCCTCACGGTCTGATAGGTAGTGTACATCACATCTTCGGCACCCTTTTACATATACTGTATCCATGTGTCATTTTCACACCTTATGGTCGAAGTTGAACGGTTTTCTTGTATCAAACAACTCCAATACCATAGACTCGATCCAATTGTACTACCATTTATCACGAGGCATACCACAGTTTGCAGCGATCTTTTTAATCAAAGTGAGCATTATAATGCTATCCCACATCCGCCCATGTTCTGTTTATTTTCACAACCACTCGCAGTTTAATATATGTTCTCGTCATCTCAGACTTCATCCTCACCTCAAGCATCCGTTTGTCGCTTTGATCGCTTGGACTATCCTGTCTAAGTGTAGCTTCTTCAGGAGCTTGATCCAGTGAGAACATAGGACAGTCAAGATTTGGCTTCAGGATGAAGCTTTCGTAGGGACTTTCTCTGGGAAGGAAAATGAATCGCTATTCAATGTATCTATCGCTGAAACCTGAAACGATACCTCCAAACGCTGACAAAGATGTAAGCAGACAAAACTGGCATAAGACTTGACATTGATCCAGCATGATAACCATCTCCAAATCACTCCCACCACTCACTCCCTCGTCTCGTCTGGCTTGTCCGTCTTGCTTGTCTCGTCCGTCTCGCCCATCTCATCCGTCTCTTGGCCTAGTGTTTCCTCCGTAGTAACCCACCCATGTTTGGGGTCCTGCTCCTGTTCCGGATCGATAATTCCTTTCCCTTTGGCATCCTTCCCAGAGCCCAGTCGCGGACTTGGATCGGCCGATTCGTTACCGCCACGGGGAGTAGGGCCTGCGCGTGTCAAGGCATTACTGTCCTGACCAGTCGAGCCTTGATGGTCGGTGTATACCTCAACCAATTTTTTGTAACTAGTTGGGTAATAGAACCTTATACTGGCAGGCTTTTGCAACAACTCGTAGTGATCAGAAGGGACAAAATAACCCATGTGTGGCCGACTGCGGTCGTTCGCATGATAGAAATAGACCGTATCTGTGCGTGGAATGCCGAGGCCGGCCGGGATGATGGGTCTAAACCACTCATCTTCAGAAACAGGAGGAGTAAGGGTATCATCCACAAAGAAGAAGCCGCATGGTGGGTAAGGCAGCTTTTTCCTCCGGTCGTTGACCAAGTACCGCAGATGATCACCCATGCGGTACCTGTAAGGTCGGTTCCAATGCGGGACATGCAGTCTGTTACCACGGTAGAGGAAATATCGGCCTGGTGTCATCTCCCCCATCTGATGGTTCTCAGGACTGGCAAGGTGCTTTTCTTTCGGCAAATTGTGAGAGGGAATCAGCATACCATCGCGCGGTCGATGGGGGTCCGGAACAAACGTCCAGCTGTTCCAAGTCTCGGGCATTTCGCCTACACAGAAAATATCAAAGGGGGTTGGAGGAAGATACACAGGGGTCCTGAAGATCTTTTTGACGGGGGCCCTGGGGTGTACATTGCCCAATGGGAGGAGGGTGCCTGTTCCGTACTTTTGACCCTACCTGACAAAGAACTGGTAGGCAACATGTTCCGAAGGGACACCTCTTTGGCTGTGAACACGGAACCTCTTCGCGTGACAATACGATTCCACCGGAAGAGCGAGACCCCAAGGTCCATCAGGCATTCGAGGTCCGTCCCATAGGTGCGTCTTAAATATGTCGGCGTATTGATCACGTCTCAGCCCTCTCGGATTCGGATGTGGCCAGTCGTCGCGGAGTAAGCTGGATAATGGTGTTCCCGGCTTGCCCTTGACTGACAGGTCGATGACCTGTCTAGCCACGTTATATAAGTTTCGTCTGCTGCTTGTCCAAAGGTTCAAGAAGTAAGGGGTGTGCTCTTCTTTGGACTTTCGCCAGGTCCTATCGCCGAGGACGGTGGTCAGTCTTTTCAGCATGGAGGTCTCCCCACTCTCCGTTATCATCTGTTCAGCTTCCAGAACGAATTGACATGTCGTGACACCCGTCTTCCATTCGCACCCGCCACCGTTCGGAAGTGCTGCCTCAAATAGACCTAAGTTTGCTTCCCCATCACCATCGCCATTGTGCCCCTCCACTCCCACCAAAGTACGCAGTGTGTGGAATGTGCGCCATGTTATTCTTCTGTTCTCTGGAGTAGGATTGTCACTTGATGATGCTACCGCGGTGGTCTCACGAGATGTCCTGGATGCAGTCCTGGAGTTGGTATCCAACGTAGTTTGAACTTGCACGCCAGACCCAGGAGTCGATGGAATGAAGTTAGGCACAAGCGTCACTCGCAGGGGAAAGGGCTTGAAGTCATCATCCTCCCCCTTAGCCCCCGTCTCGTCTTGCCCACCGTTAGCATTGCCTTGTCCGGCCCCGTTTGCTGCAGCATCTTCTTCTTCCATGAGAGGCTCGGGCATATCAAAAGTGTAGTCAGGATTCTGCCACCTGGGGCCGTTCTCCCACTCAGCTCCTGAATTTTCTGGGAGATTTAGATCCAACAGTGCGTCGATCAGGTCGACTCCGGAGTAGTATGCGTTCATCGGCTCGCGGATACCCATATCAATCCTCATTACTCTGGGTTCGGCGTCAGGTTCGTAAATTGGCAGCCAAAAGGTCACGCTCAGTCCGCCATGCCATTTTAAATGCATGCCAATTCTTCTCAGAACCAACGCTGTTCTCGCATCGTAACATGACGTTTTGCGAAAATGGGAGGTGGCTTTTTGCTGCACAGGGAGAAGGGTCCAGGCATGCCATTTCTCCAGCTTGCCGTTGCGGAAGATACCCTGGGCCTGGTGCAACTAGCCTTTGGTACTCAAGGTGTCCGTGGTGATGGCGAATTCCGTTGCGTTCTTGCGTCCGTCCTCGAGGATGTAGTCTTCCAGGTCCTTCTTCGACTCGATGCGCACATAGACTGAATCCGATCCTTCCGTGCGGTCTGTCAACATGACCGGGTAGTTGTCTGATTCTTTGATGTAGCCGGCAGTCTGCATGATTTTGTCCTGAGCGTTTATCTCCTTTCCTAGAAAGACCCAGGGATGGTGCCAAATGTGAAGATCCCTCAATATCCGATACATTGCCAATTTGTCGACGACAGAGTGAATCGACGTCAGTCTGGGAGTATGGACGTATATGCCATGCCGCCTGAGCTCCTTCATATGAGCTGCGAAGACGGCCATCGTGTCGTGCTGCGGTATGATGTAGTGAATGTCGTGTTCGAGGCAGATTTCCATGACCGCATGAATCCATGTTCCGTACTTCTGGTGTTTCGAAACTGGCGTCAAGAAATGCGTCTTGTCCACTGGATATTGGAGCCTTTTCCGAGACCGGTGCGACATTTTGGGGAAAATAGCCGGGCGCGTAAAGGGCGTGAATCCGGTAGTGCCCTTTCTTGTTGAGGATGGTAGCAATCTGACGGCCAGTGGGTGTGGCGCCATCCGTGATCAAGACATTCCCGAACCGAAACCTCAAGTGGCGTTTGTGCTTGGTCTCCTTTTCCTTGCGTTTACGTTCAACGCACTTGTTGTAGAAAGCCAGATTGGCATGGGCGTTGTTTATGGCGGGACCTGATCTGGATGAACCCGATGAATCATCCATTGTTTTGAGAGAAAGAAAAGAATGGATCGAGAGGAGGATGTGGTAACGGTCGTAAGTTTGAAGTAATAGAATATGTTGGTGTTGAAATTGGACGAGGTCGTAGGATGGAAGCTCGGCGCGAACAGAAACGATGGGATGGATGTTCTAGGATGGAGAAGACAGATTACAGCCACCCCGATTCTGAGTTAGTTTTTCTGTTATTTGTATTGACTTCTCGCTCGGTCTTAAGTCAATGAATGATTGCCTGATTCAGGCGTAACACTTCGCGCTAGAGGGCAAGAAGCATCAAGTTCTCTTTGGCCCGTCTCAATGGAAACTCCTTTGACAACATCTTTCAAGAGGTAAGTATTGAGCTCACGCTTGCCTCTGAGACCACATCGCCTTGAGGTTAGAGAAGGCACACGGCAAGTCTCTATCCCGTACTTTCCATTGAGAACGTTTAGAGCAGATACGCTCCTCCGGCCCCATTTCATTACATCGTCCAAGAACAAAATGACCCCGATGATGGTGCTCACTGTACCTGTTTCGTCAGCCGTAGGAGATATGACTGCCACTGTCTTGTGCGTACATCTTCCTCCACTGCAACAGAAATCCGTATCTCTCACACATCACCCTGCCCGGTCTCCCATCTACAAACCATCCGCTCTTTCACTCTTTCAAAGCCCATGGGATTACCTCCACATTCTGTTTTCCTGAGCAATTAGGTAGGTAGTTACCCCTAAGCAAAGAGTGTCCCACATCTTGCCCATGAAGGTAGCCACGGCAGGCAAGAACGCTCTGACGAAGCCACCTCGCGCACTTGCAGTCCTATGTGGTACCAACGCACTTCACTTCCAGGTCCACGGAAGTTGTTGTTATTACCCTCTCCTAATTCACGGTTCTCTCCACAGGCACCGAAACCAAAGGAATGCCTAGGTGAGTTAAGTACCTCTAGGCGTAGCTAGGTATCTTCAGCGCGAAATGATCCGAAGATCTCAGGCTCTCAATGTAGCAATAACCCGATGCTCAGCCCAACAAAAAGAAGGGTGGTGGCGATAGCAACTCTAGGGATACTACCACTCCAGGTTGCCCCTGGGTTGACCAACAGCAAAATTCTGGTCGGGACGTACTGCCGATAACGGAGGAAGGAACTCAAGAGAGGAAGCCGAACGGCGGGCAAAGACACTGGCTGGAAAGGAAAGAACGACTGGGAGATACGACAGCCTGAAGAAATTGAGTGGGTGGGCAAAGGAAGGTGCAATCGACAATCCTGACTGAGCCTTCCAGCCCGCCCAGTTCCTCAATGTTGTGGGCGGAAAGAAATGACCGGGACTTTCGATGAGGAGATTCGTACCTACCTTGTTTGACGTGAAGTTGCCGACTCCATCGTTGAGTTCATTTCTGGTGATAGCTTTAGCTTCCTTCCACTCGTCTTCTGGCTGTCAAGAACGGAGCTCACCTGCCGACCTCTACCTCTTGAACCTCAGCTGCTACCACCTGATTTCAGTTGCTTGTCTTGGAAGGTGTACTGTGTTCAAACCTACCTACTCACCCCAGAAGCAACTTGGAAGTGCCCGCTTCAGGACCAGGATCGAACGATTCGCAACCAGCAGTCGATGAGACCTTGCCTCATTCTCTCCTGGTTGAAGATAAAGAGCTTAGACAGTTCCCTTTTTGTTGTGCATGCAAGCGCAATGCTCAGCAAAACCACTCACGGGCTGAAAGGCCAACTGAGCGGCAGTTCTTTCCTCCCAGTCCGACGCGGAATGGCAACAACCAACATCTTTCGCTGTGTGGATCTAGAACCATATCCCACCTCTTTTGTCGAATCGCATCCCGCCCTTTCACCTTTGCTATTTCCTTTCTAGCCATACACCTACCTACCTGCCCATACTCGAGGTGCCTACTTCAGCTCCTTTATCCTGTACTTCCTGCCGTGGTCGCCATATCGAGCTAGAGATCCGTAGCTCGGCGGGCGTACCTGTATGGATGGGAAGACAGGCGCCGGCCGATGATCCATTTTGCTCGTTCTGTCTCCGCGATAGAGACACTCGTGTCCAATCAGTGTTGGAATGACCACAGCCTCAGGTTTTGTTTTGCTCGTAGTTTGAATCGTCGTATTATAGTCCAAAGGTAAGGAGAGAAAGGGGCACATGCCTCACAGGACGAGATAACATACCGGGAGATATCTGTTGGCGACGTATGAGCGACACTTGGACTTCCATTAGTCACCATCCCATGTGATGACTGGAGTAGATAGTACCAACAGACCATGGGTGAACAGAAACTCGTGTGGATGTGACAATATGAACATACTTGTTCGGCTTCATGACAACCTATAATCTCCTGTCCGTTAACCCGCGAACCCGTCATGGTCAATCACTTCGACACTATCGTTGTGATACAACATTGAGCGAGATAAACCCACGTTCACCATCTATTGCTCGCCGGCCTCGTGTTGGCCGTCGCTTTAGAGGGGGCAAAGGAGAGGCCCGAGCCGTTTTAGCCAAGGAATGAGCCGTTCAAACCAAGCCAGACCGGATATTGCGAACGGCAGCTTCCCGCCATCTGATAGAGCCGCACTTAGCGCGCTCGAGCATGGGTTGGTAGAAGTGATCCAGGGCCCACTGTTTCCATCACCACGCTCGGCTACTCAGAAAGCGTTGGAGCCGAGACTATGGGATATTACTCACCCACCGGATGTCGACATACCAAATCCCCGTAGCCCGTGTTTAAAGATACCCACCCCTTTCATGAAAGTGGGCTAGATACCAGAAGTAAATGAATGGCCGACAGCATGAATGCTGCAGTGATGGGGAACACCCAGCGAGCCAAGCAACGCAGAGCAGAGCAAGAAAGCTCGGCAATAGATCTTTCAACGACACTCTTCCAACCTTTCCTGACCTTCCCCCAATCGATCCAGTGGCGTGTATCACTGCAGTCCGGCGAGCCGTAGAAGGCCAACAGGAAGTGGTGGACATAAGAACACACAGTAAATGGGTTGCTGTGTGAGCTAGGTTAGTATGGAGATGTGTAGGTGGAAGGGAGCATTACCACATGTAGGTAAGCACGATGCTACCTTGATGCTCCAAGGGCTTGCCTTTCCCTCCTCTTTTGTTCTCCGTTGGGTTTGATTTCTCCCTCATTGTTCACCTTGTCTGTTTCTGGTGTAGTGGGCGCACAAATTCCGCTCGGTATATGTGCCCAAAACCTTGCACACGGGTGCGTGAGTCCACATATGACGGGAATCACAAGCGACTTCAGAGTAATGACTTGAATTGCTTGGCGAAAACCGAGACCTGGCTGGTTTGATTGACCTCCAGCATATTGTTGTCGGAAGATGTTGGCCGAGATACCTCTCACCGTGCCAGGAGGATGAACAGATAGACTTGTACGCTTCGTAACGGTGCATCAACGGCCGGGCCTTTGAAGCTTCGTCACACCATAACTTGCCGACCTGGTTGTTCCGGAGGCATAGAACTTTGGGAGGGAGAAGCTGGAGAATGACAAAGCTGGACGACCAGAAGTCACCCAGACCTCTGGCGGAACGAGTGCTTAGGCGACCGGCGTGAAGTCACCTTACCAAGTGGTACGCAATCCCTTTCTTTTGGTGTTGCTCGGCCGGCTGATTGGGTTGTTTGGGCAAATTGCGACATGCAGATGCCATGCTATGGTGCTTATATGGAAATCCAGTTGGTAGTGATAGACGGTCGATGGTTGGACATGGGAACAGGTAAACGAGGAATGCACCGTATCCTGGCCCAATGAGACCGGCATAGCTCGCCTATAATGAGCAAGCCGAAGTAAGGGCTTCGTATAGCCATTACTCATGCAATCGCAACAGAGGAGGAAAGAATAAGCCCAGGCATACTGGGGAACAACGAGCTGAACCTCTTCTGATATCCAAACGTAACATGGCTAAATTCCGAAAGAGTGAGCCTGTCGGCGAGTTTGACACACCTTGAATTCATCACAGGGCTAGTGCGTGAACAGTTTAAGTCGTGCATCGGGTATCCCGTGGGAATGCGACAGAAAGAGAAAACGGGTTGTGATGTTAAAAAGCTGGGTACGTGATACAGATACACAGTCGAATGCAACGGCGGCTTGACTGAGCGGGCCGCTCTATTGCTCTGGCTTCTTGTAGATAGCCTGCAACAGGTGAAGTGCCGGGACCGAGCACAGATATGGAGTGAGGGAATAGACGGGAAAAAGAAACGAGCTTAAGAGACCAACGACAGAAGCTTACGCTTTGAGGACGTCTTGATTGGAGGTATCCGAGAGGTTTGGTATCACAGGTATCAATGCATAAGGTATGAGAAGGAGAAAGCATTACCACTGGACAAGATGGCGTGGGGAAGCAAGCCTACAAGGTCGGGTTGGTAGGTGTAGGGCGTATGGCGTCCGTAGCCGTGTGCGGGTGAGAGAGGGTGTCCTCTTCCGTACCCAAGTCCGGTGTGTATGCGAGCACACCGTATCCTGTGCTTCCGTCCCCGGTACTCCATGGTTTCCATCTTTCACCTGGCACTCAGCTCTCCGTCCCGCTCGTCCGTTGATCTGGGTCCCAGGCGGAACAGATGTATATGGGGTTTATACCAGACCGCCCCATATAGGACCAAGATTCGTACATCTTGCAGAGCATGGCACCACGCAGTGCGGACAAGAGAGCCACCAAACAGGGAAAGACGTCAAAGAGATGTGAATAAGTTAAGCCGGTCAATCCAGTCGAAATGATATGCCCATGCAGCTCGTTGCGTATGATATGTCGGGTGCGGGTGAGGAACTGTTGGAACGCAGCCACTGGGATCTGATTTCTTCCAAGTAAGGTAACCGGTACCTCACAGGTCCCAAGCCCTGCATTGGACGCTTATCGTGGTGAATTTGACGCGTACAGACCGGCGCCGGATTGGTGGTGCGTGGCTGAAATCTGTAACGCTCAAGTCATACCGAGTCGTCCAGACGTTCCTCACAGACACACTGGTTTTTTGTTTATTGGCATGGAGACCAAGACAGGTTGTTATGGCCTGCTCTGTGCGAGTCCACGGACGGTAGCAGATGACGTTGTAGTAGACGTTGCGGGCGGGTAGAGGCCAGTGAGGACAAGACGATATAAACATATCAGGACCCGGCTTGGGCTGTTACCCAAGGGAGGTGCTTGCAGGTCATACAGAGCACAAGAGCGTGGAGTTGACTGGCGGCTGGTGCAGAGAGAAACATCCAACAGCATGTGGTCTGTTCGGCAAGTGTAACCATTGCGACCGAGACGGATCGGGAGCCCAGTTTTCGGAGAGGCTTGCCGGTGAAGGTCTGGGGGAGGGCCATTCTCGAAGCTTACAGGTCAGGTCGTCTTGGACATGTAGTCGAAGCTCCCCGAGAACGGGGTCAGGTTTCAGTACTGTGTAACCGCGCTTTACGGTAGACGCAGATGCTGGGGCGCCATGAATCTAGACCGGGAATCCAGGACCGCAGAGACCGGCTTTGGCCAGACGGTCGAAGGTTTTGAGCCTGCCGTTGAGACGAACTTTTTTTTTCTTCTTGCCATGTCCTATCGGATGTAGCGTAATCATGAGGCTGGCGGCATGGCCCGGTGAGTCCTGACCATTGGCTCTATCCGGCGTCGACTATCAACTGCAGAGCGGCAGCAGAAGGGAACCTCAAGGTCTAGAGAAGGTCCATGAGTGGTGAGGTGAGCCTTGGCATCCGAGTATAAGCCGGTCCAGCAACATGGACGGCACCGCGAACTGGATGGCAAGATGATGGATGGCGAGCGGGGAACCAGACTCGGAGAGCTTCCCAGGTAACCTTTTCTGCCTCGTAGTGGCTGGCGTATCCCGTCTAGTGGAAGGGACGGATATCCGGCGGAGGGGGCGGCGTACCAATTGAAAGGCAGGCAAGTCGAAGCGAGGTCGCGGTGGGAGGTGTGAGAATCATCATGATCTTGTGCAATGCGCCAGTCGTGGATGATGCATCCGTTTAGGTGTTGTGTCGGAATTGGCCGTGAAGGCAGGTAGGAGCCAGGTAGGTTGTAGTGAGAAGAACAGCGCCAAAGGAGCGAACGGATGAAGTTGTGAGATGAGATGCAGTGCTCGGGGCCAGAGCAGGTGCACGGACCCTATTCTTATACAAGCTGTGAAGGAAATCGGGAAAGAACAACTTGGCACCAAGCTGTGCTGGTGAAATGACAGGACTGGATGTTTTTGTTCACCGTGACCGGGTAGTTTGAAGATCATAGAACTTGAGTTAAAGTTCAAAAAGAGGTGGATGCAGAACGGTGACTCGTGAGTCTTGTCGGCGTCAGATCCGTCTGATTGCCAACCTGGAAAGTGGCCAGGGCTGTTGTGCGTTGCATGGTGTGGTTTTGTCACCTGCAGCAATGCCCGGTGACTGCCCTACACCTTCCACCTTCTTGGCTCGTAGTCAGAAATACCTTCCCTCCGAAGCTTGATTTTGCGGGCTCATTTCAGATGCGTCTTGTGAAGTGATAGCAGTAGTTAAACTTTGGAGGCAGGTGCATCCGTAAGGAACGGGATGAAGTGGAAGGTACGATTTTAGGTGAGGATTCTGATGTTGTTGGAGCTGCTCCCCGCACCTGTATCAAAGCACGTACCAGGAATAAAAGAAAGAAGATACGGATAGACGGGTACCTTGCATAGCACGCTCAAACAGTGTCATGCTTGCGTACATGCCTAACGGCGACGGTGCATCGATACAAGGTTACATTACCATAAACGCACACCTGCGTCGAAAATATTTTGACCCCGAATCGGCCCCTCAACGACTGGAGCGGGACGGGAGCTCACCCAATCCAGGTGGAGACCGGAAGCTAGCTATCTGCTCATGCCGCCAACGCTCCATCTGGCCAGTCTTTCGGACGGCGTTCTCGATGTCTTCCCATTGCAATTGAAGACGCAATGTGTTCGATCTGCTTGCCTGGCCTATCTGGTCTTCCTTTTGATATCGTCTCGACACCCATTTAAACCCCAGCTGAAGCAGCATCGCCATGTTCTAGCGAGATCTAAAGATACCGTCATTCCATTTTCTGTCAACATCTCTCACTCTACTGAGCAGCAGGAGCACGGTACGTCTCATAGCTCTTTACCTCTCAGTCTTGGTCAAGAACTTCACCCTGTCCCTCCCGCCTTATATGAGGCTTAACTCATTATTTGTTACCCCTTTTCATTCATTGGTGGTAGTAAGTCGGGTGGTCCATGAGTTTATCAATCCCGTCAACAACATCAACACAAGCATCGAGAGCAGTATCAGGGGCAGCATCGGGGTTGTGTCCGTCAAGCCTCCCCCATTACCGTTGCTTTTCGGCGAGGGAGTAAGGAAACACCATTGACTGCCGTGCAACATTCGGTTGGCTCGTTATTGTTGCGTCCTTTAACCCACCGAGGGCTTTTACTGCCCCATCGATTCCCAACCAGATTGTGTCCCCTTTCCTTCTCTTTTTCCTGTTCATATTGACGGTTCTTGGCCGACAGTTGCTGGAAATCTGGTCCTTTCCTGATGTTTACCGGAGCGCTGTTTACATTGTTATCATCCTGAACCCCCCTTCACACCCCCTCATGTTCTAGCCCTCACGCACTCTGCTCAGTCTCGTTATATCTCCTCTACGGTCCTTTTAACTCACTCTGTCTTAAGTCACATTATCATTGCAAAGCCTCACTCATCGGACGGTTTCTCAGACGTTTTGGCTTCTTAACCAGAGTCAGTGTGCCTCCAGACCCTCACATCCACCCGTTAACACGACCCTGGACAGTAAACGTACCCTTTTTGCTACCCCAACCCGCTACTGTACCTTATCGAGACCGGCCTTATCCCATTACAGTCAACGCGGCCAACGTAACGTTCGTCTTCGGTCAACAAGACTCCGTCGTAGCGTCACCGGCCGTTCGGCTATGCGGTCCTGCTGGTCTGCTACCTATATTGGCTCAACCGCTGTCCTTTAGTGGGAGCCGAAAGCTTACGATTTCGCTCGTCCTACATCGGCCACACCTTTTCCTCCCAACACCTCACCTTCCTCTCTCACCGGGGCCTTCGCCTTTAGAGCTGAGTGCCGCCGAAGACTCAGTGCCCAAAAGATCCAAATCAGCAGATCGATGCTTTGCCTCACAAACTCGGCACATTGAGCTCTTGCTGAGTGCCATATTCTCTGTCATCAGAATAACCGCTCATCATCAAGTTCGCGCATTCATAGCCGATAACCTACAATCACATTGACCAGGACGCACCTCGAGCTGGATACCAGCTTTGAATTGGGATTGGCATACCCTTCTCAGTGAGCTATCATCCATTGTGTTGAGGTTCAGGGGCAAAATCATCGGCCAGACTGGTGGCTGTATCATCATTCTACCAAAGCTCAAAAAAGCAGTGGAGAAAGAAAACGGCAAAATGGCTACGCCGACAGCTTCTGGCAACCCAACGATGGAAACGGAGCATACGATACCCGCCCCGCTTGATGCGCCTCCTGAAAGTGCTGTGCATCACACACGTCAAGGGGAGCAAGGATCACAAGCGGAGCAATCGCAACAGCCGAATGGAGAGCAACAACAAAAACAAACACACCAGGAGCAGCATGAGGAACACACCGAGGAACAGCAACAAGGTCAGGAACGGCACGAGGAACGGCATGATGAACGACACGATGAACAGCACCAGGGGCATCACCAGGAGCTTCACCAGGAGCTTCACCAGGAGCATCACCAGGAACAGCGCCCGGATCAACATCATGAACAACACCAGGGACGGCAGCCCGAGGATACCGGTCCAGCGGTTTTGCATGTTCCCATCGCTACCAACGGGGTTGTCGAGAGCCATGGTCACTCGCCGCGGGCGAGAAAGGACACCAACTCCTCCATATCGACCATTGCATCTGCCGCCACAGCTGCTACATCCTGTAGCGTCGTTTCCTCCCCTGCCCTTACTCCGACAACCGCCCTGCCAGCCCAAAACATCTTTTCTATCAAGGACGGAAACGCTCCTTCATCTTCCAGTCGAAACAGACGGCGTACTGGCCCCTTGGCGCCTGAGGCAAGGGGAAGGGCCGCTCTTATCCGAAAACAAGGTTCATGTGCGAACTGTAAGAGGAAGAAAATCGGAGTGAGTGCATGCCGACCAAGTGTAAAAACTTGAAAGCCATCCAGGCCAGTTCACTTACTCGGCTTTTCTTGTAGTGCGATGCCAGGCATCACGGCATGACTTGGGAAGAACTCGCGCAAAAGTTTCCCAACTCTGCAGAGACGCAACAGCTTGAAACCATTGTGCCGCCAACCCCTACAAATGCTCATACTCAAGAATCAAGAAAACACAATCTCAGCACCCCTTCGCCAGAATTTATGGACATTGATTCCTCTCCAACACAACAACCGATCCGCTCATCGTTCAGCGAGCCGCGCGTCAGAACACCTCTGCCTTCCAAGCCTCGACAGGACAGGGCATCTACTGTGTCGTTCCCCCAGCCGAACGGTGGTCTTTCCAACGGTAGCATTCTGACGTCGAATTCGCACGGGGCTACAGTCCGGGCTTCCGAAGGCTTTGCGACGGATTGTTACAGAAGAGTTTCTGCCTTGCTCCTTCGCTGGCAAGATGACGAAGACCCTGCATTAATAAATCCGATGGACGAGTTCAGAGAGGTGCTTGGAGAATACTACGACTGCTCATGCCAAACCAAGATTATTCCATCCGCGAATCAGCACCACAACACATCTATGTGGGTTTTGGACGAAATTCTCCAATTCCTGAAGACGGATACGGAGGACGAGCTCAAAATACTCTATTGGTCAAGTCACAGTTACTTGGACGGCGACCAACAAATGATTCTGGCAAGGTAGGATTACTCGCCTCCCACCGAATGGCACATTACACTTTCCCCAGGCTGACTGTATCGTCACGTTGATAGCTCGAGAAACAGCGAGGCTCAACCAGCTTCGTGCATACGATGGTCTGCCATCCAGGCTCTGCTCGATCATGCTTCTCCAGATGTAGTAGTCATTATGGACGCCACCTACTACCCGAACCGATACAGATTCATGAGAAGGACCAACCGTTCATTGGAGGTGCTCGCTGCGTCTACCCAGGCCAACTTGGAGAGAGGCGTCTTCACCCGTGGTTTGAGCGACCAGCTGAGGACCCGAGCGCGTTTGAAGCTTCTGGGGGGCATCTCAATCGCAGATCTCCATGCTAGGGTGGCAACATCCTCGCTCTTAACTATAAGGGCTAGGTTACAGGAACCACTCGGCTCAGACATGGAAGGCATTACATTGCCGCCGCCCAGTAGCATCGCTCCAGTTCCCTTGCATCTGCAATTTGCGGGCAGCCCTAGGACATCGAGCATCATCTTGACTCCGAAATTGAACGGGGAGTTGGTGGCAATGGCTGGCAGCGACGAAGGCAGTGGCAAAAAGGGGGGAGCAGGAGGGCTTGTTTACACGTTCCGTGTGCCCGCTGGTGCAAATCAGGACATTTGGGAGGAGTATCTTTCGACGTTGCCCGACGAGACCAAGGAGAGACTGGAGTTCGTGGGGGCAGACTAGAAGGAAATCAGACGATCTCGAGCCAGAACGGGGTTTAATTGCTCTTCAAAAGGAAAGGTGGAAGGGGAGATGGCACTCTGCTTAGGTGGACACGAACCGCATGAAGATTCATGATCAGACAAATATCTCGAGAGACCACTCCTGTTCCTTTTCTGTGCGTTTCCGTTGTGATATCCCAGAGATGTTGCCTGGACGTGGATATCCTGCGCCCCCTGGAATTGCAAGCACCCTTATCGATCTGAATTACAAATAGGTGAGTCGCTGCGGAGGAGAGATACTACCCTCCATTGCAAACCACAAGTACCGTGAACATTCCAGGTAAGACCAGACAGACTTGGAGAGACACGGACATCCGAGGTTGACGACGAGGGACACCTCACTCCAAATCATGAGAACCCAAAAAAAAAAAGAAGAAAAAAACACAACTCCTGCCCGGATTCGAACGCATCATCCACCTCCTTCGACTCAACCAAGCCCTCCACCCTCCGAAGAAAGTACAAAAAATACAAAGAAAGAAAAAGAAAGGCCAGCAACCGCTCCTCCGAGTAGGTGACGGTTAACCGTGGAAACACCATAGCACTTCTTTCTTTCTTTTTTCTTTTTTTTATCATTTTTCTTCCTCTTATCATTTTATCAATTTTTTTTAATTTTTTTTGGAGCATGAGTTTGAGGATCAGTTTGAGGTTTTAGGACGGTAGACCGTTACGCCACTCGACCAAGCGGTTGTTGGTGAAAGGAGGGGTCCAGGAGGTGAATCATATACCCGTTAGGCGGACCAATTTGGTCTGGGCGGGTCAGGGAAAAGATGAGACGGAAGGAACCAAGGAAGGAAGGAAGGAAGGAAGGAAGGAAGGAAGGAAGGAAGGAAGGAAGAAGTGGCGGCCGAGGCAGGTGCTGCGGGCAACCCCACCAGCAGAACACCGCGGAAGGCCATCAAAGCTTTATCGAGAGGACAAAACATGGATGGGTACAGGTAATGATGGAGCAATCAGTTTGCTAAAACTAAACGCTAAGGTCAGATATCATAGTATGTATCACTAAAGCCATGCATGCAGTGGTATATCCATCATCCCAATATCCCCCGTTGTTCCATGATCCATGATCCATCATGACATGACATGACATTAACACCCTCTCCTTCCTCTCCCTCCTTCATTTTTCACGATCTCTGGTCTGGTCTAATATCGAATCAGACAGACAGACAGACAGACGGAGACATGCCATCTCTGCCATCCATTCCCCTACAATTACAACAGCAAAACAGCCGCTACAACTCCCACAACAACCGACGACCAAACATTCACCATCTTCCCAATAGCTCCCGAATCCTCCGCATGCGCATCCGCAATTTTCCACTGAGGCATGTAAACCCCCGTATCCCTCGAATCCACCGTGCCATTCCAGCAATACCTCTCAAAGCACGTCTTGCACGCCGCCGGCGTCTGCCGTCCCAACCGATCCAAGCTCCTGCTGATAACCGCGCACGCGACGCAAGTAGGCCACTCCTTGTCCAGCGTGCCGTTGCCCTGCGTGGCCGAGTTCCACCCGTTGCCAATGATGTCGTTGCGCTGCGACATGGTGTACGACGGATCGAAGGTGGACACGTTGCTAAGCGCCGTGTAAGGCGCGTTGGGGACGTAGACGATCAGGGGCGGGACCGTCTGGTTTTTGAAGTTGGCGTCGAAGGTGAAGTTCTTGACGTCGCAGCCGAAGAAAGAGGGACGGTTGTTGAGGCCGAGGTTCACAAAGGTCCAGTCGTCGGGGATCGTAGGGAATAAAGTGCCGTTGGAGATGGCGCCGAAGGTGCGCTCGTAGGTGGCGCGCAGGGCGGTGCCGTTGGGCCAGTTGGTCACGTCCGCGGAAGAGTCGACGGCGAAGATGACGTCCACGGCGCGGACGGGCTGGATGAGCGGGTTGAGCGGGATGTTCTGCAGGTCCTCGCCGCCGTCGACTAGGTCGAGCTCGATCGAGTCGTGGTTGGGGTTGGTCTTGTTGTTCCAGTTCAGGAACGGGTTGGGATGATTTGGGAGACATCGTTCTTGCTCTCGCCGATGTCCTCGAGAATGGAGGTCACGGCCTTGATGAGTATGTCCGGCACGCCTTCGTAGCTGGTGATGTTGGCCAGCAGGAACTGGTTGAAGAGCGTGCTGCTCGTGCCCATGACGAAGCCGGCTTGGTCGAGACCCTGGACGCACTTGCCGCCCGAGGGGATCACACCGTTGGTGAAGTTGGCGCCGATGTACTTGGTCGGCACAAAGCCGAAGACGGTCGGGTCCCAGCTGCCCATCTCGAAGGGGTTAAACTCGAAGTTAGTAGCGTTGAGCGAGATGATGGTCTCTCCCGGCGCGCGACCGTCAGCTACCAAGATAGGGAAGGGCGTGTCGGCCTTCTTGAAGTGGTCGGTCTGGGCAATGCTGGAGAAGGTGTACGCGGGTCCGCCCAAGTCGTCTCCGATCAGTTGGTAACTCAATGCTCGGCCCCAGTAGTCTGTTATACTGGTCTCGAAGCCGGCATCCTTCTTCTTCGCAACTTCCTTGGCCACTTCGGACCAGTACTGGATGCGGTTGACAGTACTAATGCCAGCCTCCTTGGGTCCCTTGAAGATGGAATTCTCAAAGTCCCAAACTTTGTTCTCGCTCAGCAGGCTCTCTACGCTGCTGAAGTTGTTGGAGAACAAACTGCCAACGAGCCAGCCACCGCCGGAAAGTCCAGCCCTACATGCAGTGTTAGCAATCCACTATCACATCCTTGATTTCTTAGTGACAAGAAGCAGCGGGCATGCGCAGCAGACACTCGAACACTCGAAAGACCAGACAAGAACCGCAAAAAAAGATAAACGACATTACGTACAAATACGTGCTGGACTGCAACAAGCCTCCGATGCCACCCGCGCCCGTGGTATCCTTGATCCGGTTATCCGCTGCAGCAACGAAACCGGCGCCGTTCATGAGGGCGCGGTAGCCACCACCCGAGACAGCGATGGCGACATTGGGCAGTTGCGAGATGTTCTTGGCGGCCTCGTTCATAAAAGCCTCGGCATTGAACCCGTTGATGTTGGCCCTCTTCAGCAGGTCCCTCATGGGCTGGATCGTGTTCTTCCTCCGCGTCGATACCCAGTCCTTCTCCTCCTTCGAGAGATCCAGGGCCTTCCGGAGTGTCGGTTTGGTCTTGGGACAGTCTACAACGGCCGGGGCGTACCCACCGCTGGGCGAATCCGGGAGTGCTCGGATGGCAAGTTCCTGTGATGTTGATACCAGGGAGACATCGCGCTGGGGTATCCTGATAGGTTCGGCCGATACGGTGGCGAGCAAGGGAGCTGCGATGAGCAGCGACGATGAGAGATGCATGATTGGTAGTCGATAATCCTCTTTCTCAGATAATGGCCTGACGAATTATTTTAATAAACCGTGAAAGCTGTTTAGTTGTCCGCCGTTTCCCAGCACTTTCTCTTAATAAGAAGGCGTATTTTAATGGAATCCAGTTAAGAAGAGAAGGTGGTGGCCAGTGTCCAAGGGGCCGAAAGGTGAACCCAAGAAGTATGAAAGAGCCGGAATTGTTTGGTACTCGAACGGACCAAGAAAAGGGGAAATCAACGAAAGGAAGTCGAAGAAAGAACGACAGACGAACAGGGGAAAGCAAAGAATATAAAAAGTCGGTCGCCCAAAAAAGAGAGTGAAGATCAAGGAGTGACCCGAAGTGATGTGAGAAGAAAGAAGGATGGAAAGGGCAAGAATTGGAATGCGGATTGGCTCGCTCGGTGCCGCGGCGCTGCTAAGTTCCTGGGATTGGGGATTGCGCGGACTGTGGATGCCCCAGTGGGCAGTTACACCAAAACAGTGCCCCTGTACCCGACTCCCTGTGCCCGCCCCTGTGCCCCTGCGCTTGTCCTGTGAGCAACTGCGTATGGCACCGGGAAGCTGCGGGAATGGCAGAACGGGTTCGGATCAGCGACGATTGGCACCAGATCCCCGGCATCACCTCAGGACCACATGGGCAGAGAAATCGAAGGGAAAGAGACATTCCAGGGTTATCCGCTGACTAACATCCAAGCGCCGCTACCACTACCGCTACTCCACCAATCTGTCACCCACGGCAACAGAGCCACTGAGGCCTTGCGGTCCCAACGCCAGTGCCGGTTCCTAACGGTCAGAATCGTTCAGCCCATTATCATCATCATTATTCCGTTCGTCTCGTCTTATACCCAGATTGGGGGCACAACACGGGGTATGTATTAAACCGGCGCTGATATTGATGAAATCACACAGTATCAAACCCGGGGGCGGTTGGTAGGCACTTGGTGATGCCGGCGATGGGAATAATGGAAACTCGTAACCAGCCCAGCCACCGAGGTCATGGACAAGAAGATCGATGACGGGGACGTACATTGAACGAGAAAAGCACCGCCGCATGTTCACTGAATTGGTGCCGTAGATCGAACAACATCGAATCCATTCATGACAAGGAAAATCCGGACATCCAACAGCCCCTACAGCAGCAACTCTGTGGTGCTATCAAAAATCATCGGGATGTTGCTAGAATCCGTCGGCGTCTTCGGTATCCCGCTGTCAAGATATCCGCGTATTTTTTGTTTTCGATCGACAGGGCACAGCACACCACAGCACAGCACAGCCAAGCAGCCGCAGTGTCTCGCAATCAACACCAAAACAATAAATCTTATCCATCTATACAAGTTCCCATCTTTACACGCGCACTTACGCGGTGTTGGCAGTTAAGGTTCCACTACCAAGGCTGACGAGAGCGGCACTAGGTAACAGCAAACTGTGAACTGCGCTTCGAGGCCAAGAGCTTGGTTGTTTGCTGAGCACCTATCAATCTCAAGCGGGCATGTTTGCTTTCCGTCCCCTATCCTATTCTTATCTTCACACGGCTTTGTTCCTCGACGCAAAGGTCGTTGATGTTGGACAGGTTCAACCTTTTCGTCAATCGCAATGCAATGTCGTTCGTCCCGTGATTCCCGTGACCTTCTCCCAGGCAAAGATATCCCTATTTCTGACCGTCCTGGGCGTGTCACGGCGGCCTCCAGCCTATATCTCACCTTTACTGTCCCAACCGGACATTAAAACATCGAAACATATCCTGATCCGGCCGAACCCTTGATCATGTACATATGGATGGTAAGGCACACAAGTGATGTGGAACAAGTCAAAGTCAGATCGAACGGCAAGCCCCGTTATCATTGCCGACCCAGCCGCCCAGCCGCCATGGCGAGGGAGCCAAGGGCCCAACATCGTCCAAGGGGGGACCCAACGTTGTTTCAAACTTGGAGACACACCGAACGAAACATCACCACAGAGAATTAATAAGATGAGATATAACGGATGGGGATTCTTGGCCCTTGGCCCTTGGCTGTTGGCATTTGGTTGACCAACGGCTCCCGTCGGGTGTTTTGTTGTTCTGAGACCGCATTATCATGTCACCAATTTATTCTGACCGCAGCGCCTGTTGGTACACTACAATAACGATAGATAGGCTGTGGAAGGTCAAACAGTGGGGAGAACAGGAATACATAACTTCCATTTGGTTTGCTTCTTCTTCAGCTAGATTTCTTCCAGGGGATGTGACCGCAGAAAACATTCAAAATACTGAATGGTATGTCCGGAAAATCAAGGGTCCATCCAGAAGAGATCCACAGACTCCTGGGCTTTGGGCACCAGAAACCGTACGCTCGGCGTAAATCCTACCTATCAGCACCAGCGTCCAGCGCGACCAATTTTATTGTGGATGAATGGATGGATGATTTGATACGCGGAAGAGAAGGGATTGGGATTGGGATTGGGATCCTCGGACATGACATGTGAATATCGAATCCTCCTCCTCCGAGAGAAGTCAGAAGGGTCCTCTAACAAGACAAGACAAGACAAGACAAGACGAGACATGCAGACACCCCTTCTAATTATACTGAGGGTATCATTAATGTCACGGGCCAAGATATGCCCAGAAGCTAGGTACTATCACGAACATATTCTACATAAATGACAGACCAATATCCCCATTTTCAATAACCTTCGGTCAACGTGCTTGGTTGTGAAAACGCTTCTTCCTTCCCGCTTCGTTCGGAACTCCCGTCGGGTAGACCGGATGTTCAGGAAAAACAAAATTTGTTTGAACGGACCCTTTCAAAAAACGAGGGAGGTTCGGAACTCGAGATAACGGGTACTGCGTATACCTAGGTATGGCGGACAGAAAGAAAAAAAACGATGCACCCAGTGTCCCGAGCGGTCATCGGCATTGACAATGGATCTTCTGCTTGTACCTAGAGGTATCCCTGCTAGGGTCCAAGTCAGGTCAGGGTCCCAAAACGAACCCGCCGCCTCCCGAGTTCAGTTCCCAAACAGATGATGAGCGAAAATAGAGAGGTAAAAAAGAAAAAAAGAAAAAAAGAAGAAAGGGGTTTCTTAATGCAAATGGAATGCACGGTACAAGTAACCTACCGCAGTATGTACATATGACGCGCTTCGTGTATGTACTGCAGCATTGATGAACTCGTATTGCATGCTTTGATCGTCTGTGCCTTTCATTAACTACCATGGGTAAAAGGGATGAACACAACCCGGCCTCGTCTGATATCAGAAGATGGGAGGATTGTCCAGGGTCTATCTTTTCTTTCTTCTCCCACTTACAGCTTCACTCATGTACTGATCATCAGCTTACACCAGCAATGACATATTATATCATAGGATAACATCCAAAAACTCTATCATTGCTCTCTATGTGCCCAAAATGAACCAGATATATATCATATCATATCAACAACCCTTCTACTTTTCTCTTTTTTTTTTTTACTACTCCAAAAAACTGATTTCGTTTAGTTGCTCTTGCTCATGTGCTCAAGACGGATGCTGACCGCCCTCCTGTGAGCCTCGAGCTCCTCAACCTTGGCCAACTGCATAACAGCCTGGCCGACGTTCTTGAGACCCTCGGCGGTCAAGTTGGAGCTGGTGATGTGCTTGACGAATGAGGCGAGGTTGACACCGGAGTACTGTTTGGCGAAGCCGTAGGTAGCTGCATCGTTTTGATGTTAGCAAAAGTTTAATCAGGATACGGGGGGAAAATCTGGGTTGTGACTTACGAAGCGAGTGGTTAACACCAGCAGAGTAATCGCCAACGGACTCAGGAGTCCAGGCACCAATGAACACACTCCCGGCATTCATGACAAGGTCGACCACCTTCTCGGCATCCTTGATCTGGAGGATCAAGTGTTCAGGAGCGTACTTGTTGCTGAGCTCCATGGCCTCCTCGACCGTCTTGACCTGCACGGTGATGGAGTGGGCGATAGAGCCACGGACAATCTGGACGCGAGGAAGCTCCATGGCCTGACGGTGGAGCTCGTCCTCGATAGCCTGAAGGTGCTTCTCGTCGAGGTCGATGGCGATCAGGATGACCTGGCTGTCAACACCGTGCTCGGCCTGGGACAGGAGATCCGAGGCAACGAAAGCGGGGTTGGCATCCTTGTCGGCGATGACGAGAACTTCGGAGGGGCCGGCGGGCATGTCGATGCCGACGGCGGCGTTGGTGTCGTTGCTGACGAACATCTTGGCGGCGGTGACGAACTGGTTACCGGGGCCGAGAATCTTGTCGACCTTGGTGATGCTCTCGGTGCCGTAGGCCATAGCAGCCACGGCCTGAGCACCGCCGGCAAGCACGATGGACTCGGCGCCAACCTTGTGAGCGACGTATACAATCTCGGGAGTGATGGTGCCGTCAGCGCGGGGAGGAGAGGCGAACACAATCTTCTTGCAGCCGGCTACCATGGCGGGAACACCGAGCATGAGGGCGGTGCTAGGGAGGACGGCGGTACCACCGGGGATGTAGCAGCCAACAGCCTCAATGGGGCGAGAGAAACGGCTGCAGACAACACCAGGCATGGTCTCGACCTGAAGAGGCTTCTCCTCCTTCTGGGCAGCGTGGAACTTGCGGATGTTCTCGAAGGACACGTCAATAGCAGAGATGGTTTCCTCAGGGAGCTGCATGAGCTCCTTGGGGAAGGGGGCCTTCAGGACGGGGCTAGTAAGAGAAGTGGCCTTCTCGAACTTGTGAGTGTAGGACAGAACAGCCTTGTCACCGTTCTTGCGGACGTCCTCGATGATGGGGACAATGATCTTGTAGATGGCATCGGACGACTTCTGCGCGGGGCGCTTGAGGGCAGCATCGAGGTCCTCGACAGAAACTCTGGAGGCGTCGAAACGTCTCATGGTGATCTTCTCGGGGGTGGTCTCCTGAGCGGCCTCCTTGGTGACGGGGGCCGAAGTAGCAGCAGGAACGGACGCGTTAGGCTTGATACCCTCCTTCTCGGCCCACTTGCCCTTAGCATCACCAGTCCTGCGCTTGACCTTCCAACTCTTGGCATCAAGGCTCTTCTCGATGTCAGCAAGAGTAACGCCAGCGGCGACAGCCCTGGTAAGAGCAAAGTAGAAGAGATCGGCAGCCTCGAAGGCAATCTCCTGGGGAGTCTGAGCGGTGCAGAGCTCCTCGGCCTCTTCCATGATCTTGGCCCGGACAAGCTTCTCATCGGAGAAGAGACGGGCAGTGTAGGAGCCCTCAGGGGCGGACTGTTTCCTCGAAATCAGAGTCTGCTCGAGCTTGGGGAGACCCTTGAGCTGGCCAAAGCAGCCGGACTGGTCAAGGTGGCAGAAACGGCCCTTCTGCTTCACGACAAACTTGAGCGCATCGTTATCGCAGTCAAGCGAGATACGGACGAGCTCCTGAGTGTCTCCGGAAGTAGCACCCTTGTACCAGAGACCGCGCTTCCGGCTCTGATAGACACCAGTCTGTGTCCTGAGGGCCTCGTTCACACTCTCGGCACTGCTGTAGACCAAGCCCAAGGCAGTGTCGTGCTCATCAACGACAACGGTGGGGAGGAGACCATCGGCACGGTCAGACTTCCAGACACTTGAGAGGATGGTGGAGATGGCGAGCTTTCCGGCCTCGTCCTTCTTTGTTGTCAAGCCAGTGGATGGCAGGATGGGGATGGCATTGGCCTTGGCGGCAACCTGGATGAACTGTTCAAGATCGGCGCCGGCAACGGGCTTGATGAAGAAGGGGGTGATCTTCTTGTTCTTGGCCTCCTCGACGAACTGGGCAGCCTCGGAAGCAGTCTGGTCGAAGCCGGAGAGCAAAAGGCCGCTCTCGGTGGCGGAGGAGAGAAGAGCAGCGCTGCTTCCAGTGACAACGGGGGCAACGCGGGAGCCATATGCGGAGAGGTCGGCCAGCTGCTCGGTCTTGACAAACACCTTGCGGGCGCCGGCGTCCAGAAGAGTGACGATATCATCGATAGACTCGAGGGCTGTTACATCGAAGTAGGGCTCGAATTCGACATTGTGGCGCTTGAGGAATCTGAGGATCTTCTCGAGAGTCTGGGGCTTGACCTCGAAGAAGACGCAGCCAAGACACGAGACCTCGTCCCGGCTGAGGCCTTCCTTGATGTCATTAAGTCCGGGAGGGACACTGACACCGACGAGGAAGGGGAGGGGAAGTGTTGTCTCCATGGTGTTTGTTTCCCTCTTTTGTGTATGAGATTGGTATCGTGCTGTTTCCCCAATTCGACGATAATGTGAGCCTGAGATCTAGCGTGGGGTTGAATTCAAAGTCAAGTGAGATATGGAGATGGAGTATTACAAGATATAGGCTATGAAGATGAGGCCCGCTTCGAGTGTACAAAAAGGACTCGGGACTTATGAAAATCTGGGGATTTGATATGACTCTTTCACAATTCACGCCTGTTTCAGTCGAAAAATCGGCAGGCAAGGTTTGATACAGGGATTGGTACGTACTGTGTACCTGAAAGTTACCGGGAATTACAGGTTTCTCGACTCGCTGACTCCATGCATCGGCAGACGCCATGGTGGGGTTTGGGATTCGCAGTTGTACCGGGAGGCGATGTGAATGCCCCTCATCTCATGCAAATGTCAATGCCGCTATCGCCCAGGTGAAAATAAGCTATGGTCAGTGCTGTCTCCTACGGCAGGCCATATTGCCCTTTGAGCCCTTTTGCGGCACGGTGCGAGCGATCCTCCAGTTGCAACCTCCGCTGCTGAATGCGCTTCAGTGCCGCGGCTTGGTCTTGGCGCCCGGTCGGCGTGTCGATGAACGAACTTCGAACTTCCATCTCACGCCCGGTCAAGCTTTCCACCGTTACCTTCACCCGAAAGCCTTTTCCCTTTTTCTGCTATTCTTGAACAACCACCCTTCCAAAGACGCAACATCAACTTCCGAAACACAATTACGAGCATCACCTCAGATAGCCTGCACGACCAAACGCGGACTTGTCCTCTCACACGACGCCATCGATAAGACATCCCGAACCGCGAACAGAGCTCAGGGCTGGCTCCCCGCGCCGAACATCATACCGAACATCGATATCTGCCGATCCATCCATCAGCTACACTACAAGAAACCCGGAGGGAGTCAAACTAGTCGGAACAACGCGTGAGCTATACACACAACTCAGCTTCGCCTCAAGTAGCAACCCTCACAGCCAATCGACCAAACCTCCCCCCTCCATCGGCGGCAGTCACACAACCATGTCCGCCGCCGCCGCAACCACGGCTCCCCTCCCAAACGGCACACCCGCGCCCGGCGGCCAGAACAACGCGTCGTCGGCAGCACCAGCCGCAGCTTCTCAATCCCAATCCCAACCAGCAGCCACCCAACCCTCAGCAGCAGGCGCCTCTCAACCACCAGCTACCACGACCGTAGCAGGCCCATCATCATCATCATCATCAACAGCAGTAGCAACAACAGCACCCAATAATCCCAATGTACTTTCCACCGCCGCTTCCGCCTCCTCAGTAGCCTCCAACCCCCGCCCCCGCGACGCCCGCACGATCGAGCTCCTCCTAACCGCCCAGGGCGTAACAGCCTTCGAGCAGCGCGTCCCTTTACTCCTGCTCGACTTCGCCTACCGACACACCTCGTCCGTCTTGTCCGACGCCTTACACCTCTCCGCCGACCCTTACACCTCGCACGCGGGCGCGCGGCCCTCGGCTTCTTCTGGTGCCGCCCCGGTAAACGTGGGCGACGCGACGATTACGAGCAACGCAGTGCAGCTGGCCATTGCCAGTCGGCTGAACTTCCAGTTCCGCGGCGGGAGCGGTGGAGGTACGAGCAAGGAGTGGATGATGGAGATGGCGCGGGAGAAGAATAAGGTGGCGTTGCCCAAGGTGAGCGTGAACGAGTGGGGGGTTCGGTTGCCGAGCGAGCGGTTTGTGTTGAACGGGGTTAGTTGGGGCCTGAAGGGGGATGGGTGGATTGCGGGCGGGGATGATGAAGCGAGTGAGGATGAGGAGGGGGATAGTGATGAGGATATGGAGGATGCGATGGGCCTCGGCAGCAAGAAGGGGGGAGAGAATGGGGATACGATGGAGGGGATAGAGAAGGAGGATATTGGCGGGGATGGGGTGGAGGGTGGCACGGTGGATGACTTGTTTGGGGAGGATGGTGATGATAATGAGGATATGGAGGATGTGGATATGTTCTGAAGAGGATATATTCTCTTTTCGGTGGCTTGGTTATCGCCGGTCCCTGTTTTAGCACCATTTACAGCTCATCGTCTGGGACACAAGCGTCCTGTCTGGCTGTTGACCGGGTGTATTTTCGCGGTGTCATGGCGTTTAGGAGTAGGGAAACGAAAAGGGTATAGCATCCAAAGAGTGAGCTCAACTTTACAAACAAGCAGCTAATGAATTTTACACTTGTCATTATCCTTTTCAATCAGAGCCAAAAGGAAGAGCATGCAGAGACCACCCAATATCACCCATACTTTTATGCCACCTCGTACCTTATTCCTTAGTAATAATACCTACACAAGATTCAAACACACTGAAAATATCGTGAATAGAGACCGAGCTTGCAAAACAAGATAAAGATAGACATGTCTAGGAGTAATGATGAACTAAAGTTGGCACCGTAAATGTCAAGTACATTGAATTTCCCTCCCAGTTTGCGCCGCGCTATGCAATGTGAGGAAATCGCCCAAAGGATCTGATACCTCTTGTCTCCATCCTCCCCCTCCATTTCCTCCCAGGTGCTCCAAAAAAACGGGACTGGGCTCCCATCCTCCTTGTATATATCTATCGCTGTTCGAAGTCTCCAATAACATCTCCTCTCCCCATAGTAACAATAACCGCTCACATTCCCTCCCCTCGTGTTTGTACATGCTTCTTTTAGTTCGAGCTGCTGACCTCCTTCTCGACACTAAGATCCTTAATCCCAGTGATCATCTCAGCATCCGCATCCGGCTCAACCACCTTGGGCGAAGCCGAGCTTGACCTGTCCTTAGACTGCTCGACGGGCACTTGCAGCTGGGCGTTGCTTGGCTCCCTCTTCTTCTGCTCCTTCATTGCCTGCTCGAGGTCGGCAGCGGCCCGTCTGAGTCCTTCCTCTTCCTCGGCGCCGAGCCCTCCATCGTCTTGTTCTTCCTCGTTGACCATCTCCTTCTCCTGAACATCATCAGCCTCCTCTGCTCCCTCAACTTCCTCTTCCCCAGCAATCTCACCATGAGCATCCGCATCCACATACACGCTGTCCATCATAGCCGAATCGGCCATATGATCGTGCGCGCTTTCCTCATCATATTCTTCTTCTTCCACCTCCTCATCGTCCTCTCCGTCATACTCTCCATCGTAATCCTCGTCCTCGCTCGCCACACTTCCCTCCTCGTAATCATCCACCGAGTCCCTGGAGATGTAACTGTCCACAAGACCATCACCAACCTCCTCGTCGTCGTCATCCTCGTACTCACTTTCGTGATCATCGACAACAGCTGGAGCAGTTATCTTTCGGCTACCACTGCCCTCATCCTCAGTATCACTGGCAGAGAACTCGTCGAGATCCAGGGGCTGGTCACGCCAATACTTGAAATCCGTGTAATCCTCACCACCGCCCTTGATAAGCGTGGTTACAGGCGGGAAGTAGTGGTCGACAACCTCGGTCATGTTGACGTAGCTGAGCTTGAGCTTGTTGAGACTGAGCAGATCGAGCGACACCTCGGCGTTGGAGTTGATGGTGAAGATGCGGTTGCGAGGCACGTCGACAGTGCGGTACGAGATCTGGTCCGTAAAACGGTTGCCGAATCCGGCGTAGAAGGGTGTACGATCGGGCCCGTAAAGGTTTTTGATGTCACGAAGCGTGGACATCTTGAAGATATGGGGTTTGCGGAGGTATATTTCACGGCGGAGAGCCGCCATGGTTCGATCGGGTGATAGAATCGTAGGTCCGCGTGGGAGACGGTACCCGTCTTGGACAATACCTGCTAGGTATGTTCGTGTCGTGTCGGCCTGACCGACGGATCGACTTGTCAGATACATGATGTTGTACCCGTTGGCTACAATATCAGTATATAGCTTGGCTACGCCAGCATGCGTCCAGTCGCGCCCGATCATGTTCAGCACATGGCCAAGTGCATCTGACTTTGTGATGGTTCCATCGATATCCGAGATGACCACGGGCACCTCGTGCTTCCACAAGAACATGTAAGCCTGGCAGGTAGCCTTGTTAACGGTGAAGCTCATCGAGTTCTCGCCGGGCTTCAGGTTCAAAGCCTTCAACTGGTCGCTAGTCAAGCGCAAGGTCTTTGCGTAGTTTCTATTGGGGTCACCCGCTGCCGAAGTGCCGGGAGAGCTTGGGGGCGTCTGCAGGGTCATCTGGCCGACATCAGAGTCAGCTCTCCTGTGACTCGGTAGAGTCGTGGCGGCTGAGGTGTCGCTAGCGTCGCTCTGGTAGCCAGGATCGGAAGCAGCATCGATGTTGCCCATATGGGACGCAGAGCGTAGGGGGTCCATCGTCCTCTTCATGGCAGCCTCCTTCGCCGCAATGCTGCTGTAGATCCAAAGGTTTCCATGCTCGTCAACACCGAAGAGTGCGCCGATGTCGTAGTTGCCATCAAGCTCCTCCGTGAGAATCTTGCGCGCAAGAATCTCGGCCCGGAAGGCATCTTCTTCATTATTCTTGAACGCCGCCATATCCAACATGAGATCTCCGGTCTCGCTGATGTGGTTAGGGATGTTGGCGGCGGCAAGCTCTCGCGAGAGGTTCATTGCCCTCTGAAGAGCTTCGGGTGGTGTAAGCGGCGGCGGGCTACGGGATCTTTCGGTGTGGCTATCGCCTTCTTCTGAACCTTCATGAGTGCTGCCATCGCTTGGCATTCTTCGAGCTGACTGCCGAAGAAGTCCATCGCTATGTGGGCGAAACGGGGACCATTCACCCTTGATAGGGTCTGGTGATACGGAACGAGGTGTGAGTAACCCTGGAAGAAAACACCCATGCTTGTCAGTGTGTCAACCTTGCTGATGTAGCTAATGGACAAGAAGCTTACCGTCTCGTGCTAGCAGAGCTGCAGGAGGTGGCCTGTGGTTGAAGCTCGATGAACGGGTCTTGCCTTCTACCGAGTTCAGATCGAGCAATTCTGGTTCCTGTAGCGGCCCTGACTGCTCGGCATTAAGCGGAGGGCTGGAGGCGGGCGACACGATGGGCGACGTCTGCATGCTCTGGGGAATGGTGTCTGTGGTTTCGAAGACGAAGAAGGCCTCGCCTCCGTCGCCCAGCTTCATGGCATAGTCCTGCTTGACGCCATTGACCCTGAATTCGACCTTCTTTCGGATGGGCGCAAGAGCGAAAACTTGCCAAAACGCACGTGAAAGGGAGAGCATGCAAGGGTTCCATCTTCCTGCTCAACGACTATCACGTCGATGGCACCGCTGAGAGTCGCAGGGTTGATGGAGTTCCACGCGGTAGAGACAGAGTCGCCGAGACTCCTGACGTACTGCATGGTAGGCAATTGCTACTCGTTTTGTCGTCGAAGGATGTGTCTCTTGATCGTCAAAGGGGGGGAGGGAGAGGCGGTATTTGTTGATATGTCGGTAGTCGGTATGTATAATGGCGGGGCAGTCAAATGTCAAGACTGCATGCGGTCTGGAACTTTTATGTAATGTCGACCGCAATCTCGATTCTCGACTTCCAGTAGGCGACCGGTAGGGGTTCTCTAGTGTGTTGGGCGAGGTCGGGAAGGCCGGATGAACGCCCGATGTGCGTAGGGAAGATATTAGGCTCTGACCACCCGGCCTTTCAATAGCTGTCGTCTCGAATGGTATGGTTACTCAACGTGGTGGGCGTGAGTGGTTTCGACTCGTTCAATTCCCGTCTCGTGGTGCTGTGAGGACGGAGAAAAAGGATTGAGGAATGCTCCGTGTTGGGGGACTGCCCAAGGAATGCGGATCTGTGATGACGAAGGTCTGCCGCGGTTCAAGCAGTAAGACAAGGAAGGTCAGCAATCCAAGTGGGATGCTGGGTGCTTGGTGTGCTTGGGGAGTGGTCCTGAGTGGATATCGCCAAAAGGGCATGTGGTGGCTGCAGAGTGGGATTATACGCAGTATGGTAAAGCGTCGTCTGTAAAAGTCCCAAAGGGGCATTTAAGGGGCCTTTTTTCTTTTCAGAATCATATGCTTCTGAATTGCAAAAACCTGCATGACAAATTCTTTTTGAATGGCAAACGGATCGCGATTCCAACGGAAGCAACGAAGGAAACCGGCAACATTACTCCTTTCTTCAATTCTCTTAGTTCGTTGTACATGCCCATACCCGGTGAGGCGGAAAGAGCAAAGGATCACCCCCCAACACCCAACCTTCCAGAATCACGAGGACGGTTTCCTTCTCTCAACAATCCAATCCCGTCTGTTTGATGAGTTCTACTCCGGCCTCTTGTCAGGGCAGCAGACCGGCACAAAACCGCACTTGCACTGGCTGTTCCCCATCGTCAACGCCTGCAACCCACATCAACCCACGCGCACTTTACCGACTTGGTGCAAGTGTCTGGACGATCCCCTGTAAGACCGCAATATCATTTACCGGCCAGGTACCTCGGCGGTCTGCAGCGACTAACACGGCCGGCCAATCCAACCGCACAAATTGGCGTTATTAGCGGACAAGGCTGGTCACGGGGGTTGTTTTGTGCTGGACTGCCAGGTACCCTTCAAGTTCCCCTGATGTCCTGCTGACTGGCTGACATTGGACACCGCGAGTTTGGAAATGGAACTTTTTGTGTTCTCTCAACTTGCCAGTCTCTCTTGAGTCTTGACTGATGTCATACATGAACCTATCCAGAGAGCCGTCAACAAGCTGCTTTAAGTCCCATCTGGATGAGTGTCCGACGTTCTTCTCGTTGAGTATTCCAAGCTGTCGACTCAGAGGCAGAAAGTATTTTGCGGTTGATGTGAATGCCAACTATCGGAATGCCCGCCGGGTATTGTGTGTAGCAGTGAGCCAGGTTTCCAACCGCTGACACCTGGTGACACCAAACTGTACGCACAAAGGGCGAGGCAATATCACATACACTACCTACAAAAGTGCGAGGCTTTGGGAAAGCCACGGCTCATTCAGGGCCTATTTGTGTTTCGTCCCGCATACAAAGCAGAGCCTTACCCCGGATGTCTGAACGCCGAATGGGGTTATAGACGGCAATCCCAGCCTGAATGCATTGTCTAGTTCCGAGGATTAGCATGCCAGCAGTTCGTGGGACGTGTAAGTGGGATTTGTTGGGAAACCGGAGGCGTAGCAGATGGTTTTGATGAGTTGAGCTTTATCCCCAAGAAAAATTGTTTGGCGATGCTTTACTGTTGCCTTCCAGCTAAGTATAGGCAGACTGCTACGTATATAAAAGCGAGCAGTTTACCTAGTGAGAGGCGTCGAACAACCTTCGGCCGACATTGTAGATTCAGGCGGGCAGATAGGTTGATCCGTTGATTCTCCAGAGCCAGCAACTTTGTGTTTCAGTCTTGTGAAAGTCGCCGCCCGGCCCAAAGACGGGAAAGATAGGATACCTATCTCGAGAGTACGTGGTGAAAAGAGTCAACTACCAGCAGACTCTCTGTGCAATGGAGAGCACAATGATAACTTGATGTTTGTGCAACATCGTACAAGCATTACACCTGGGTCTATCAACCGGTATGAAAACTTTGAGGCGCAAGCACATCTATATCAAAAGCCTCAAGTTCCGAAAACAGACATAGTAAACACTTCTTGCTCAGGACAAGACCTACGTTCTTCCCCCCAGTATGCGAGTCTCCGGGATATCACCCGACCTGAGCCTGTGCAAACAATGAACAAAGACGCCTTCCGCTGAATGTCCTGGTTTCAGTCCCTGATCCAGACCCTATTGTTGCAACTAACACATACCGAAGAGAGAACGGCAAGGCGGGGTTTCCTCGTGGCATCAAAGAGAGAATTATGACCTCCACAGTCCACACAGAGACCCTTGACTGACAGCTCTTCCACAGTTGATAACTCAACTTTCAAGGACTTGTTTTCACCACCGTGACACGTGAACGAGAAACAGGCCTCTAAGTACTAACCAGAAAAGAGAATTGTCGCGCACATCATTTTCCGCGAGCATTCAGTTGATTCCTTCTCGCCTGCTTTGACTGACCAGTCCCTCTTCAAGCGAGCGTTAACGACTGGGCAAGCTGGGAAGAACAGCGGGGGGATTAACAAGCGGCAGGCGGGGTTGAGATGGGCGCATCATCGCAAACTTGATCTTCCACAACTTCCGGCTACGGAGATCCTGGAGGCCGAAGGAATATCCATTTGTGAAGGAGCGAGGAGGCAAATACAAATAGAGATGCTGCGATAGTCTGGAGTTGGTCTGATAGTAAGTCAAGAAGAGTGCACCGCATGGGCTGATATCCACGATGTTTCAGCATGCACCAGTCATGAGTACAAGTGCCGTTCTGTTAAGAATAACCGCAGTATCTGGTGCATCATACTAACAGACACACATCAAACCTTCCTGGAGAGGGAATGCAGGGGACGAGGATGTTACGTCGGGATGTGGATGCCCACTGCAGAAGAAAATCCTTTTGCAGGGAAAGCACAGGCAGTTCCCTTCTGCTGCTGCCACCGCCCGCCCGTCGAGCTGCGAGGTGGCTCATGACGGGATGCCCGCTCACGCCGCGGCCGCTGTGACTTGTCGCTTCCAGTATCAAACTTTCAGAGATGTCTCTGCACGAACCCACCTCCACCTCTCTTCAGTTTGGTTTCCACTCTGTATGCAACGTCCCAGGCTCCATCAAGTCTTGACAACTCGCAACCACCTGGCCCAGAGTGCCATAACATTGATTTTCCCGCCTGTCGTGGGCCTCCATTTTCCAGCTTGGACACATTCCACTTCACTTCTTCTTTTGCACGCTAGGTACTCCCGGCCATAACCACAGTCGACGGATGATAGGAGGGAGTCTGTGGAAGTCTTCTCAGTACACATCTTTATTTTCTCTTCTTTGTACAACAAAAGATACGCAAGTATCTTCTTGCCTATCCTTAACCCCCCCTTTTTGGTGTTGTTTTTTTCTTTTCCTTGGCCAGAATTGTGGCCGTCGCGACAACCACGACGATAACCGAATAACCTCTATTCCCTCCACCAAGATCCGATCCGAATTTCTACCGTCGCCGACATCGTCGCGCCCTCCCGGGCTTCGCATCATCGCTGGAGACTTTGGGATCTACCTACCTCGGCCTGACTCTTCGGAATATCGACATCAAGCTGGCCTGTTCGCACTGATCGCAGCGCTATGTTATGGACCTCATGGCCATCGCTGGTGACCACGGTTCTCATCTCCTCGGCCGTCATTGCTTGGTGGTTTACGGAGTCCAAGAACACTGCTCTCAACTTGGTGGCAGCCTGTAGTCTCTTTGCGTCTTGCTGGGCTGTTGCTCCGGACCGTGTTCGCGTCCTTGCGACGTCTTTACACGCCTCTGCCCTCAACACCATCACGACGGCTCGCATTGATCTTTGGGCTTTCAGGCATGCCAGCATGTTGCTGACGGGTGGAGCTGTCTTTTGGTAGGTTGGACCCGCATCTGTCGTCCCATCATGTCGTCGTCTCGTTCGAATCGGTTCAGGCCGTGAGCTAACTGCGTGCGCATGCGCTTACAGGTTGGTGCAGCGAGCATGGCAGACGCTATGGAAACCAGTTCCTGAACTGATAAGCATTCTCGGCGTAGATGTGCCAGATCCCCCCGAGGTTTCGCTCGCCGGTATCAAGCCCAACTCCGCAACAGTCAACTGGACACGCGCACCGCCCAACCGCTCTGTCCAGAAGTTTCTCATTCAAGTCAACGGGGTAGTTGGTGAGTAGACGTCTGGAACAAACTCCTTTGGAACTCGGTGGCAAGCCAGTCCGCCACGCAAGAAGGCGAAACCCTAACATGATTCTACAGTTGGGGATGTTCCGGCAAACCAAGATCCAGCAATAGTCGTCAGTGGCCTCAAGCCAGACCACTTTTACAACGTCCGTGTCATTGCCGTGGGATCCAACAACTTCCAGGCCGGCAGTCGGGTTGTACGCTTACGCACTTTCGCTCAAGACGGACGACCTCAACTCGGTAATGCCCGGCTGCCCTCCAGCTTTACGATCGAAGAACCCAACCGCACGAAACAGTCCGAACCGTTGGACGAGAATGCCTCTTCACGACCTCCCATTCCTGCATTGGAGACAGCAACAGCTCTGGAGGGTGTCGCTCCCTCGACCCGGGATGGCCTTTCTGCTGCTGCCGCTGGGCCTCGCCGCAATACGGTTACCAGACGTCACTCGCCCTCGACAACCAGCCTCGATCAGTCTCTGGCACGGGAAGAATCTGCGGAGGATTCTACACAAACGCTGCCAGAGTTGACGCAACGCTTCGAGAGTATTAGGAAAGAGACAGAAGAGGTGACACAGCTGATCACCAAGGAGGACGATGACATCAAACGCCTGTTGAATGAGTTGGAAGCTGAAAAGCAGGAGAAGAGAAGAGAGCAGAAGAAAAAGGAGGAGCAGACTGAAAAGCTGAGGAGAGATGTCAACCTTACTGACCGGGTGATGCGTAATGCCCTCTCCCGGAAGGCTCACAAGGAGAAGGCTTATAAAGAGAAGCAAAACGAACACGCCAAGCTTCACGACGATATCGCTAAATGGGAAGAGGACATAGAGGATATGCGCAAGGGGAGGGAGGGTTTCGAGCAGGAAACCAAAGATCTACAGGAAAGCCATGATGAAGAGGTGGCGCAACTGCGCGACACCAACAGCGACCTTGCGGAGACCTGCGTTGGTTTGGAAGCGAAGCTGAAAGAGCTCAGGGAGGAAGTTCGGGCTCTAGAGGAAGCTCGCAAGAAGCTACCGGGTGGTGAAGAAGATGCAGAATGGCGCGAGAAAGAAGCTGAGCTCAGGAGAAACTGGCATAGGCGCCATAGGGATCTTCAGGAGACGATGAGCTTTGAGACCAGGACTACTCGGCGACTTGACGATCATATTCGCTCCCTGGCGATGCAGATACAGCAAATCCCCCCCGCCACTTTCGGTCTTTACAGTCAGGCAAACACTTCGGGCCTCGAATTTGAGAGCGCTGGGGCGCTTGGTCAGACCAAGAGACGAAGCAGAACGACTAGCTCACTTGCCAACGTTTCGGTACCGTCTCCGTTACCGGCATATTCACAGCTTGATCCGGCTATACCTGTTAATAGCGGCTATGCCAGCGCAAGGTCGGCAAATGTACCCCCGGGCTTTGCTCCAGGGCCATTTATGATGGGCCTTTCGGCGGACATGCAGCGTCACGACGAAAACTCCAGGGCCGCTTCTGCTCCTCTCAGTCCATCCGCTACGGCTTTGCTTCCCTCGAACATTCTGGATGACATGGACGATGACGGGCCGAGCCCGACAGCTAGATACGTACCTGATAATTACCTTCAGCAGTCGGGCAACTCTCTGGACAACGAGCCGCAATCGCCTACATCTTCAGGGGAATCTCCCAGCTTACTTGGTAGCCCGCATGGATCGTCCTCGAACCTGGCCTTTCCCACACTTACCGGGGATCAGCCCGATAACCGGTCATTGAACGCAATAACCGGAATAGGGTCGCCCAGTACTGCAGTGGGTTCCGAGCGCAAGATAGGCAGCCTCTTCTCTTTCCCGAGAACCAGGGCTGCAAAGGTCATGGAGACCGAGGGACCAATGCTTGGAAGCCTCAAGGGAGGGCAGAGCCAGTCCTTCCCTCGCCAGACGGACGACGACGCGTTGGCCAAAAGTCGACGTATTAGCCTCTCGGGCACATGGAACGTATTCAACCGACACTCGGCTACTCCCGAGCTACTTGAAGGCCCAGCCCCCGCTTCGCGCATGTTTTCGACACGCAGTTTCAACCCTTTCGCGAGCTCCTCGAGGCCAGCAGCTGGCATCTTTGGTGAACGTGACCCTAGTAGTCCTCGGCCTGCTAGCATTGCGTCGAACGAGTTCCCACGGCCTTCCACGGAATCCGGGTCGATTTGGGGCCCACCACTCGCTTCGGACGGAACAGGGCTTGTCAAAACCGGCCGAATCTGGCCGCAAGACGCTCCCTGGTCCAGAAACCCATCTCGTCGGCCGTCCCTTCATGGGTCGCCGTCTGCGCTGAAGACGACGTTGGCCTCTGCCGACGACGAAATTCTTGACGAGGGTCCACTGCCTAATGTTCATGAGGTCGGTGTTATTGGCAGGCCTCCGCCGCAGCATGCGTCCAAGGACAAGAATAAGGACAAGGATAAGGACAAAGCCATGGGCCGTTTGAACCCGAACGCTCCAGCCTTCAGTATAGGGTCACTGTTCAAGAAGGAGAAGGAGAAGGATGGGTCGAAGAAAGCGAAGGACAAAGGGAAGGACAAGACTGCTAAAAACAAGGATTCAGGTGCGGCATCTCCGGGCCACGAGACCCCGATTGTTGCCTCGATAGAGATGTTGCTGGAATCTCCTACGGAGTCTCGCAAGTCTCGTGATGGGATGCTGCTGGAACCTACGCGGACGTCTGTCTCCATGACCGAATCCCACGATTCTCTTTCCCTCGACCACTCTTTCTCCAATACTCCCTCGGAGGCCCTTAGCACGGGCCTGGCCGGCAGCTTCAAGGAGGACAACGTTGTCCGGAAGCTGTTCCGTAAGGGGAGCTCAGGCAAGTTCAGCCTTGCGGGTCGCTCGGGAGGTGGCCTCTTTAAGAAGGGACCCGGTAGTACGGCTAGTGCTTCGGATAGAGGCGTTTCGATCGGCGATCGGTCGAGCATGGATAACCTCGAGGACCTCGGCGAGGATGCTTTTAACCCGGCATTCTTGGCTCGCAGCTATGAGAGTGTTACCAGCAGTCCTAACGTCGGCCCATCGGCTTCAGCCAGCAATGTCAAGGACAAGTCTGTAAAGGAGAACAAGGCGCCTGGTGTAAGCTGGCTCAACTTTGGCAAGAAGGGAAAGAAGGAAAGGGAAAGTGTGGAGCTGGAGAGGGAGAAGTCTCAAGTCTTGAAGCCAGAGGTGTAGAAGCCAAAGGCTCAGGATGGTGATGAGGCTGAGGACAAGAAGGACTGAAAGGTCCCGTTCTCCTCCATGTGTGGCGTCTGTATATGCCGTGGTTGTGTCTTCCCGAACATGTTGTCGCTTGGCCTGTGGAGAGATCAAGCGTGCTATCCAAAAAGCTGTCTGTCTATATTACTTATCGTCATTGAAGCGTAAAAATCAAAATCATCATCCGTATCATCAACGCTTGACTATAAAGGATTTAATGTGACTGAAGCTCCTTTACCAAAGTAAACAAAGAAATGAATCCTGTAAAATACAGCAGTGGCAGTGTAGCACGGTGCACCGGCGGAGTGGGCGGGTTTCGCTGTACGGATGGCTTGGCATGGCACCATTTGCAGGTACCTGGTGGGGTCCAGGCCCCAAAGCAAAGGTACTTTGTAGTTCGTACTCCGCAGGCCCTCCATCATATTGACGGCTCGTAAACAGCAGCTTTGTGATGCTGCACTACCGGACAGCAATATTTTTACCACACGATCCGCAGTCGTGTCCAATTCAACTCTCACAGCCTTCGCCCCGGAAGAAGAAGATCATCCCATAGTTATTCCCTTTGAAACCCCCATGTCCCCGCAAGCCAATTGATCCGGAACAAACTCGCTATCGAATTCAGTCTCGAATCTTCTTCCTCCTCGTCCTCCACCTTCGACGACCGTCACAAACGATACCACCACCCACCGACTTCCCGTTACCTCCTAAACGATCAATCACCATGGGCGGCGATACCCCATCAACAATGTTTGGGGGCGCCAACAGCGACGGCGGCAGCAGCAATGGCACAACGAAGAAGGACGTAGAGCACTTGCCGATGCCCTCCAGAAACCCTCTGCCTCTCTCGGCGTCACAGGAGGCCCAAGTCCGAGACATCTTTTACGCCAGGGTCAGGAGTAAATGTACCGAGGAGATTAAGGGTTAGTTTTTGTTCCCTTGGGCTTTAGGCTTTGTGTCTCTATTTTCCCCATGTTACCCCTTCCCTTTTCTTCTTCTTCACTTTTCCCTCAGTGACGGTGGTAGCTGGTAGCTGGCTGGTATCTGGTTGTCAAGCAAGCTCTTTAGCCTCTTACCCACCCTCCCGCTTCTCTCTAGCATTTAATAACTAACCACCAATCCTCACAGCCTTCGCCGAATGCGCCCTAGGCCGCACCTTCTCCGTCCCCTTTGCCTGCCGCGAGCCCCACCGGGTCATGAACAGCTGCATGAAGTTGCACGCCAACCAGGCGGAGCAGGACGCCGCGCGCGAGGAGTGGTTTGCGCTACGCATGGAGCGCGCCCGCGAGCGCGAGCGCAAGGCGCGCCGGAAGGCCGAGCAGGAGGCCTTTTTGCGCGAGTGGTGGGGCTTGCCCGAGAAGGACCGCGAGGAGGCCCGCAAAGAGCTGGAGAAGATGAACCGGAAGGAGAGGGTTGGCGGCTATGTGGGGAATAATCGCCTTAGGGATGCGCAGAATAGTAAGATATTGGAGCAGGCGAGGCTGGAGAGGGATGGGATTGATCGGGATTTGCATACGTGAGGGGAGGTTTGAGGGGCCGAAAGGGGAGTAGAGGGAGGTGGGAGAAAAGGGATTCACAAAGGCAACGAGTTGGACGGCATTAGATGGGAAGAAATGGAGAGCGAGAACCTTATTGCGACCTTGAGTACGGCAGTGTCAGGTCAGAAAGGATGACGGCTCGGGATTCGGCTCTCCGCGGCTGGGTTGGGTTGAATACCGCAAGGCTATGAGGTTGTTGCGCAGAATTCTACTTCCGGTCGGGATTCGACTGCCCGGCTTTTGCGTTCCTGACGACAATCCTTATCGCCGCTTTCTTACGATCCCACGATTACTCTCCGTGTGGTTGTTTTGAAAAACTACTCATCTGATCGGACCAAGAGGAGAGGAACGTGCATGGAGGATTTCACGTGTCAGGACAGGGGGCAGTCAGGGGTTTGTTTACTTGAGCAGCACTTGGCTGGGCCCGACGGACGGTTGATTTGCAACGGCGTTATGATGATTTCTAGAAATGGGGTTGGTTCATGAGATGGGATGGAAGACATGGGAAGTGGGATGAACTACGCATATCTGTATAGTATCAAAAGGACGGGAGGCGGATCTAGGGACGTGGAAATACGTTGTAAGAATAGGAAACCAATTGAACAAAATCTCTTTTAGCACAAGGTAGGTACACGCTTTAGGATCTCCACCATAAGTCCCTCTTCTTTTTCTTTTCATATATCCCCATCCGAATAGGTATGCTACCCTTACTTGTCAATGACGGCGATGATTACCTCTATGTACACTTTCCCTCCATTTTTTTCCATGTTTGTGCCTGTATATGCCCCTTACCTCCAAGTTTATATGCATCTATGCTGCCCCAAATAATAAAAAAAGGGAATTGTCTCTAAGGACGATGTATTACACGTGCCCACCAACGTAATGCTCAGACTGATAAGCTCCAACGATTCAACCAAATCGGAAGAGCGAAAAGACAAAGAAGACGTTGAAAAAGAAACAGATCTCTCCACGACATACCATTCCTATCTTCAACCTCTCCTCAACCTCTCTTCAACCTCTCTCCAACATTTCCTCATCTCACACCCCCCTCCACCCCAGGCCTCCTAAAAGGATGAGCCTCAGTATTAAACACCCACTCATCCAAGCTGATTGTCGTCTCTTCAGGACTAAAAATCAGATAAAAATATTTCAAAGTTTCCGCCAACCAGAAACTCTCCATCGAATCCATTTTTACGGTTGGCTGCCCGGGATTCGCCGTGTGCACATTCGCAATAGCCGAAAACGCAAACTTGGTTTCGGTGGCCTTGCTAATGGCCGAAAACATGCGCCAGGCGACGTCGAGGAGGTCCTTTTTGCCGGTTATGCGGTAGAGGATGAAGAGGGACTCGATGGCTTCCGGGCGGAGCATGTAGCGCGGGTCGGAAATTTTGGTGAAGGGTTTGGGAAGGGGGAGGGGTTTCTTTTGGGGAGAGGCAGAGCTGGTGCTAGGGTCGGAGTCGTCGGGGTTGGGGTCTGAGGTGAAGCGGTGACTGAGAGCAGCGGCGGCTTTCCTTTTCTCGATTCGGTATTTGGTTTCGTTCCAGGGGCATTGCTGGGTGAGATGCTGATGATGACCGTCCTTTTCGCGGGCGTTTTCACATGGAACAACCTCGGAAACCTCGGGCATGATACCCGTGGAAAAGGCTTCGTACGCCCACGCGCACCCCCGAGCTAGTTGCTCGCCGATTTGCACATGTTCGGGTCTGTCGAAGAGCTTCCCGCCTAGCGCAAACATGCCGCCCGCAAAACAACCGAGGTGTTGGACGCGCGGCTGGAGGGCGGATTTGTCGCGATGGGTGGATACGGCGTTGCCGGAGAACAAGATGTCTGGAGGAGGAGACCCGGCTTCGAAGGCGTCATCGTCTCCGGAAGGGAGCATGGGGCGGAACAAGAGGTGCTTGGCAGCGGCGTCCATGGCTTTGGTGTGCATCGTTTCGTAGGAAGGATCAAGGCCGCCGAGGAGGAGGTAGGTCTTGGAGAGGTATTCGTAGGCGGAATCGGCTTGGGCGCCGAGAGTGAAGAGAGTGTCGGAGGTGGGCCGGGTTCCTTCTATCAGGTCGATGTACTTTGGCCATAGACCGGGGAGGTTTGTTTGATCTTGTGTCTTTTCAAGCCCTCTTTTCAGTTGCTCCACGACGGTGTAGTATTTGGGATCGCCGGTTAGCTGAGAGAGGCGGGTGAACTCCATGGACATGGAGCCGAGGACGGCAAGGGATTGGCGTGAAGAGGCCATCAGTTTGCCATTCTTAGCATTTCTGAAGTTGAAAGAGTTAGCTGGTAGGTGGTTTGGAGTGTCGAAGCCTGCGAAGAGCATGTCGCCTAGCTCTACCGCTTTCTTCAGGAGGATCTCTTGATCACTCAAGTCGTAGGCTGAGAGCAGGCCGCCGAGATATCTGATATTTGTCTCGAACAAGCTGCAATGAGAAGACGATGCCTTGTTCCAGTCGATGGATCCCACCGCGCGCACCGCTTCATCGAATTCCGCCCTCAGCCCCATGATCCAGAGAGTGTCTAGCGAGTCCACCAAGGTAGCGCCCCATCCGGCAAAGCTATTTTTCCCAGTCAGCGACACCGGGGTGAGCTCATCACGTCGCCAGGCGAAAGCTCGGTAAGACTTCCATGATTTCTGAGCGGCCTTCCTGACGGCGTCCCTCCGTTGAAACTGCGTCTCGTTATGCGCCTTGTCGAGTTCGTCCTTGGTAAAAACATGTTGTATCCGCGGAAGCTCACGGGGAGGGCCTTCCGGAAGCGGTATAAGTGAAGATTCGGGTATCGGGTATTTCATGGGCCGACTTGCCCAGTCAAAACTTGTTTGTACATATTCGTCTTCCGGTTCTGCTTCTTGCCATCCCTGAGATCGAGATAATGAAGGATAGGAGAGGTAGCCAAAAACTAGGAAGAAAACGACAAAAATAAAGAGACGTTGAAGCCTACGACCGCTTGCTAAAGGGGTCATGGTTTTGGTGAAGAGGTTGGCACATTGCTAAGCCAACTCTCGATATCCTAAGGAGAAAGAAAGAAAAGACAAGATGCAATCCCACAAAACATAAAAGACACAAGAAAAGACCAAGCCAAGATGAAAGGACCACCTGCGCAAGCTGTCCGTGTCCACCGCTCGCCATGAAGCTGGGTCAAACCTGCTTCCATCATGCCGGCCGCGCGTTGGCGGAGCTCGAGGACCACCAAATTACAGTCCAAATATGCATGCCCAGAACCTCGGGGTTTTGCTGTCAATGACGCTTTGAGACATATCATCAAGAGTCTTCCTAGACAGAGCCTCAACCCCTTTTTGGCAAGATATTTGCTCTCGTTCGGCACTTGCCGATCATCATCGAGGACTATCTCGAGGCTCGCGTAAACGATGATTGTGTCGAGGAACAATGGTCGTATTTTAGACCCGAAGCCTCCGAGAATCTGAGAAGAAAGTGGGCTTTGCAACGGCAGACGTCATCTCCAGATGGTCCAATGCCCTAGAAAGGCATAGCATCGATGCACAGTGGGCATGGCGTTCAGAGTCGGCACAGACTGCCGATGGAGTTCTGCGTAAAAGACCAGCTAAGAAGTCCGGCGACAGATAGGTATCGTGATCTCTGCAGATGGTTGAACACCCGAGATGGTGTTGGGCGCTGAATTGGACTGTTCGAAAACCGGTGATCAACAGGGATGAGAGTGAGTTCAGTTGTCAGTATTGGAAAAAAGACTGTTGCAGCAAGAGTGACCTGAAGTCAGATCGAAACGAAGTCCCAACTGTGTGAAACCGCACCTGCACTGGCCGATCCCGATCAGTGGATCTCAAATCGTGCTTGGAAGGCCCGGAGCTTTCCCGTTACCAAGCCTACCATGGTCCACTCTCCTGCAGGCCGTGTCCCAGGCGGTCAGCAGGGTGTGTCTCTTATCGCTTATCGCAGTTCCTGGCTCCTCCAAAATTTTGGAGCCAGCCGCGCGTGGAAGACAGCGTTCAGCGGCAAGAGCATTGAAGGTCACTTCCACTTTCCAGCCGCCTGCAATTGTTTCCTTCCATTGATTCCATCTCCCTTTTGCTGGCCTCTCCCCCCCGATCATACTATCCCACGTCTCCCCCATAATACAGACGCACAGCAACCATGTCGTCGCTACGAAACAGGTAAGCCAAAACCCATCTTTCGAGAAATACAGTTGAACAACAAACTAACCAGCCGTTTCCAATTGCAGCGTTCAGCGCCGCTCCCATAAGGAGCGTGCCCAGCCCCTCGAGCGTCAACGTCTCGGTCTCCTCGAAAAGAAGAAGGATTACCAAAAGCGTGCCAAGGACTACAAGAAGAAGCAGGAGGTGCTCAAGTCTCTGCGCCAGAAGGTCGCCGAGAAGAACGAGGATGAATTCTACTTCGGCATGATGTCCCGCAAGGGACCCGGTCAGGCCATCACCCGCGAGGGCAAGAAGAAGAACTTTACCGGCACGGTCGAGGGCGATCGCGGCAACAAGGCCATGGACGTGGAGACGGTGCGCCTGCTCAAGACACAGGATCTGGGTTACCTACGGACGATGCGCAACGTGACTGCCAAGGAGGTGCGCGAGCTGATGGAGAGGGTCATTCTTGCCGGTGGCGCCGACATGGACGACGATAGCGACGACGACGAAGACGATTTCGATGACTTCGATGAGGACATGGGCGGCAGCAGCAAGAACAAGAAGAAGAGCTCGAGCGGGAGGACAGTACCCAAGAAGATTGTCTTCTTCGATGCGCCCGAGGAACGCAAGCAAAAACTACAAGCAGTGGACGACCAAGAGATGGCAGATTTCGATTCGGAAGAGGACGAGGAAAAGGCAAAGGAGCAGGATCGGAAAGCGCGAAACCTGGCGAGACTGCAAAACAGGCTCAAGCAGGCCAAGAAGAAGCTCAAGGCCCTAACGGATGCTGAGACGGAGCTGGAGATCACACAAGCCAAGATGGCCAAGACACGGACGTCTGGCGGCATCACAAAAACCGGCAGGAGGATCAAGGTCAAGGAGAGAAAGAGGTAACGGACTCGGCTATGGTTCGTCTCCTTTCATCTCTCTGTTTGTTCTGTTTTTACTGCTGGGTTGTTTTTTTCTCTCTTGTTCCATCTTTCATTGGGTTCATTTTTCTCGAGGAGCGATTTTGACGACATCACCACAAATAGTTCCCTCTCAGGGTTTCCATTCAAAAAATCCGTCTAAAAAGGACAGCTAGGTAGCTTCCATAGCTACTGCTGTTGCTGCGGTGGTTGATGATGATGCAAAATACCAACCACAATAATACCCGCCCCATCATCAAACGCCTGAACAAAATATGTACACCTTTTCATGATATCCATTAACATCATTCTTTCTTTCCTGGGACCTTCAGCGGCCAGTTCCATTGCTTCCTTCTTGGGGTATTGCCAAGTTCCTTGGATTATATATATATATATATATATACATATCCTTCCCTAAACCGTCGTTTAATTCCAGCGTGCTCCCTTTTCTATATTATTGAAATACCTCGTTAGTCAACTTCCTCTCTCACCACTATAAGGGGCACTTATTTTGAGGCACACTTACCGCATCCTTTTATGAACAGCATAAACACCTTAAACACCAGCGTAGCACACCAGATAATAGCCTTGAAAGCAAACTTCAAGACGGCAATCAGCCCCCGCGTACACCCCGGCATCTTCTCGTTCTTGGCCTTCAGATCCGCATTCACCTGCGCCTCAATATCCAGCTCAAACTGCTCGACGCGGGTCTTGATGCCATTAACCAAGTCCTTCTCCTTCTGTTTCTGCCTCTTCTTCTTCTTGTCTTCCTTCTCACCATCCGAAGTGGTATTCCTCCTCAGCGCGGAAGATAACGACTCCGCCAAACTCGACCTCTGGCTTCCTCCTCCAGCACCAGCACCAGCAGCACCAGGGGGCCCCCCAAAAAACACCGCCGGCGGCGGCTCAAACGTCTCGACGCGGATGAACTGCTCGTCCGCATGCGCCACCAGCACCAGTGCCGCGATGGCCACGTCAACCAGGTACACCGCCTCCACGTGGCTCGCAATCGCCGTGTCGATCTCCAGCCAGCCCTGACCGGTGCCGTCCCGCGTCAGACGACCGAGGTGGTTCGGCGACTCGATATGCTCCAGCGTGTACTCGGTCCTGTTATAGGCCGCGTTGCGCTCCACCGTGATGCAGAACGGCATCGCCAGGCTGGGGTGCACCAGGTAGTGGTTCCCGCTGTCCGAGTCCCACACCAGCCTGCCGCACTCGTTCTCTGCGGCTGCGACGGTGGCCGCGTCAGTCGTGGCGCGGTCCAAAGCTAGTCGCGCGGCTGTGAGCGGCCATAGCTGTGCGACGAGTCCGTCGTTGGGTGGCTGCTTCCGCACGGCGGCCTCGAGAGTCGTGGAGATGACTTCCTGCCAGTGCTTGGCGTCGTGTTTCTTGGTCTTGGTGCTCTTGCTGCTGGCGCCGCCCAAGGCGCCGCCGGAGCCGTCCGGGTTGCGGGAGAAGACGGAGGAAGGGCGCGGGGAGGGCGTGCTGGAGGAGGCGCGGGCGCCGGGGGTGGGGGAGGAGGAGGCGGAGGAGGTGGAAGAAGCGGAAGAAGCCACGGCTGAGGCGGCGGAGATTCCCACCGCCGCGCTGGTGGACTTGTCGCCTTTGAAGGTCTTGTTGGGGTCGTAGCGCGAAAGCGAGACCAGAGCGGAGGCGGAGGTCGGGTCCACCCGCAGACAGTAGAAGGGCTGGTTGGAGGAGGAGAGCGTGTAGACGGGGGCGTAGGCATCTGATGCCATTTTCAGGCAGTATTTACGCCCTTCGAGCTGCGTGGCTCGCCACCCGTTGGCGGCTTTCCAGAGACCGCGAAGCTCTTCGGTGGTATTCACCGTTGGTATCACTGGCGGCTCGTGGCTGCGCGTTACCGGCCATCGTTGGTTGGCTGATCCAGAGGTCACGGACGGGTTGGCTACCGGCCGGGTTCTGGGGTTCGTCGGTCCATTCGTACCGGCATTGGTGCCAGCTTCGCTTTGCTGGTCGGCGTCGCGGGCTGAGTACATGGGTCTGCTGATTGCGGACTGGGGAATATGTGTAGGGCTGGCCTGGGTTGGGTAATAGTCCTGGCGATCAAGCGGAATTTCGGGGTTATATCGTGGGAATATCGACCGGATGGCAGCTGCTTGTGGTGGTTGCGGTGGTTGAGGGATGGCGGTAGGAGCTGCTGCTGCTGCCGCTGCTGCGTTCGATGATGGTCCAGGAGCATATGTGATGGGTGGTTTGGCGATTGAGCTTCGAGTTCCCTTACTTTGCTGCCCGACCAGTGTCTCTGCCTCGGACAGTGTCGTCTCGCATCGTGGAGGCGCGTCTGCTTCGGAGATGGGCGCAGCAACACTAGTTTCAACTATTGGATCCGATGGCAAGCTCTCAACTGGTAGCTGTCGCTGCGGTTGCTCCTGATGTTGCTCTCGATGTTCCCGCTGCTGTCGAGCCGAGTCTAGTGCTGACTGCCAAGGGTTGTTGGAGTGGTTGTTGGAGTGTGAAGCCGACCTTTGCTTCCCTTCCCGTGGTGTTCCCCGTCCTCCAGCTGGTGATTGCCTTCCTGCCTCCCGGGACGATGATGGTTCTGTTGACGTTGAAGGGCGGCCTTGAGGTGTTGCTGCTCTCGACGGTCTTGAAGGTGGTCTTGGGGTGACGTTGGTATTGGGGAAGAGGGAGAACCCCCCTCCCGCTTGAGTTGTTGTTGCTGTCGACATATCTGATAATATGGTCCTGATGATCCAACGAAGTTATTTCCGGCGTAATGTGTCGTTATTCGTGGGATTTCGTCGATTTCTTTCCTCCTCGTCTTTCGTTGAACTCGATGACCGACCAACAAAAGGTCAATAGGGGTATCACAAGAAAATGGCAGTCGACCTGCTACCGAGACATGATCACAGATCAAACAAAAATGGAGAACCAAAACCCGCGGATCTGTCAACAGACAAACACCCGAACAATGGCATCAACGGCTCCCGGGAGCAGAGAGGCAGGCAGGGTCAGGACCGTCGAGGCGGGAATAAGGTCGATAGAAGAACCAATCCGTCGGAACAAGAACAAGAAGATCTTGTCACCGGGACACAGGAAAGAACTGGGCCCCCTCGATACATATTTGTTTGACCATGTGGTCTTGCCCTGCCGTGGGTGTCCGCATCCATACGCCTTACACAGTGCCCTTCCCGCTCTCTCTCTCTCTCTCGCTCCCAAAGCTACACAGTACACTAACACAGGCCTTTTCTTACGCCCGGGGCGAACCAGGGCTCACACAGGCTGGCATTAAAGTCCGATACTACCCAAGAAAAAAAGTCACTGATCTGATCAGAGTGGAGGACAGAAGCAGCAGCGCCGTGGAGGTGCAGCCCATCATTGCTTGTGCTTGTGTGGTCCGTCCTGGCTGGACCCATCCTTTCCGAATGCGTGAGATCCTTCCAATCGCCATGTTTTCTAAGCGCTGTTCCCGGCTTCGATGTGGGCAACGGCTCCAACGAGACCGGGGGGGTAACCTAAGCACCGTGGACTGAGGAAGAGACTGGTGGTGGGAGTGGTTGTTGAACATCCGCACTTGTGTTGGGTGGGCAGATGGCAAAGGAGAGCTGTGAGTGGTCGGAAGCAGCTGTACGGCGGGAAAGTAGGTGAAAAAGACCATGGAGATGCAGAAGGAATAGCCGCCCAAAATAGCTGCTAGGGTCGGTGCTGACCCGTTCTGGAGGGTGCTTGGCGAGCCCTGGGGGCGCCTGGGGTGGTGAGACCCTCTTGGACCCCTGGCTCCGATGAGACGGACTTGGGGGTGAGTGGCCAATCAGACGCCGGATCACGCTGCATCTAGACGCCCTTTGTCAAAGTCGCATCGAGGAACACTGGAGCGACACCATCAATGCACCACAACATCACGGAGTCGCAAATCGTTGATCCTAGCACTTTTGTTTCTCACCTCTCACAAGACGAGTTGTTTTGTCCTCTGGCTGGCGTAAGTTGTTTCCATCTCGGCAGCTTTCTTCGATGCTATCAAGAAAGTTTGGTTATTTGCTTCATTCCCGCTCTTGCGTGCACGACAGTTGCATTCCCTCCCGTCATCATCATGAGTCTTTGAATTTGGCTGTCTTGGCATTTACTACATCTGGCAGTCACTGATTGCTGTGGTAGTGTTATGCGTTATGAAGATGCGGCAAGCGACTGAGGGTGTCTTCATCTACAGTTTAGATAATCAAGATGATGAAGACCAGGTCCGGGCCCTGATAAACGGATACAATTGCGTCTACATATCATACCACTTATCCCGTCCCGAAGGTGAACACAGATCGAAACGTCACTCGGGTTCTGTTCAAGAAAAGTCGAATTTCAATATCTCCGCCTCAGAACTTCCTCGGTGCGATTCAGCTATCCCCGACACCATGTGGCGGCTGTCTGATTGCGATCACGGCTTATCTTCTGCCGATAGAGTCTTCGAAGCGCAATCTTGCCCTCGTGCTACCTATAACTGATGTACTTAAGGGGGTGGTCATCAGAACGGTCGTCATGTTAACGGGTCCCCTCAGGTGGCCGCCTTTGCCGCCAGGAACGGAATCACGCCGTTGTCGCTGTCGAATGGGTACGGTTATAAAGACGGCTTCATTTCCGAACGGCGTGAAATATTTGTTTCGTGGGATAATAAGCGTTTACATGACCGAGTTCGGACAGCTCATATTTGTTTTCACAAAAATTTCACCATGCTACGCTGCCGAGTTGAATTTGAAGCCAAGATGAAATCTTCTGAAATTCTGACCAGATCTCTGCGGTTAATTCTGATATAGTTCCATGAACTATTCTCAGGTGTCTGCCCGTATACCACGAGCTCCGTGCGCGGGTCGATCGACTCCCGTCCTGAATATAGTTCTCGTCCGCCAGTACGCAGATGGACGGAGGTAAACACACAAATCATCATCACTTACAGTACAACCGGTGTCAATGATGTTTCTTCCTCTCCAAGCTTTCTTCCTCCCCCTGCAAAAGGCAGTGCGGTAACCTCATGTTTCGTTTCTATTATAGTACCGGCACGGGAGTCTCCTGGATACCGTTACATTTTGTTTTGCGATGCCGTGCGTGGGCATCATGCACAACAGCTTCTTCATGGGTTGCAGTGCGGTTGCTGTTGTTGTTACAGATTTCTTGTTTGCAGGCATCTAGAAGCCACCGGGGAAGAACAACAGGCTTCTATACATATCTTGACCATCCAGTGTTTTACCTTCGCGGTCTTGTTCTTGGACTCTCGAATGCAGATCCACTCAGCATGGGCATGGAGTACGGTTTTAGGACGAGTCTTGACACTTGCATGTATGCAAGATCTTCGGTGCAATATTCCAAAAATATTTTGCTTTTCTGTTGGGCTCCAAGTGGATGATGTTGGCTGTTTGCTTGGGACTGCTTGACTGCTTGGTGGCTGCTGATGGGCGTTGCTGACAGAGATGGATGATTTGTTTTCTATGTGCTGGTGGTGGATGCCCGACGCCAACCGTTTGGAGAATATTTCCATGTGAGAGGATTTTGATGAAGGGAAATTCAGTTCGTCATGGTCTGGAAGTTCGTCGAGAAGAAAAAGACAGAAAAGAAGGGAGAAAAATATTTGGAGAAAGGTGTTACCATACCACCTTACGGTTGACGTCTGTTTCACTGCTATAGTTGTAGGCGGACAACTGAACGTCGGAGATAAGATCCATGATCATGAAATGCTGTATCCTCCAATTGTACCTCTCCATGAAATGAGATGAGCCATCATCCTCCCAAGTTTGGTTTCCCCTTTTTCAGCTCAAAATACGACAGCTGATTCCGGCCGGGTCAACTTCCGGGAAGCCGGCAGTACCCGGATGGAGCTCGGGTCCAAAGTGGGGAATTACGGGCGGTTTCCGAGCCGGAAGCGGGAAACCCACTCACCCCCGCTCTCCCCGCTCCCGTAACCCCGCACTCTCAGACGGGCTCACTCCGTCAGGCTACACTCACACCACTCATCAACATCACGGTGACACAATTCTTCAGACCCATCACACTAAAGCCGGGCGCTCGCCGCTGCCGCATTTCTTCCCGTTCAGGAATGCCTCCCGAGTCCCGCCTAAAGCCCTTTTTCCATGGTTTCTAACTCCTCTTGGCATCGTGTGCCTGATTGCGCCCTGCATGTATGGGTTATCGCCCCGTTGATCAGCGTCGGCGGCGGAGGTTGCGAAGACGGAGCCTTGTGTTGATATCAAGGATTTGGAATAGTACATAAGATCACCACAATGCCTTGAAATTGAGCTGTTAACACCTTTCGACTTACAAGATTCAAGCATCGTGTCGTGTCGTGTGAGTCAGTTAGTCAGTCAGTCCAACTGATGCATTTGAGGTTTTCAACAACCACCACCACGACACTCCTCTTCATCAGACCTTCTTCCACTCGAACCTCGCCGCCGCCCCGGCTCATCATGAGTTTCGCCCAGAGACAATCAGCAGTGTATTACACCACGAATAACCCACAGGGACCATCGAGCATCAACATGTCCAATAAATCCAAGGGCCACGTCGTCGTTATCGGGTTGGTTTCTAGGAATCTCAATGTATTAATGCATCAATTCTAACGTGACCATAGCGCCGGTGTAATCGGCCTCTCCTCCGCCCTCGCCCTCCTCGAAGCCAACTACACCACCACCATCCTCGCCAAAGACCTACCCGCCCCCTTCGAGTCCATCGACCCCCGCGGCCAAATAAACTTTACCTCCCCCTGGGGCGGCGCCCACAACCGCTGGGTGCCCCCCTTTCCCACTGTCCCATCCACCCCCTTAACCGCAGCCCAACAATCCGAGCATGCCCTGCGCGCCCGCGAACACGCCTTCTCCCTCTCCACCTTCCACCGCATGAAACACTTCCAGTCCCAAAACCAGGCCCAGCAAGCAGGCATCACCTTCCTCAAAGGCATCGAATACCTCGAAACCCCAGGACCGGAATACCTTTCCCTCACTGCCGAGCGAGCCTCCCAAGAACTCGGTCTCCCGGGCACCTTCCGCGTTCTGGAGTCTCACGAATTCCCCGACGACAAAATCACGTGGGGGTGCGAGTACGACACCTGGTGCGTGAACCCGATGCAATACTGCCTCTTTCTTTTAGGACAAATTATCGCGCGGGGCGGCAAGGTGTTTAAGCGGGAAGTTCGTTCCACCGCCGAAGTTTTCCAGTTATTTTCGGACGGGGTGAAGGAGTTCGGGGAGACGCTGCCGAAGGCAGATGCCGTGGTGAACGCCACTGGCGTTGGGATGGGCGATGACGAGCTGGTTTTTCCTACGCGGGGGCAGACGTGTTTGGTGCAGGAGCCGTGCGAGGCGACGGTCACGAGACAAAATGCGGATGGGAGCTGGACGTTTTGTGTGCCGAGAGGGTACGGGGCGGGCACGATTATTGGGGGCACGAAGGAGCCGGATAATTGGGATCCGAAGCCGGATCCGCAGGCGAGGGAGAGGTTGCTGAGGGCGTTCGAGGGGACGTATCCGAAGATGTTGGCGGAGGGGAAGACGAGGTTGACGCCGGTGAGGGATATCGTGGGGAGGCGGCCGACGAGGAAGGGGGGGCTGAGGCTGGAGGGGGAGATGGTGGATGGGGCTGGGTTTGTGATGCATGCGTATGGGTTGGGTGGGAGAGGGTACGAGTTGTCTTGGGGTGTGGCGGAGGGTGTGGTTGAAGGTATTAAGGGGTATCTTGAGAAGGAAAGGGGTTCGAGGTTGTAGACTTTAGTTGTGATTCGATGTATAAGCCGGCAGACGCCATGAGACTGATGTTTGCTCCGCCCACTTCTTGCTGAAAGGGCATTTCTATGCCACTATTATTCTGTCTATCGTTTGTTGACGTTCTAGGCTCTGCACGGGCGCCTGGCCCTTTGTTCCATCGCCCCAGTTCCATTATTCAGTAAAGCTCCCGTCGAAGGGCGCCTGTCCCTGTGCTGAAATTGGCAGAGCTCAACCAGACGGAGACTCTTCTCAGTCACGATATGGCTCCTTATTCCTCTTCATCCTCCTCATCGCTGCCAATAACTTCATCCTCGTACCCTTGGTTGAAGATCACCTTCTCTGCTAACTGCAAGGTTTTCCTGACCGGCAACCCAATCACATTGTCCACGCTGCCCTCAATCTTTTCAACCAGCACCATGCCTCCAATGCCCTGGATGGCATAACCGCCAGCCTTATCCGCACCCTCGCGTGTCTTGACGTATGCCTCAATTACGTCATCGGGCAATCCGTCCTTGGCCTGCGCAAAGTAGACCTCGGTGTCTTCCACGTGCGTCTCCAGCTCATATCCAGGGTGGGTAAGGTTCTCCTTGGGAGCGAGCACACATACGGCCGTCAATACACGATGTACGCGCGTGTCGCGAAGGTGTTTCAGCATGCGGATATGGTCCTGCTCGTCGCGCGGCTTCTCGAGGATCCGACCGGAGCGTGTAGCGATGACCGTGTCGGCGGAGATGACGAGAGCGGGATCGGCGGGCCTCTCTACGTCCTTCTTCTTTTCGTCCTCTTCTTGCTGCAACAGGGCCTGCTCGTATACGTGCAGGATCTTGCGGCGGGCGGTCTCGGCGACATATTCTTCGGGGGTAATCTTGCCCTTTTGGACGTCTTCGGGCTTGTCTGATGGGAAGATTTCGACGTTGTCCAAGCCAAGCTGTTTGGTTGAATTTGTTAGACTCGAGTATACCGTGATGTGGCAACGATGACGTACCTGGCTGAGAAGAGCTTTCCGCCTCGGTGATGCTGATGCCAGAATAACTCTCTTGGTCTTGAGATGCTCGAGGATGGGAAGCTGAAGGGGCATAGGACCCCGTCTGATGGGGGCGCTCTGGCGGAGCGGTATCCCATGCCGGCGGGCTGCCGCGATGTAGGGCGGTACGTTCTCGGGCGCAGGTTCGGTAGGATCCATGGCTGCTATGTGTGAGGTTGAGTTTATAGGGAATCGACTGGGACGATGTTTTGCTAAAAGTTGTAGCCCGCGTCTAAGCATACGATGGGATAGGGGATGGAACGGGAATGGCGGTAGCGGTGGAGAGCTTCCGTCGGCGCCGGTGGGGGAGGGGCTCAGGGCTGTTCAGGTTCCGTGGCGCTGATTCGAGTGCTGATGAACTGGAAAGGTGCCCGGCGATCTGTCAACCGAAGCTCTGGAAGTGGCCCACGACAGGGGAGATGACGATCGCCCACTGGAATGGTGGCCCCACTTTGCTTTCGTCCCATTCATGCAACAGCGGCACTGCGTCATCGCCGGCACTTGCTCAACGTGCAGTGTGCTGTGATCAGCCTTGTCTCACCACTACAAAGCAAACAGAAGCAAGTCACAATTTCGAGATTGAACGGAGTGCACGGCTGGCTACACCAAATGACAGAGTGAGAAGCCCTCGTGCGACGGGAGACAAAGTGAGAGCTTACGCAGAACGGCAGGATTATCGATCATTCGTATGCATCTACCTTGGCCTTCATAAATTGCAGCAGCTCCTCGGGCGCCATGACGAGGTTCTTCTGCGCCGGCTTGTCGCCAGTGTGAAGACCTCCGGTAGCATCAACCGCGACAGTACCATTGGCAACATCCTTGGGGCCAACAACGATGACCATACCATAGCCCCTGGTCTTGGCCTCGCGAATCTTGAGCGACAGACTGCGCGCACTATCATCAAGGTCGATAGCAAGGCCCGACGGGGATACGTGAGAATCTGCAGAGTCTGTGCCTAGCAACACTCTCTGGGTCTTGCGGGCGAACTGCAACACCGGCTCACTGTCGTTTACGGTGAGCACAATGGCCTGTCTAGGGTTAAGCCAGAATGGCCATTTGCCATTAAAGTGCTCAATCAGCAAAGCGAACATGCGCTCCGCCGAGCCCAAAACAGCCCGGTGGATCATTACAGGTCTCACGGGTCCAGACACAGCAAGGAGTTCGGGATCCGTCGTCGTCTCGCCCTTGGCTTCCAGTTCAGGAGCTGGTGCCTGGTACTCGAGCTCAAACCGCTTGGGCAGCTGGAAGTCGAGCTGAATCGTGGCTGTCTGATGTTCCTTTCCGTCCGAGTCCTTGAGGATTACGTCGATCTTGGGCCCGTAAAAGGCACCATCTCCCTCGTTCAAGGTCCATGGCTCCCCCGAAGTATCCAACGCTCGCTTTAGAGATCCTTCCGCATGCTCCCAGTCCTCCAGACTGCCCATATAGTTTTCCGGCCTTGTGGAAAGCTTCAAGCGATACGATCCCAGGCGGAAGTCCTTGTATACGCGCCGAATAAACTCGAGGGTCTTGCTGATTTCGTCCTCGATCTGGTTCGGCCGGCAGAAAATATGACCATCGTCTTGGTGGAATCGGCGAACACGGGTTAGGCCGCTCAATGCGCCGGAGATCTCGTTACGGTGGAGGGGGCTGAAGTCGGCGTAGCGAATGGGGAGGTCGCGATAGCTTCGTTTCTGCGCTGCGAAAATCAGGCAGTGGCCCGGGCAGTTCATAGGCTTGAGTCCGTATTCGTCGACCTCGCCGGCCTCGGTAACATCGGCGCGCGATGGTGATGTGCTCGTAACGGTGAACATGTCGTCGGCGTAGTTTTCGAGATGGCCCGACTTGGCCCAGAGCGCCTTCTTGTAGATGGTCGGGGTGATGACTTCTTGGAAGCCATAGTGGACGTATTGCTTGCGGAGGTATTCGACAAGACGGTTGAAAATGCGAGCGCCATTGGGCAGGAAGATGGGCGATCCAGGGCTATAAATCGAGGTCATAAACAGCTCCTGCTGTGTTCCGAGGTCGCGATGATCGGGCGCTTCCGGCTTCGCTGGGACGGGGTTCGCGCTGGCGCAAGAAGAGCACAGCCGATGGCGCACTTGGACTTGGGAGACGGCAGGGCGGGCGAGCGGTACCCTAGCGCGGGTCAAAAGGGCCCGAGAAGTCCATCGCGTGAGCCGTTGAGAGAGCATCCTCCCGTCGCCTCTCCACACTGTCCGGTTGTGCGGGTGGTTGTTGAGAGGTGTTTGGAATTTGGGTGTGATCGCAGGAAACTTTTCCAGACGGGATGGAAGCTCCGTCGGCGGCTGCTTTGTCGCGCTTCGAGGCCCGAGAGCCAGTTTCTTGGCGTTAGCGACAGGCTCGTCCCATCTGCCCCTGCCGCTGCAAGGGGTCCCCCCCTGGATGGGAGCTTCCCAGAGTGGACTCCACCGGGCCAACCCTCCACCCCCGCTCGGGGCCGTTTGCCGTCAACGGGCACAGCGGGCACCTGTCTGCCGGGCGGGGCAGGTGACTGGGGGTGAGATAAGTGCACACGACGAACGGTGCTGGCCGTGATTATTCTCGACGTCTCTCACCACCTCTTCAAAGTTCACCGAGTCACCGTCCTGCTACCCTCTGTGACCGACCGAGGTCGACGATACAAAGAAGGGTCACCAGAGCTCGTTGTTCTTAGCATCATCCCGTCCTGTGACAGGACATGCGTTGTGGCACACACGGGCACTGTAGCAGCGTGCATCGGTACCTTACACCACCTTACCATTAACTTTGCCTTTCCACGTTGCCTCCCTCCCTCCCTTCTCTCCCTCCACCTATCTACCCTACCGTTTAAACCTTACCTAGTCCATTTCCGTCGCATTCCAGTTGCTTGGTTTAACGACATCTCACTCAGCCTCAATATCTCAAAGCTATTGTTGGATTATCAAAGAGCATACATACCCGGCTCTCCTGTTCTTTATACACCCTATACCCACGGAACATCCACCTCTGATCCTGCGCGCCTCATCTGATACTTCCGTTTTCACCACTTATACCCGTGTATCGGTGCCTTGTCGTGACTCAAATACACGCGACGGTATTAGTCTGTGCGCACCTTGCCTTTGAGCGGCTTGAAGCCTGGGATCGACTTCACGGTAAACAAAGAACCAGTTATCAGTTGCCGTTAAAATTTGGCCGAGCTCCCCCGCTGTCAACAATCAAATCAACCCAGACCGAAGCCTATAAGAGAGGCACTGTTGCCTAGAACTCCGCACACATCAACCACCAATCTCGACTGTTATGCTCATGCTATCGCGGCCCCATCCTGTCTATAAAACCTTGACTTTACAACTCTTAGGCCTAAGTATTTCCCCACGGGCTCACTCATGGTAGTTACATACCATGTCAGGACGTCAACCACCCGGGCAGCCGCCCAATGTCTCGAGCTCTTGGCGCATGGTCGAGGGAGGCGAGAATGATAGCTTCGATACCTCGTTAATGCCCGACGACTATGATGGCAACGATATGATCCTGTCCAGTCAAAGCGACCACTCGCATGTAGACGGGAGCCAACCTTTCAGTATGGACGGATCTCAGCCATTCAGTATAGGAGGATCACAGGACGAGAGTCTCGAAAGTTTCCTACACAGAGCCGAAGATGATGATCAAGTCATCATGAGGACTCCCTTTCGACCTTCAATACCGCAGTCTGTTCGACACGCGTCTCGCGAAAACATGAGACACCGGATCCAGCCAACACCGCAGGAATTTTACATGCCCATGGTCGATGTCGACAGTAGAGTTATGGACAGCAGACGATCCAGTGCACGCTCATCCATGACAATACGACAGTTTCCGCCCTCGTTGCCTGGCCTACGCCATCGTCAAACACACCGTTCCGACCGTCATGCGTTAAGGAACTCTCGTGAGGATCATCACTCATCGGGTGAGGAGACCGAGGTCAACGCGGATATTGAGGAGAGGGTTGAGGAAATGAAGAGGTCTAGGACACCAAAACGACAACAGGCGCCCGAAATCAAGGGATTATTTGACCGGTTCTTCGACTCAGTACCGGATGCCGTGTTCAACACTTTTTCTTGGGCTCTGGGAGTCGTGGGGCTTGCGTTCAGATATGCGCAAAAGCCCATCGCCATCCTAGTGTCTGTCTACCTCATCTTTGGCCTGTTTTCGATGGCTCAGAACATGGCAACGCTATCACTCTATACGGCATTATCACCAGTATGCCGTGTGCCAGGCACGAGGTGGCTCAACCTGCCATTTTGCGTCGACACTTCTACAAAAACGAACACCCACATCCAGTTTGATCCTATAATAGAGGTACAGGATCGCTTCGAAGGGGTTCTGGAAAAAGCGGCCGAAAGTGCTTCGCTGCCGTTAGAGATGAAGCGCTCCGAACTAGCCATCCGCGACCTGCGGACCATGGTTCGTTATAGCCAGCTCCACGGCAAAGAACAACTGATCCTTGAATTCGACGGGTACATCGACGCCGCAAGCTCGGCAACCTGGGATCTTCAAAGGTTCAACACCCGCGTGGGCTCGACCATCGATTCCATAATCAGCGTCAACCGATGGACGTCCCGCTACATCGACGAACTCTCTGATGACATGGAGCACCGTGGCATCATAGGCGAGTGGTGGGACTGGGTCTTTTCCCCATTCCAGCCATCCACCTACACGGAGCGCAAGCTTCTGGACCAGTACATCGACCACACGATCCGCGTCTCGGACAAGATCGCCAACCTGATAAGGGAAGCACAAGCCGTGCTGGTCACGCTGCAGAGAGCGGAAGACCACCTGGAAGTTATATACGATTTCGTGACCAGAACGCAGGAACACATACAGGCCAAGAAGGAGGAGGTCTTTTGGCAGCTGTGGACCTACATCGGCATCAAATCCGGCAACCGCAAGAGTTATAACAACCAGCTGGCCCTGCTTAGAAAGGTCGAGGAACAGCGCTCGGAAGCCGTGACGCAGCTTAGCGAACTCATTGTTGAGTTGCAAAATATCCAGGCCAGCCTCAACGGGCTGAGGGATCGGGTTGGAGAGCCGGAGGTGGCGAGGGATGCTGGGTTGGATATACCGCTCTATGTGCACGTCGAAACCATTGATAGGGGAGTTGAGAGGCTGGAATCGGCGAGGAACAAGATAAGGGATGTTGAGAATGAGAGAGTGCGGGAGGCATTGGCTAGGGGGAAAGAGGAGTTGCCCGAGTTAGAAGCGAAGGCGTATAATAGACGTCTTCCCGGTCTTGGCTGGTAGATAATGTTGAGATATCGCAGATGGCAAGTTACATAGGCTAGAGGAAGGGAAATAGTGGTCTTGGAAGCGCTGTATATGTATTTTCTTATGGTAGTTCTCAGGTGACGGTTCAGGAGTCGAAGGAGTTTGGAGTTCAAATAGGCATTCGCTTGCTGTACAGAGTATGATCACTTGGCATTGATTCTCCAAGCCTGACTATTGTCTGTGTACAAGGTTATCGACTTATGTTGTTGCTTTATGGTAGCAATGGTGTTTTTTGCTTTCCTGTGTAAGTAGCTACCCCTATCATTGTTGCTGGGGCCTTTTGGAGTTGTAAACAACACAAAGATTACTGAGCTGTTACTAACAATATCCGCCTTATCAGTAAGAGTGTGTGGGGTACAGCTAGTAGGTATCTCTGGGACAACATCCCACCGCAGTCGGTGTCTTTTACCGCGGTCGCATCTAGAACATTTCGAAGCGGACTGATAAGCAGCTGGTACAGAGCTACCAGAGTCAGGACTAGCAATTCTCAAGATGTTAGTGTCATCTGGTCAGAGGCAAATGTTTCTTTGTTTTCTTGATCTCTTTCATTGTCAATTTGGCATCGAAACTCTCGTCAACATCCAGGAGGCAAAAGTACCTCACTGTGACAGGAACAAGATGCATCTGATTCCCAAAGAGGTTAGTGGTTAGTTCATTGTACCCCCCATTCGTTGATCCCTCCAAGCACATGTGCGTTTTACAAGGAGACCAAGACACCACCTCAACTTCGGTCACGGTTCACATAAGGAAAGGGTCACGGGCATCGACATTGTGTGCACACTATAGAAGCGCAAGATGGCACTGCTTTACCCCTGTGTTACCATTTGAAGGAATAAACGGGGGTATAACGGTTCCATGAGAGAGTCTCATGCCATACAGCAGCAAGTCCGTATCACTAACCTCTTCACAACATCATGTATTGTTTTCACCTTAATAGCTCGATAAGCTCGCCATCTCTCAGCTAGGATTTCTAGCTCAAAGACGTCTAGCAAGAGGTGTAAAACTGAATCATTCCGAAGCGACTGTAAGTCCCCCTCTTACTTCCCCTTCTCAGCATCTCACTCACTCACACAATCCTCCAGGCTCTTATCGCCAACAACCTCCAAGAGCTCATCCGCGATGGCAACCATTGCGTCGCCGACCTCATGGCCCTGGGCGCCACAATGCTCGGCCGGCGCCACGTTCTGCCCGAAGTGACCTCGACGCTACACGAGATCCAAGTCGAAGGCACTTTCCCCTCCGGAACCTACCTAGTCACCGTGCACAACCCCATCAGCTCCGACGACGGCGACCTCGCCCGGGCGCTTTACGGGAGCTTCCTGCCCATCCCTCCCAACGATGACTCCGTCTTCCCTCTTCCCCCAGCCGCGGCCTACGAAGCCAGCAAGCAGCCCGGGGCCGTGGTCTGCGTCAAGGACGCCAAGGTGAAACTCAACGAGGGCCGCAACCGGATTCGTTTAAAGATCACCAGCAAGGGCGACCGTCCGATCCAGGTCGGCAGCCATTACCACTTCATCGAGACGAACCCGCAGCTGTCATTCGACCGCTTGCGCGCGTACGGGTATCGGCTGGACATCCCCGCCGGCACGTCGGTGCGGTTCGAGCCGGGCGACACCAAGACGGTGACGCTGGTGGAGATTGGCGGCAACAAGGTTATCAGGGGCGGCAATAACCTGGCCTCGGGCAGGCTGGATTTGTCCAGGGCGGAGGAGATCATTGCTAAGTTACAGGCGGCCGGCTTCGCCCATGCCCCGGAGCCGGCGGGTGATGCCGCGTTTATCAGTGAGCCGTTTACCATGGACCGCAGGGCGTACGCGGTCATGTTTGGCCCGACTGTGGGGGATATGGTGAGGCTGGGCAGCACGGATCTGTGGATTAAGGTTGAGAAGGATTATACTGTTTACGGGGATGAGTGTAAGTTTGGTGGCGGCAAGACGCTGAGAGAGGGCATGGGACAGGCTACGGGCAGGTCGGATGAGGAGACACTAGATATGGTGGTGACGAACGCGCTGGTGGTGGACTGGACGGGCATCTACAAGGCGGATATCGGCATCAAGGCCGGTGTCATTGTGGGCATCGGCAAGGCTGGTAACCCGGATGTGATGGATGGTGTTACGCCGGGTATGATTGTGGGAAGTTGCACGGATGTGGTGGCGGGTGAGGGCAAGATCATTACCGCCGGAGGTATCGATACGCATATTCACTTTATCTGCCCTCAACAGGCAGCTGAGGCTTTGGCGGCTGGTATCACCACTTTCCTTGGTGGAGGAACTGGTCCAAGGTAAGCTTTCCCCCTTCGTCAACATATCACGAACTGGACTAACTCGACTAACTCCCCCCCCAGCGCCGGCACAAACGCTACCACTTGCACCCCCGGCGCCCACTACATGCGCCAAATGCTTCAAGCCTGCGACTCCCTCCCTCTCAACATCGGCATCACCGGCAAGGGCAACGACTCCGACCCCTCCGCTCTCCGGGAACAGATCCGTGCCGGCGCCTGCGGCCTCAAGCTACACGAAGACTGGGGCACCACGCCCGCGGCCATCGACTCCTGCCTAACCGTCTGCGACGAGCTAGACGTGCAATGCCTAATTCACACCGACACGCTCAACGAGTCCGGCTTCATGGAATCCACCATCGCCGCCTTCGCCGGCCGCACCATCCACACCTACCACACGGAGGGAGCCGGCGGCGGCCACGCCCCAGATATCATCTCGGTCGTCGAATACCCCAACGTTCTTCCCTCATCCACCAACCCGACCCGCCCTTACACGCGCAACACCCTCGACGAGCATCTAGACATGTTAATGGTGTGCCACCATCTCAGCAAGAACATTCCCGAGGACGTAGCCTTTGCCGAATCGCGCATCCGCGCCGAGACCATCGCCGCCGAGGACGTGCTGCACGACCTGGGCGCCATCAGCATGATGTCCAGCGACAGCCAAGCGATGGGCCGCTGCGGCGAAGTGATCTTGCGGACATGGAACACCGCCCACAAGAACAAGTTGCAACGCGGCTTCCTGCCCGAAGACCTCGCAGAAGCAGCCGCCAACAACGGAGACGGCGACAGTCCCGAAAACGAAACACAAAAAGCAGACAACTACCGCGTCAAGCGCTACATATCCAAATACACAATCAACCCGGCCCTGGCGCAGGGCATGGCGCACCTGATCGGCTCCATCGAAGTCGGCAAGCTGGCGGACCTGGTAGTCTGGGACCCAGCGTGGTTCGGCACCAAGCCCTCTTTGGTTATCAAATCGGGACTGATCGCGTGCGCGATGATGGGCGACCCGAACGCGTCTATCCCTACCGTGCAACCGGTTATTTCGAGGCAGATGTTCGCGCCGATGGTTGCGCAGACCAAAGTGCTGTTTGTGAGCCAGGCGAGCATCGACAGCGGTGCGGTGCCGGGGTATAACCTGAAGAGTCGGGTGGAGGCTGTCAGGGGCTGTAGGACGGTGAGTAAGAGGGATATGAAGTTTAATGAGAAGACGCCGAGGATGAAGGTCGATCCGGAGAGGTATACGGTTGAGGCGGATGGGGAGGTTTGTGAGGCGGAGCCGAGCAGTGAGTTGCCGCTGACGCAGAGTTGGTTTGTTTACTAGTGTAAAGGGGGAAGAGGGAAGAGAGGGAGAGGGAAGTTGAGTGCTGTTACTAGGTTGGGTGACTGACTATAAAGGTTCAAAGTACTATGATAGGAGGGAGATATATAGACCGTTGGATACGCAAACTCCCGGGTAGAGTATGTTTACTCCAAGCTATAATGGCTTCACTTTCACTGTGTGGTATCGTTGCCGTCTTGAAAGATTTCTATGACTAATATCAACATTTCGACATACATAACATCACATGATCAAGCATTGTGTACTCAAGTTCCATATATGTCATGTTGATAAAACATCGCATCAAGACAAAACTACGCCTTCCGATCCTCCATGAACTGAATGAGCCATCTCTTTGCCTCCCTAGTACACCCACAATCAAAAAAAGCAGAAGACCAAAACACTATTTCGAACTGTGAATTCATTCATCCACCGCTGGGGCCCCGCAAATGCTATGTAGAGCTAACCACCATCATAAGTACAACATGCGACAGGCTTTCATATCATCCTTCAGCCGAGAGTCGATGATTTCGCAAAAAGAGTAGACTCCGTTTATCCTTAACCCCCTCCTTATTTTCCGTTTCGAGCTTTGTTTTCGTAGATAGACGGAGAGACCCCTCCATCAATATTCCTCTTTAGCCGTTCATTGAATCATACAGGACAAGTAGTAAGGTAAAGTGAACCAAAACCCGCCCACTTTAACTAACAGAGAGATAGAGAGAAAATAACCATGGACGCTGACCTGCGCTAGTTGACGTTGGATACAGCCCTCCCCTTTTCGACCAAAAAAAGGGAGGGTATCGTTAGAACGGAAAAGTGTAAAATAAAAAGGAAACAACAACCCGGAATTGTGTTTGCCACGAGGTATCATGAAAGAAACCGAACAGCCAAGGAACAACGTCGAGGTGGATTAAGAGCGCTTCTAGGCCTTGGTCTTCTTGCGCCCCGACTTCTTAGGTTCCTCCACCTCGGCCGCCTTGACGTTGCGCTTGCGCTTCTTGTTCTCCGGGCTGGCGGGGGCGACCACGGGCTTAGCGGGCTCGGCCTCCTCAGCGGGAGTGGCAGTCTTGCGCCTGCGGGTGTCCTTCTTCTTAATGGGGGTCTTGGACACGGGGACCGGTTGTTGCTGCTGCTCCTCTACCTCCTCTTCAGAAACCTCGGGCACAACGACATTCTGTTGCAACTGCTGGGCAATGGCGTCCTGGTCGGTGGGGACATCCTCAACCTGGGCAGCAGTGGGCATCTCGATGTTATACTCATCAGCGTACTTAAGCGCCTCGTCGTCGTTCATGTTCTTGGCGTTGGCGTTGCCATGCTTATAGGAGTGGACACGGGCGTTGTAGAGGCGCAGGTTGTACTGGTAGGCGTTGTTCCAGCCCTGCTTCTCGGCAGCACCCATGACGGACCAGCGGCGCTGACCCTCCTCCTGGACGGCACCCTTGGGGGCCTCCTCACCCAGATCATTGGCAATGATGGGGCGGGCAGTCTGCATGTAGAGGAAGTAGGGGGTGAGAGGACGCTTGGGGGCGTTGGGGTCGTGGGTACGCTTCTTGCGCTCCTTCTTCTCCTCAACGATGGGCTGGGGGGCAACCATGAAGCCGGGCAGCATGCCGGTCAAGGAGGTCTGGAGGTGCTCGAGATCGCCGCCATTCTCGAGGGTGGTGCCCTCTCCGAGGAGAAGGTTGGTCTGGCGGAGGTAGTCTTGGCTGAAGCTCTTGATCAAATCCTGGATAGTGGAGAGACGTTGGTAGACCTTGAGAGGGAGTTAGCGAGTCATGTTTCAAGCAGAACAAATGTTCTATTTTGCATCGCCTCGCAAAAGACGTGGCAGCTTTGGGGCATGGCGTGAGGTTGATCGCTTGCGTCTCCTTCAACGTGTGGTGTATTTTGACTCCTACGACGCGACGGGACGGGACGTGACCAATTCACATGCGAGCCTTGTCTTTGCGGGATCTCCATTGCGCATCACACAGCAGACATCTCGGATCCGAATACGGGATGTTGGCGGTGGGATGGGCAGGAAGACGGGAATGGGGGTGTGTCGTGGTTGCGAGAAGCTGGTGCGAAAGGTTGAAAGGTGCAAAGCTTACCGAATCGCGAACACGGATGAAGTTGTCCACATCAATAACACGGGCAGGGCCAGGCGCAGCGATGACTGGCTTAACGATCTCGGCGACCTTGTTCTTGGGGGGGCGCGGCATGATGGCGGTTGGTTGATTGATAGGTAGTTGGTACTGGTAGTGATGCTTGTGGGCTCTGGGGACGGTGTTGTGGTGGTGGTAGTGATGGTGTAGGGGAGCAGTTAGGGCTCAGGTGGAAGCAGGTTGAGTGCGGGTGCGGGTTTTTAATGGAAGCAGAAAGCTCGGACGGTTCTGGCTGAGTGGGTGCCTGCCTGTCGTATCAGGGCGCAACTGCTGAAGTGCAAAGGTTGGCGGTGGGTGGAAAGCCGGGGTCGGGTGCTCTGGTTGCTGTGTGTTGGGTGCTTGGGGGATGAGGACGCCGGAAATGAACGGAGAGAAGGGGAGGAAAAAATTCGCGGCGAATTTTGGGGGATGCGGGGGGATACCGAAATTTGTAGCTGCAGCGTGGGCTCCCAGCACTCAGCGCTGATTTCCCCCCAAGACTGGGCGGGCCAGAAAATTTGTGCACTGAGATGCAGCCTGATTTGGGCGCCCCCAATGGAAATGGGGCAAGATCAGAGACCCCTCCCCGCAATGCCCACTGGGTCCCCGTCTTCCGCGGGCGGGCAGCTGGAGTCCCGGCAGGCGATAGCGACACCTCTCCCCTTCGTTCACAGGAACCCAGCCTGCAACGGGAGGCCAGGCAAGCAAGCCTGGAGCAACGGGAGCAGACACCTCAACATGTTGGAGACAAGGGGGTAGAAGAAGGACGATTGTAAAGCGTTCTGATTAGGTCCTGGAATGGGCTGACGGGCAACACCGTTGTAAGGCTTGTAAGGTCATTCACATAAGGTAACCAAATCACTGAGCGAGCGGAAACATGGAGGTTGAGATTGGATGACAGCGACCCTTATAGTAGCCGTTGGGGAGGTACATCTGGACTGGTTTCCAACTCGAAGGTGATGGAGTTCCACTTCCACTTGCAAGTGCAGCAGGGACGCATTGAAACCAAGATCTCTCCATCCTCGCACTTGCGTCCCCCAAAGCATTTCTACCAGGACTCGCCCAGCTCTCTTCTGTCCGTTCTCGCAGTACAACACCGGTACAGCCAATGCTGAATACATCCCGTCTGCTCACCTCCAAGTGGAGGTACCTACCAGAAGCCTCGTACAGAGAGGTATGGTGCAACCAGGAGGACAAAACCTCTTGGTTGTTACAGCTTTGGTATACAACTCACACCTCTACCTCTCTCCTCACAGGCGGATAAACGCTCTTGAATAGAGGTGGTCTTCATCTTTGCTGAGTCTGTGTCTATCTCTGAAGTACTTGAACCTAGAGAGAGAGGTACCTTCGAAGTTCGATGGCCTCCACTTTCTTCACCCAAGTGCCATAGAGGTACACAAATCAATGTCACTTTTACCTTCCATGGGTTATGTTCTCTTACCGTGATAGCTCAGGTAGTTACTGATCTTACCTCTACTGAAATTCCAAAATATAATGTAAAGCGTGGGTATCATCCTATGTTAACAGCCAAGCTGATGGATGTTAACAAGTCTGAAGAAAGTTGACAAGCCTTTTGGGGCTGCTGGCTTCTGAAAGACACCGCTGTGTTGCAGAGGTACTGAGTGGACTGCTCTGCCCTCAGCTGGATGCTGAAAACCTCTGGCGACGCGTCTGTCGAGGGTGAGGCCTGTCGCTCCAGTGTTTGGCAGCAGGCCTTCGTTGTTGCACGCGAGCATGCATTTGCCGTCCAATGGCGCGCCTTCTCTTCAGCGGCCTTGAGACACGACGGGCAGTGTGTTGTTACCACGCCCATAAGGAACAAGGGTGCGCGAGAAGAGGGGCATTGCCTGAATTTTCACCGGCATCCGGCTTGCTGTGGAGTCCCGTCAATAATCCCGTCATTGGCATTGGCGCTGGGGGAGCACCTCCTCAGTGATCTCACTCCCAATCATTGGGAGTGATTGACGACCTGATGGCATGAAGTCCAGCCGGGCTGTGTCCACTTCGCTCACTCACTCACTTGCGCCATCACTGCGCCTTGCTCTTCAGGTCCTCAGTTCGCCCCAACATCCCGTCCAGCTGCAATATTTCAGGACTTTGGTGACCACCACCATTGATGATGATTGTGGTATTAGAGCCCTGTTAATTGCAGTTAACAGCGTCCATAACGTAGAGACTCTGAGCTTTCTTCCCAAATACCTTGAAAGCCTGAACCGTACTGCATGTAAAACCAACAAATGATGGTTCTGCCATCAGAACATACCTCTGCCCTTTCGCTCAATATCATGAGGCCGCGAGATGGGGCTCGGACAAGGCTCGAGACTTTTAATAACTGAAGCAACCTCCTCAGGCTCACTTGTCACCTTGTGAACATTGTCGTATTGTAGAATTCAGTGACGATATCGGGGACTGGCAGCTCTCTTCCCTCTTTCATCACAGGATTAGTTGCCGATCCCTAGGAGGTTAGCAGAACCTCCTCAAGGAATGTGTCTCAGCCTTACAACCATCAGTGTTGTGTTCGTTCCACTTCTGACGATTCGTTTTCTCGTTTCGTAGTGTTTCTGCTGTCAACATGCTTCTACGTGAGCAAAAGCTGTGAGAAGACATGATACGTACCTCAACTGAGGCTTCCCAGGACGAACAGAAGCTATGATCTTACCAGGGACAGGCTGATTTCCAGATCTCGTCAAGTACTTTCAGGACAAATATCTTACGTTGTAAGCAGTGGTGGTCGACAGGATGTCTGTGTCCTTGGGCCCTACTGCCCTCTCCCAACACTGTATGGTGTATTCACTGATTGCTATCACAAGGGCCTTTCTACTGAGAGCCCTAGGTTGTGACCCAATATTCTACTAGCGAACGGAACAGCAAGTAGAACTGGTAGAGAAGCGAGACAAGCTACCGTGGCCAGGCAGCTTCACTGGCATTTCTTCTTTGACGCTGGACGACGCTGTATCAGCGGTTGCAGAAGGTGATGTCTGTAACTTTTATCAGCCAGAGACTTGAGATGTATATCACGTATCCCAGCCCCGTTGTCTTTTGGAAAGATCTATTCGGGGCGGCTTCACTGTGTTGCGACAAACGGACCGCTTCATAGCACTTCCCAAGTAGCCAAGCCTTCCCGCCACTGCCCGCGATGATATCAGATACCCAAGCTCCAGCTTGCATAGCATTATGCCATCGTCGACTTGGGATCAATCGAAAAGACATTAACTCATAAGACGGCCGATCGCCAATGCTCACGTATCACTCACATCCTCTTTGCATACCTAGAGGTAGACAGACAGCTGCCAGCCTCGATTCTCTCCGCACTTTGGGAATGTCGACATTGCGTCGAGCGTCAACTGTACAGGTGACAAGGGACCCGCTGTTAGGTAACAACCGACCCGACTATGAAGTCCCGGCAGGCGCCGCGCAAAACCATCGCTTGAGTGGATGGCCGCTAGTTGCTAGCGGGCTCGGGTTGTCAGTTGGTCGGTTTGGCGGTTGCCGGTTGGGAGGAGAGGTGACTGCAGCCCATCGAGCGAATGGTCGGTTACGGTGAAAGGCTCTGGTTGGACGGGGCTCACGATGTTGACGGGGGAGAACGGCAGAACGGGGTTCGGGATGGGTGTGCCACGGTGGTGGACTAGTGGCAGGGTGGTGAGGGTAGCACGAGGGTGTTCCCCCCTTCCACTCTCCGGCGTCGAGCCACTCACGGCGGAGAACTGGATTGGTGCAACGGAAACCCCTCCATCTTCATGGCCTGCGCATCGTGAACCCCTCTCCGCCCATGTTCCTACGCAACCCCGAAAAGGGCCCCTCTCTGTGCCCCGCTGTGATGGAAGCTGGAAACAGATTCTTGGCGCAGCGCTTCTGTCCAACTCTGGGATTGCTGGTCGACGGCCGGGAACGGTGGAACGACCGACGGAACTCCATGAGAAGCCAGAGAACCAGAGGAGCGCTTCTAACGTGATGGTGTTTTACAAGCGCCGTCACGGGCGTTTGTTGGCTAGTTACCGCGAGCAGTCGGGACAATGAAGGTGAGGACGGGGAATACGGCATGATTGATAGAGATACCTAGCGGGAACGCCGTCAGCTTTCCACGGTCCTCGTCGGTCTCACCACTTGAATCGTGCCGGGCTAGCTAGCCACTTTGTAATGGGGATGGGTTGGGAAGTTGGTACGTACGGCAAGACAGGCAGTTGGCTGGACTCCCCTCACATGCGCCGACGAACCCCCGTCCAGTATCAGCATGAATGAGCATCAGGCGGTTTCAGCTCCCTTGACATTGGAGCTGTCGATATCTGAACTTTTATGGCTGCCTCCATACTTTTTGCTTTTCTGTCAAAAGCAAACAGAAATCTGACTCTGACTTTGTTCCGTCTTCCTCCATGAAAAGGGTTCACCTCATCTTCTTCATCTGAACATCGACGGCGGGGTTTCAAACAGAACCTGTCTAGTACAGACGACAGATACACATTTGGTATGTAAAATGCAAATCCCATCATCATTCACTCAAGGTACAAAGTGGTACGTAGGTACGCTTTCCATGGCGGCGGCGGGCGAGGGCGAATTAAGGGTCGAGTTAGGGAGAGGGGTGCTCCCCCGGTTTCCACTCCGTCCCGTTTATTCTACTTGCTAACTTCAGCTAACATGACGACGCCGACAGACCCGACACGACTCGGCCGCCTGGAGCGTACCAGAATTTTTTTTTCCCTTTCCCTTCTTTTCGATCTAAAACCCAAAAGACAACCGTATCGTCAGTAAAGGCAACTTATCGACCATACGAAGCCGTCAAAATGGCGTCCTTCAAACCTTACCCGTTTGTTCTCGGGTTCCTCGTTATCTACCTGTTCGCCAGCCCTGCCTTGGCCTTTGGTGCTGGTAACATTGCTGGAATCTCCAAGATCGAGGGCCAAAACTGTACGTTTTCTACCACCGGGTACTTTCATGGTTTTCAAAAGTAGTGGTGCTAATCAGAGACATGAGAAACAGGGCGCCACGGTGATATCGAAGATGCCCTCCTCAAGATCGTCATGGCGCGCGCCATGGGCGGCAAGACTTTCGACAAGCTCTCCGTTTCCCGCGTCTACTTTGGCAACTGGCTCCGCGACTACTCCCAAGCCATCGATGTCGGCACCGTCAAGGCTGTCTCCGCCGAAGCCATCCGTCTCCTTCTCTGTATTCTCGGTTTCCTGACCTTCGGCTATGGTAGCCGCGAGTTCGAGGTCACGGCCGACCGCCTGGGCTGCTACCGCCCCGAGGACCATATCGACAACCCCAAGAACTATGCCGACAACGTGGACGCCCGCGACTACGACCCCCGCCTCCGTGGCCCCATTGACGAGGGTGTCGAGCTGGCCATTGACCCCGAGACCGGCATGAAGAACTACATTGCCAACGAGAACCTTGGCATCATGAGCTCTGCCGAGCATGTTCGCAACCTCTTCTCCAAGTGCATTCGCCTGGCTCGCTCATACAAGGACACCAATGACAAGACTGAGCTCTACGAAGCCCTCCGCCTTATGGGTACTGGATTGCATTGCTTGGAGGGTAAGAAAGACGATTACGGTACCCTTTCAACAACGAGTGGACACGTTGGCTAATATCTTGCAGACTACCTCGCTCACAGTAACTACACCGAGCTCGCTCTGATTGAGATGGGCGAGCGCGACATCTTTCCCCACGTCGGCCGCGATACCAAGCTGCGCATCCCGGGCGCTCGCCACTCCGTCTACCCCATTGTCACTGGTACTTTCGGTGGTGTTGATTTCTTGCACTCCGTCACCGGTGAACTGTCCGACAAGATGACCCAGAGCGAAATCGAGGATCTCGAGGGAACCCTACAAGCCGGCCGCAACAGCGACACCAGCCTTCTCCGTGACCTGTTGGACAAGATCCCCGATGGCTTGATCGGCGGCGACAAGAAGAACCAGCTTGATGAGATCCAGGAGAACGCCGCCAACTCGCAGCTTGAGAACATGAGCGTGTCCCCCAGAGAGCCTGAGGAGTTCACCCTCTACGTCCAGCAGGTCTTCCGCCAGGTTATGCCTGTCATCGAGTTCCACGACGATCTTCTCCAGACCATCTCGAAGGCTATTGAGAAGATCCCGGTCCTCCCCAAGATCATTGAGCAGCTTGAGGAGCAACTCTCTCTTTTCGTTTTCCAGATCATTGCTCCCGTTATCATTCCTCTCATCGACCAGATCAAGAACGAGCTTGCCACCGGTGCCACCGAGATCATCAACAGCTCCAAGAACGAGCAGCACGTTGTTTTCAATGATGACAGCAGCACCGACCCTACCCATTCCATGCTGTCCAAGGACCATTTCTCCAACGTGAGTTCGCCACGCTTGTCCATCTCCATTGTATCTAATTCTGTGCTAACTTTGGGTTAGATCCTCAACGAGATCGCCGGTCGCACCGCCTCCAGGGTGGTCAGCTGGGTTGTGCCTCAGCTGATGGACGCATGGGACAATGATAGTGTTGATGTCGACCGTCTTCTGAACAGGATCATCTACGGCATTCTCCACCACCCCGCCCAGCGTGACATGGGAGAGGACGGTGCTGAGGAGGGTCGCCATATGTTGTTCTCCTCTGTTGAGGAATGGTGGAACGACCTGGGCGAGGACGCTCGTGAGGAGTATCGCTACAAGCTTAGCCGCGAGGGCGTTCTGAACGGCGAGAACCACAGGGAAGGCGTCCAGGACTGCGGCCACGGCTGCGGCAAGCCTCTGGGCATGCACAAGAACTTCAAGAACGAGGCGCCCGAAACCATGGAGGACAAGATCGCCGCCGCCGCCGCCGACCGCATCATGGGCGGCGTCAAGCAGGGCTTCTCCAACTTCCTCAGCGGCCAGCAGAGCAGCAGCGAGGGCGGTCTCCTTGGCGCGGTCGCCGGCGGCTTCCTAGGCGGTGGTTTCAGTAACGATGCAACCAGCGCCTATCGCTCCAGCGGCTACACCCCCGACGGCGGATACTCGGAGACCACGACCGAGTACGGCCACGACGGCAGCCGCTACGGCCAAGCCGAGTACACCGAGACGCGGTACGACGACGGAAGCGAGCGCCAGGAGTATCGTCGCTATGAGCAGGACGACAATGGCGCCGATGGCTACGGCTACGAGGACCGCCGATACCGCCGTGATGATGGCGAGGAGTACCGCGAGGAGCGCAGGTACGGCCGCGATGACGAGGAGGAGTACGGCGGCGGCGGATACTCCCGTCGTCAGGAGGACGAGGATCTCGCCTACCCTGATCCCGAGCGCCCCTCGAGCCCCAGTCTCCTGGACAGGATTGCCCAGCGGGCTAAGGAGGCGTTCGAGGAGAGAAGGAGGGAGTACGAGAGCGGAGAGCGTGAGCGTCGTTGGCCATTCTAGGGGAAGTAGACCACGATCCCCCGCAGGAAAAACCCGCAGGAAACCCTGCAGAAAAAAGGGAGGGTCTGGAACTGGAACTGGAACTGGAACTGGAACTGGAACTGGAACTGGAACTGGAACTGGAAACTTATGATGATGAATGATTGATTAACAAGAAAGTTGGGAGATATTTCACACTTTTGAGAAGAAAGAAAGGAAGGAGGGAAGGAAAAGCGAGGACACTGCTGTGCTATGATGATGGCGATGCGATGCGAAGCTATTGGAGTTTACGAACTAGCCTAAAATACCAATTTGAGATTCCCCTTGTAGTTTGACTCGTTCCGTCGTGTCCTTTTTTTTGGGCAGTTGAAGTGCTACTCTTGCGTGTATGTGATTGCTTTTATTTTTCTCTTTGTCTTTACGTCAACGCTCCCGACTTTCCATGCTCCATGAATATCTATCAACCTTAAGGTTCTTGTTTTGTGGGATTACTTCGGCGGACATATTTTCCTTGTGTTTTTTTCTGCTTGCCTTAAATCCTTCTTAGCCTTTTTACTGGTCATGACAGGAGGTTGTAAGTGCTGGGCAGTGACCTCGTTGGTTGTTGAGTGGGATAAACCTTGGCTTTGTTTACTTCCCCCTTTTCTCGCAGAGAGTGACTCCGAGTGGTAAACTTGAGTGCCACCTCGAACTGCTCTAGCAGTTCGACTTAAAGGACCTGATCCAAACAGAAGGCTAGTTGGATACTTAAGGGGTCTTAGTTGAAGCACACAATGAAACTGTAGTTATCAATGTGATGACACCGAACTTGAGGGCAGGGTTATAGAGAAAAATCCATCTTGTGCATGATATGTAATATAAATAATTCGTTACAATCGTTAACAATCCCACTGCAAGTAAGTCATCAAGATAAGTAAAATCTCACAACAATCATGAATCCTCCCATAAAGACCAAGCTCCCACACCAATACCAACACCCGTCTCAGACTTCAGCCCTCAAACAAGCTCAATCATCTCCCTCTTTTGCGAATGCATCCACCTCGCCAGCATCGTATAGCTGACCACGTGTAATGGCTCCAGCTTGTTGATCTGTTCCTGGGCAAGGACTGTTCCTGCTCCCCTGTCCGGACAGCGGTACGGCAGCCTTGTCCAGCGCGGACGGGGGCAAGGGCCTAGAAAGCCGTCACTGCTTGGTGACCCCGCTGCCGAGATCAGTAAGTCGGGATGATCCGATCCAGGTGGCGCCTTCCTCACTCACCATGGCATGGCCGTCAAAAGCTATGCAGAGGCTATCAATCCAAAGATACTGAAATCCGAGAGCTCTGGCAACCAGTATGCCATCCTGGATGGACTTGGGTAGTCCCTCGATGGGGAACGCAGAATTGCGCTGCTCGAAGTTACTCTGTACTGTGACGCCCGGTTCCCTCCCGCTCTTGTGGAAACTCAGAGCAGCATATGGCACTCCTGGTGACGGCTGAACCAGCTGAATCTCCGTGGTATTGGGAACGCTGATGCACACCAGCCGCCGGGGATAGAAGTTCAAGGATTGCTGTGATTGTCGTGGAGGTTGTACAGCCCCGTACTTGGGTGAGCGGCAGGCTGTGTGACGCTCTTTGCAGTGAGATAACCATTGAAGCGCTTTCTGGAGGACGTTTGGGTCTCTGAGATCCCGGAACGGCGGTTCGTGCGATCTCACCCAGTGACCACTGGGATCGTCTTGGGACCAAATGTTAGGCTATTGGTAACGAAGAGATGTTTTGGTATAGAGCGTACTCACTTGCAGGAGCAATAATGTCAAAGTCGCAACCAGTATGAGAAGGCGAATATATGGAAGTAGGCTTGCCAATATCGTTAGGAGGGTCGAACTTCACGTGGATCTCCTGTTCAGGTTCTGCCATTGGTGTTTCTCTGAATAGTTATTTCAAAAAGAGGCAGCCCGAACGGATACCGTTCAGTATCAATTCTGTTTGGATACGCAAGGAGACGGCTCCAGTCCTTGGATCTCTATTAGCAGACCGACTTTGGGCATTGGGTAATAGATCGTGACACCAGCCACAAGAATGCGGCCCTGAGGCGACAGGACCTCCTCCGGAGGAAGGCTTGAACATTGTGACCATGGTTAAGACAACGCGCTTCAGAGACGGATATTGTCGAACAGTGTCGTCAGGGAACGTGTTGAGATACCCAGGTCAACAGACCTTGCGAATATGATCAAGTGAAAGGCGACCCTTGCGGGGAAAGAAATATGTTGAGATGGAAGATCGCTCGAATGAGGGGCTTCCTCCTTCCACCTGCCCAACGGGTACCACCTTTATATCTATGTTGGCGCCATGTTGCATCTGGCTCCGTGGCCGTCACCAGTGTGATGGTCCTTGGTGTAGGCATAGTGTCTTGCCGTGCTCGCCAAGGGGACATAGAATACAGCCCAGATAGGACTTCGGGATGCCTCTTGGTTGCCTTCGGATGTCCGCATCGAACTCGGCTGGGGGCCTGGAAGGATTCTGATGAGCGTGACATTGCTTGGACAGATGGACAAAAGTGAATATCGGGATCACTTGGAGTACCGAGTGTGTTTACCGGCTGAGAAAGTCGACGGAGTGACAACTAGCCAGGTGAACCAGGTTGCCGGAGACCATAGACGCCATGGGATTTGATGGTTGTGTGGTGATGGAGTTGGCCAGCAAAAAAAAAAGGGTTCATCGTTCTGGTGACATTAGAGAATCATATGATGGGGAGGTACAACCTGGCAGATCGGTGTTGTATCTATGCACCTTCCGTCTTTTCAAGTCATCATTCTGAGTTAGAGTGAAACTTCAAGAGGGCAAGCACGATGGTGAGAGGCTTGGAAGCCGCTCGAGTGGGCGACCCTTAAATAAGCAAGTAGAGGTAGGTACGTTGGTTGAATGCCTGTTGGAGGATCTCTATAAGGGAAGGTGTAGTATACATGATACGATCCTGACCAAGGTAGCCACTTATCCCTGTGATGTTCAAATTGAAGTTGAAGGCAGTTGGCAGTCATGGTGCTTTCTGTTTGTGTCGGTTGATATCTCTCGGTTGGTGCCTTCTGAAACGGAAGCTTCATGATAAATAACCCAAACGACTGTCGATTGAGTTCAGGTTGTTCCGCCGCGTTTCTCATGTTTTCCATTGTTGGTCGATATCAAGGATATTGAGTTTGTTGATTGTTCCACTCCAGGCCCTTCTCGATCCCATCCACATGTTCTCTACAGGGCGTTGCACTGACAACGTACACACATTGAGGTAAGTATAAGACCCGCTGCTACTACGTACATATGTTTACACAACACAATGGGCGAGACCGCGTGCTGTTTAGAGTTGTGCATAGGAACCCCGCTGACAGCTGCTTGCTGGTTGCTTCTTTCACACAGGTTGTCAGGGCAACTTTACATCCGCCAGGCATAAATAACATCACCCACGAGCCACTTTCCTCACAAGGCTCCATTTATTAGGGACACAAGGGTCGAACAAGGATCGGGCGCCGGCTGCGGACCAACCAGAGCCCCTCACAGTAGACCCCAGCAAAGCCTAGCAAAAGCCTAGCAAAAGCCTAGCAAAATCCTAGCGGCAAAGCCTCCCTGCGAACTGGATGCGTCTTGCGCAGCCCGCGTCTGGCCCCCCCAAGGTATCCAACATCCATCATCGCTGACGGCCAGTGGCATTGGGACTGCATTCTCCATCCCACCATCTGATCCTATCCACCCGACTCTGCAATCCGTCTTCAACTCCCCGTCGACAAAGCCTCGCGCCATCGCAGGCCCCAATCCGACCCGTCACCATTTCTCTAGCAACAACCTCGTTCTGGGCTGCCGGCGCGCAATCGAGCGTGCTCGCCTTTCCCAACACCACCGCAAACATGGCTCGTGTCTATGCCGACGTCAACCAGAATATGCCCCGCGCATACTGGGACTACGATTCTGTTAACATTAGTGAGCTTCAATCACTCCATCATCGTCGCGCAAGCTTCTTCTGTTTACTAACTGCTTTGCGCATTTAGGCTGGGGCGTTCTCGAGAACTACGAGGTGGTCAGGAAGATTGGTATGTGCCATGCGCCCGCCTCCTGCTCCATGTTGGCCAAGAAAAAATATAAACAAGCGCCGAATCTAACACCCAAAAACAGGCAGAGGAAAGTACTCCGAGGTGTTCGAGGGCATCAACGTGGTTAACTACCAAAAATGCGTCATCAAGGTGCTCAAGCCTGTTAAGAAGAAGAAGATCAAGAGAGAGATCAAGATCCTCCAGAACCTGGCAGGCGGCCCCAACATCGTCGCCTTGCTTGACGTTGTGAGGGACAGCCAGAGTAAGACTCCGTCTCTCATCTTCGAATACGTCAACAACACCGAGTTCCGCACTCTGTACCCCAGGTTCAACGACTTTGACGTCCGCTACTACATCTTCGAGCTCCTTAAGGCCCTCGATTTCTGTCACAGCAAGGGCATTATGCACCGCGATGTGAAGCCTCATAACGTTATGATCGATCATGAGAACAGAAAGGCAAGTTTGGGAAACCCCAGGAATGAAGCTTTGCGCATCACTTACGAGCTAACACGTTCTCTTGCTTTTCACAGCTTCGCCTTATCGACTGGGGTCTTGCCGAGTTCTACCATCCCGGCACCGAGTATAACGTCAGAGTCGCCTCCCGCTACTTCAAGGGTCCGGAGCTTCTGGTTGATTTCCAGGAGTACGACTACAGCTTGGACATGTGGAGTTTGGGAGCCATGTTCGCGTCCATGATCTTCCGCAAGGAGCCCTTCTTCCACGGTCAGAGCAACACGGATCAACTAGTCAAGATTGCTAAGGTCCTCGGCACTGACGAGTTGTTCGACTATCTTGACAAGTATGAGATCGAGCTGGACACTCAGTACGACGACGTCCTCGGCCGCTTCCAGAGGAAACCCTGGCACAGCTTCATCAACGCTGAAAACCAGCGCTTCGTGAGCAACGAGGCTATTGACTTCTTGGACAAGCTGCTGCGTTACGACCACAACGTACGTTTATTTAAATGTGTCCACTTCATACTTTGGCAATCACAAAAACTGACCCGATTTCATGTTTTAGGAACGTCTTACCGCAAAGGAGGCTATGGCCCACCCTTACTTCGCCCCTGTCCGCGATGAGGCCACGCGCACGCGCTATCTGGCCGGCGAGACTATCAACTAGAGGATTGAATCGGATGAGACCGCCAGCCAGGTGGGATTTGTTGATGGTCCAACGAATTGATCGACATTCATTTACCGATGCGCGGATTGCCACTACCGCCGAGGCCCATTTGATCATCCTGCGTTGTCTTGACTGCAAACGGAGGTTCCAATTCGCCATGACCGCGGCAATTCACGATTCTTATCAGCGAAAAGGCATTTGTTTGCCGAGTGTGGCGTGAGGTTTCTGGGTGGGTCTTAGTTGTTGATTGGGGCGGGGCGCAGGAGAGGGATGGAAAGAAGGCAGGGCAGATGGTGGTGTTCAGTCAGCCAGATGGGGAAAAGCGAGCAGGGAAGAGATAGGTAGAAATCGTTTGGGAACTCTCTCTTTTCTTTACTTTTGTGGATGGATGGATGGTGTCGTTTTGGAGTGTTGGTTGTGATGGGTGTTTGTGGTGGAGAGACACAGCAGCATTGGAAGTACGTTCCGAGCAAAGATTCCCGTTTAGGTTTTACAGGTTAAAGGTTACTTTTCATGATATAGGATCATTGATGGAAAAGTTTGAAGCGGTTTGCCTTGTCTCTTCCGTCGTCGTTTTACCTTTTCGGTATATGTTTGTGTGTGTGTGACCCGGCAACATGGTACTGACACGAAAACAGCACGTCCCGGCTAAGACATTGACGTCTATAGTATAGTACGCCTATAGTAAGTTACCATCTCAGAGGGCTCAACTCCTATTCCTAGTCAACAAACACCACCACACTTCGGTAACCATAATGACCAGAAGATCCCATTAACTATGCTACATAACTGTACTTCTTCTACCTCACTCAAACTCTGATAACGAAGTCCTGATAATACCTCCCGCAGCTCAATACCATACGATCTCTGTAACAAGCATCCATAACATCATCCCCTTTTAACAACCATCAACATCTACCTCCCTAACAGCATATCCACCCTTCTTCATATGTGTAATGATAAGATACACACTTCTGACACTCTACAAACACCCAAAGCAAAAATCCCTATCACACCTAAACCCAGCCTCACCACACCTTCTCAGCGTCCCGCCTGGAGTCTGGATCACCTCAGACCCCACAAACTCTTCTCCCTCTGCTTCGGAGCCAGCACTCGGAGTCACGGCACGGGCAGTTGGAGTAGAAGCTGATCTCCCAACACCAACACTAATACTAATAGAAGAAGCAATCTTCGCCAGACTAGTTGTCTTCCTTGGAGGTATGCGGGAAGGCGTGCGGAGGAGGAGAGAAGACGAAGAAAGTAATGACGTGGTCGTCTTCTTCGCTGTTGATTGTGGTTTGGGTACGCCACTACTGGTGGTGCCGGCGGCGGTGGTGATAGATTTCTTCGGCCTCCCCCTCTTTCTTATAGAATTGACTGTCCCTGACGACGGTGTACCGGTGGCGAAATCAAGCGTGAGTTCGTCTTCGTCGTCGTCTGTGTCGGAGATGAGGGAGAGGATGGATTTGGTGGATTTAGATGTGCCGGGCGTTTGGGCTTGGGATTGGGACTGTTGTTTGAGTGGGAGTGTCCACTTTGAGGAGAAGGCGATCGGAACAGCGGCGGGGGTGCGTGTGGTGGTGGTGGTGGTGGTGGAAGGTGTTCGGGTTGTTTTCCTGCTTGACCGTGGTCCTGAACCTGACCCTGGGCCGAGACCTGATTTGATCTTGACCTTGGTGACTGTGGTGATGGTTGCTGTAGGAAGAGAAGCAGCAGAGGGCGAGCGTCCTCTCCGTGGCTTTGCTTTCAGAGGGGTCGTTGGTTGCTCTGGTTGCTGCTGGGGTTGGATATCTTCGATAATGATGGATTCCTGTTCCTGGGGCGGAGGTGATGGCGAGGTAGGTGGAATCGGCTCAGATAGAGTCACGATGTCCATGACTTTTTCTACTTGTGACATCTGTCTGGAGGGGATCTGGACCTCCAAGATTGTGATTGCTCGTGGCTCCGGTGGTGATGGCTCGTGACCTAGTATTATGGACTCAGGCTTAGGAGACCAAAACCGTTGACGAGCTATTGCCTCTTCAAGCAAGCTGTTCTCCGGAAGCTCTTGATCAAGGGCTGAATTCTCTGACAACTTGGGAGACGCCGGAATGGTCGCACTCAAGGTTGGGCTAGCTGGTCCTCCAGCCTCATCTTCAGGCTCGAGTTCGGGTTCGGGTGTGCGTTGTGGACTCTCCTGGATAATAACAGACTGATCTCCGTGCTGGAACGCCGTAGCTGTTGCGTGTTGTGGCGTTGTTGACTCTGCAATGGTGACATCTGAATCCCGTCTTCCCCTTGATAACCTCAAACTCTGTCTCCTAGGCAGAATCGACGCTAAAGCGGTAGCAAAGGGCGACGGCTCGGATGAGTTTTCTGCTACGGCAGGCTTACTCGTTACCCCTGGTGAGATGGTATCGCCCAAATCTAACGGAGTTTTGGGTTTTCTTGCCGGCCTACCCCGCTTAGGTTTGGTAACCTGTACAGGCTCAGGCAGTGAATGTAGTCCTTCGCTGTTAGTGTTGGTCTTGTCGAGCAGGACCGAGCCTGTTGTTTGTGTCTGTTGAGCAGTCTCTGTAGTCATGGCTGTTGAGATGACTGGGAGTTCCTCCACCGGTATTTCCGTTTGTGAAGTAGCTTCTGAGCCAATGGTTTGGTCGCCGCGGTCAAAGGACGACGATGGCGTTGGTATCCCAAATTTTGTTACACTGGGGTTCTCCACGGGCTTGGATTTGGGGTCGGGTTCACGAAGTTCAACCCGTTGAACCTTCGTCTTTGGTATGGCCGGCTCATCTTCGTCAGAGAAAGCATATGCCGAGTCGACAACATTCCTCGTAAAGACCTCCTGTGGCGCATCACTGGTTGGCGGGCTTTGTTCTTCGACAACCTCTGTTTGAGTTTCAGGGCCGCGAAGAAATTGAGGTTTGGCAACGTCATCCCACGTCAGTTCCTCTGTTGCCATAGTTTCTGTTCCTTCTTCCAGTGCTGGAACTTCTGATATTAGGGTATCGTCATCAACAACAACTTGGAAGGCCTTAGGGTCCAAGGTGCCATCTACTGGTATCTCGACCCAAAGTTTCTGGTTGCTTGGCTTTGTAATAAGTGCGCCGCGGCTGGGGCTGTAGTATTGTAGCGGTAACGTGGTATTTGCGTTTGATTCTCCATTAAAGAGAGGCCGTTCATATCTCGAGGCAAGTTGTTCTCCCCGTGATCCCTTGGCCCCAACTGGAGAAGGCTGATCTCGCACCGAGAGGCGCCTCCTCATTCTCGTCGTCCTTGAATCGGTAGAATTCGGTATCTGTGGAAGACCGTGATTTACTGGCTTAGTGACAGCCGCTGAGACGCTTGTAAACTGGTCTTCATCACCCCCAGCGGAAGGAGGCTCGCTTTCGGCAACGGGACCTTCGTCGATAGATGTCTTCTCCACCACAGGTTCTTTTACAGTAGTCTCTTGAACAGAGGGCTGTTCGGAAACGCTTTGAGTTGTCAGAGAAGATTGAATCTCAACAAGTTGAGCCCCGACTAAAAGCTGCTCAACTGGAGGAGCCAACGCGGACTGGTTGCTATTATTCACCGACGGATTAGTGCTTGACCCCTGACAATCTTGTTCTCTTGTCGAAGCCCTCCTCGTTGGAGTCTTCCTCTTGGATGTCCTCTTATGCGTGCCAACAGCAGGGTCCTTGACAAGAGCAGCCTCGACCCCGGACTTGTCAACAGAAGGCTTATCAGACCAATCTTCAATCCTGGGCTCATACTCAACAATAGGCTGAGTTTCAGATTCAGCCGCTGTAACATATTCTTCTGCCATGGGAACAGGAGCAGATTTTACATGGTTTTCCCTCGAGACATTAGCGTTTTGCGCCGAGGATTTGTCACTGGTTGGCGTCTTTCTGTTCGGCGTCCTTTTTCTCTTCACCTCTTCATTGTTGCTCCCAACTGGCTTCTCAGCAACTGGCATCTGCTCGACAGCAGGCTCTGGTTCAATAACAGGTTGAGTGTCAGCCGATGGACCGTCAACTACAGGAGAAGCACCAGCGTGGATGTCTGTTGCCTCCACCCGACCAGTAATCCACTCTTCCACAGGGTTCGTTTTTGCTGGCGTCTTTTTCGCTGGTGTCTTCCTCTTGGGGGGTTTCTTTTTCTCTCCACTTGTATTCACAGCATCAGGCTTGCCAACTGACTTCGGGGTCGAAGTGGCCGCGGGTTTCTTTAGCTGGTGATTGGCTGGGGAAGAGACAGTGGATGGAGGACGAAAGGGTGCCAGCTTCTTGGTGATAACCGGGCCATTCTCAGTAGCCTTGGTGATTACAGTCGTCGAGACATCTAGAAGAATATCGTCCTCATCTTCGCCCTCCTCAGCATGATTAGTGCCGGCAATAAGCTGCTGCACCTTGGCCACCGTCTTGACCCTTGTTTGGATGCCAGGAGTCCAGAATCCTCCCCAGGAAACGGGCGGAGGTAAGTCGGGTGCTCTCCACGCAGGATCGATCGAAGCGTTCGCAGAACTGAACGCACCAGACGGCATTGGAAACAGCCGGAATTGCGCCTGACCGGGATACATCATATTAGGCATCTGGTGAGGCCCTCCAGGAAACGAGTTATAGCCTAGACCAAACCCGCCAAAAGCTGATGGTGACCCTCCAAACGAGTTGTAACCAGGACCAAGCGCGCCGAAAGGTGATGGTGGCGTTATCGAGGGCAGAGGCCGCGGAACGGTTTGCAACGCAGTCGCATTCTGTTTGATTTCTTGTCCCGGTATTATCGTCTCTTCCTCGGTTCCCGACTCGGATCCAGACTCGTCGTCATCGTCATCATCATTCTCGACGCCGATCGTGTTTGTTTTCAGAGATTTTATGTGGCCATTATCGACAACAATTTCGCCAGTTCTCAGATCGATTTCGTCGCCAATGCCATCAAAGTCTTTGCCGTATTTTTCAAAGATGTTCTCGAAAGCAGACTTCAGCTTGAAAGCAGCGTAGGATCGGGCTTTTTCGAGTTGGTAGCCGGGGTCTCGTAGTTGGTTGACCTCCTCGGGCTGGTGGTTGAGCTCATCGCCAACAACCTCTTCGTCGTCGAAGGGCGCAGGGCCTGTTCGCGGTCGTTTGCTAGGCCGTTCCATCAGAGCGAGCTGTCGTACACGTTGCTTTACGCTTGGGCAGCTCGGAGCTCTACTGCCGATATTTCGATACTGCACGGAGATCCATCTGGTGTCGAGGTAGGTTCCGTGAGAATCGGATATTGGACCCAGAAATGGTGGTTTGCAAGTAGGACGGTGTGACGCGTGTAAAGTGTTTGTCGTGTACTTAAATTACTGCGATCGCAAAATGAAAGTTGCGACTTTGCGACAGCGACGGGATCCTTCCGTTTACGAAGCTGGCCCCGGTAGCGTAGCACACAGACCCTTGAATTCAGCGGACTGTCACCCCAATGACGCGCTATCATAAGGCTGCAAGGATCCCTACAGAAATTGTTAGTCAGCAGCTGATAGGCCACTGATAGGGCCTAGTGTAGCTATCAAGGTACCTGCCCCTCCAACGTCAACGGGCTTTGTGGACTTCCACTTGGCTTCGAGGTCCCTCTTGCACATTACATCCAACAACCTCAAAGGAATATCAACATCACCACACCACATAACAGCACAGCTCAACATTCACGAGACCATACCTCGGGTGCCACACTATCACTAAGCGGAATGCTCCTTCAAATCACCGTCCGTTGCCCATCATGAACTGCCAAAAGTGTCGCACTCCCCTCAAGCTGGACAGCTCATTGGAGGACCTGAATCCAGCAGCATATGACCTGCTCGTGGGTACGGAATCTATCATTGTCCACAACTCTTCCTATGGCTCTGCTGCGTCATGGTTGTTCCAGGTCCCTCTCTGACACAGTCTAGCCACCCACTCTCAACAAGCGCCCAAGAAAGCTTTGTCCTCCATCTCCGAATCATCGACGACACATCGATCCCCACATGACCGCGAGAGGAGATCACTCTATGAAAAGGCGTTGCGGTCATCACATCAGCCCATGTTCAAGAGACATGCTGGACCGGGTAGAGGAGGAGGGGATGGCACACATCGAGACAATCCGGCAATGTCATTTGTATTGCTCACTGAATCTCAGATTGACGCATCACCTCTCCAAAGGAACAACCGCTCTTCAGCTCAAGACCTACCCTCTGATACCTATAACAGTAACAACAATGCATCCGAAGAGGACGACATGGCCAATGCCCATCTCTCGGACCAAATGGAGCGCATTTCCAAGCTATTCGAGGTCATTAGTGCCCGATCCGACATCGATCACCCAATATGCATAGAGTGCTCCGACATACTGGTGGAAGAAATGCAAAAGAAGCTTGAAGCCGCCAATAGGGAGAAGGACGCCTATGTCAACTATCTCAAGGAACTGAAAGCCTCTGAGCCCACGGACGAGGAGATTCGAGCACAAGAGGAGGCCACCCGCAAAGCGAAGCAGGTAGAAATGGAGTTGCTGGAAGAACTCAAGGCTCTCGAGCAGGAACAGGCCGCGCTGGAGAAAGAGAAGCTAGACCTGGAGGCAGAAATACGGGAAGTTGACATCAAGGAGGAAGAGTTCTGGCGAGGGCGGAATGCGTTCAACACCACTCTGGGCGACTTCCAGAACGAGCGAGACAGCATCAACAGCAAGTTCGACCACGACTCACGGCAGCTGGAGAAGCTGCAGCGAAGCAATGTCTTCAACGATACTTTCTGCATCAGCCACGACGGCACCTTTGCCACCATCAACGGCCTCCGTCTCGGGCGCATGCACAACATCCCCGTCGACTGGCCCGAGATCAACGCGGCATGGGGCCACGCCCTCTTGCTGCTCGTCACTGTGGCGGAGAAGCTCAATTTCCGCTTCGAAGGGTACGAGCCACAGCCTATGGGCTCAACATCGCGCATCGTGCGCATCGAACCTGCCTCGACGTCCATGGCGTCATCCTTTTACCCTAGTCGACCTGTCGATGCCAACGCCCCACCGCCGCCAGCTAAGCGGACCGTTCTCGAGCTTTACTCCAGCGGTGATTTTCCTCTTGGTTTCACATTTATTCACCGCAAGTTCGACACCGCAATGGTGGCCTTCCTTGAGTTGGTGCGCCAGCTGGGCGTCCATGTGCAGGAACAGACGCGGAGAGAGGGCAATCCTCTTAGCTTGCCTTATCAGATCCAAGGTGACAAGATATCAGACGTCTCGATCAAGTTGGGCGTTCAGCAGGACGATAGCTGGGCCAAGGCTTGCAAGTTGACGTTGACTTGCTGCAAGTTCTTGCTTGCTCATGCAAGCAATGTTAGTGCGTCATCGACGGCTCGGGCGAATGCTTTGGGGCTGTAAGGCCGTCGAGGTCTCATCCCTGATATTGTTATCTGGGCTTGGGTATTATGCGTTGATTTGGATTTTACGACCGTGTATGATTACGGAATTGGGATTACGGTCATGAAGACGAGGCGTATTAGGTGTTGGGATATAAGCTGCAATTGGAAGACAGTACATAACGCATAGATGAAACAAAGAAATGAGGAAAGCATTGATATTTGCATAGGCGCGATGATTTGAATAGATTCCATAAATGATAAACAGGAACTAAAGTACTAGTAAATATAACACAATACGTCCGAATTTTGTTCCATCTAACACGCCCTTATAGCTCGTATGACCTGTGGACTAGACTTTCTGAGACTCAAAGATCAGTTCCTACTCGTTCTTTGCTGACGATTCATTCTCCCTCGAATATTGTCCTTCGACCTCCTTTGATATATGATCACCGGCTTGATAGCCCTGTTCGCAACAAATGCGCGCATCCTACATAGGAAAAAATATTATCCCACTAGTCAGCAAAACGATCTTTCCAACTACAGTAAACTCTAGGCAAAGACAATCAATACCCATTTTCAGAAGTTGACGAATATCCGCTTCCTATAAAACAAAAGACCACACACCAGTCAGTCAGCCAAATGTCATCCCAACTACTGGTAGTAGGTAACTAATCGGAGGCAGTAACTCAATCATAGAAAATGGGTGGTGGAAGCGTACCAGGACGTTCATCATCATCATCGCTCTCCACTTCTCCATCTTCATGCTCATCTTCCTCTTCATCCGCATACTCCCCGTCATTTTCGTCGTCATTGTCATCAGCATCCACCACTCCCGTCCTCAGAAGCGCAGCAGCTTTGCCCTTCCTCTTCTTCTTAACCCCCTCCATAAACGTCTTAAACCCACTACTCATCCCCACCACCGCCTTGAGATGTTTATCCATCAACGCAATGGTCGTCGTCGTACCCGACACAGATCCACCGGGATGGCTCTCAGCCGCCTCGGTCTCCGCCAGCGCCACGGCCGTCTGCAGCGCGTTGCGAATCTCGCGCCCGTTCCACTTAAGCGCTAGCACGGACGGGTGGTGGAAGGCGTATTCCTTTGTTGATTGGGGGATGTAGAACCGCTTCCTGCTTCCTTCACCCCCGTCTGCAGAAGCAGAACTAGAAGGAGCAGATTCCCGCTCCAACCGCTCAAACTGATACCCCCAAATCCTCCTCCTTTCCTCCTCCCCAAGCTCGGGGTAATACAGGGCCACGTGAATCCTGCTTGTAAACGCATCGTCAAACGCCGCGACACGGTTCGTCGTCAAGAATAGCACGCCGCGGAAATACTCCAGCGCTCGCAAGAAGACGGAAACGAGGCCGTTGCGCTTCAAGTCCCGCGTGCGCCGACGCTCGAGGTACACGTCCGCTTCGTCCAAAAGGACCAACGCGCCGAATCGCTCGCCTAACTCGAGGAAGTACGAGAGACGTCGCTCGACGGAGGAGGAGGACATTGATGTCGACAGGTCTCCCGAAGTGAGGGATAAGAGGGGCCGCCGGGCAAGTTCGGAAATACATTCTGCTGTGCAAGTCTTGCCTACACCTGGCGAGCCGTGCAGCAGAAAGATGCGGCCGAGGCCTTTGTTGCGGACGAAATCGGTGGGCCAGGGCGTCAAGGCTGAGGAGGAGGCGGTGGCGGGGGAGAGGATGCTTTCTTTGGCGGCGGAGTTCTCGGCGGCGGTGAAGGGGGAAGAGGATGGATAGGAGGAGGTAGAAGAGGGAGCGGCAAATCTACCAATGAGGCTCTTGACGGTTAACTTGATTGCCGGGTCAAGAACCAGATACTTGAATGCGTCGAGGTCAGGACGGACGGGACCGAGGCCGGAGAGGTGGATGTGTGCCCAGCGGCGCTCGGAGAGGATGAATGCCGGGACGGTGGGCGAGAGGACGTGCAGATATAGCGTGGAGTTATCGGGGAGGGAGTCGGTCTTGGGGTTGAGTTTGTCGAAGCTGACGAAGGGGGACGGGTCGCTTCTTCTTTGTCCCGGATTGCCGTGACCATTGGAGGAGGTGGAGGAGGAAGACTTGTTGCCGCCGCCGCCGCCGCTAGAACAAGTAGGACAAGCGCACTTGGACATCACCTGGGGTAGGACATCCACGTTCAGATTATCCCCGCGATGTCTCGGCCGGCGTATATGCGGCGCTATATCTCCGTTGCCGAACCGCTCCCAGCCTTCGCAGTCGACGATGACCCGGCCCGTCATCTTGTACCCCCTCCCGCTGCTCGCTCTGTCGCCGTTGGTCACTTGCCCGTCGTACTCCATGTATGAAGGCTGCTTAGCCAGCTCCCAGTACAGCCGACCAAGCTTGATGTTCTCGGCGGCGACCTTAGCGGCGTCCGTGACGAACCGCTCGGGGATGACAGAAAGGGAGTTAATCAGGCGCTCGCCGCGCCACGCGCTGATGGTGCAGCTCTTCATGCGCCGGCGCAACAGGCCGCGACTGTACTGGATGTTCCAGAACTCGAGGTAATACGAGTTATCACCCTCGCCGTTGCCCTGGGCATCGTAGGGCCCCGCGAGACGGACGAGACTGACGATGTAGGGAACCAGAGTGCCGTTGCGGTCGCGGTAGATGACGGTGCCGGGCTTCAGCAAAGTCCAGAAGTTGTCAAACGTGGCCATGGCACCGCGCGGGTCCTCCTGTCGAAGTCTCTCGGCCGCAAAACGTTCGGCGAAGGTTGCTCTGAGGAAAGACAAAAGCACGTCGATGTGCTTCGTCGTAGTGTCCGCGTACTCGGCGTCGTGGCACGAAGGCTGGTTGAGCTTGTACAGCTCGAGCTCCCTCCAGTGGTCAACGAGGACTTGGTAGGGGGCGCGGATGATGCCGTGCTCGGGAGAGAACTCGCGATAGTAGGAGACGACGGCAGACAAGGCGGCTTTGAGATGATCGGAGTGGATTACCATCTCGGTGCGGTCCTTGGCGTGAGGTTCTCTACTGCGACGGGTACGGGGCAGATTGTCGCTGCAGTCGCTGTCGGAGCCGGACCAGTATGGCTCGGGAGGAGGGTAGTGTGGCTCGTCGTAGTAGTCGGCGCCTTCGTAGCGGGCGTGGACGGTGGTTCTGATTTCGATGACTGGGGTAGGTTTAGATGTTTCCTCCTCAAGCCCAGTGTTGGAGGCCTTGGGATCTAGGGGCTTTGCGCTCTCCCGTGCTATTGTTTGTTAACACTTGTTCATGATAATGGGTTTCAAGGTGTGTGTAATACTTACTCTCCATAAGCCGTCCAGTACTGGAGCAAAACTGGATGCTGTAGAGGATGTCGGGCATCTCGTCGTCCGGAACCCGCTGATGCTTCACGGTCTTGAAGCCAACAGCCTCGAAGCTGTCGACCGAATCGGTTTCGTCGGCCTGCATTATGTTAGTATCGTACTTCTGCAAGGTTTGGGTAAAACCACAAAGACGTACATCCATCGGAGCGACTCTTCTTCGAACAATTCCGCTCATGTTGACTTCTTCTCTGGAAGGCAGGAAAAAGACAAAGGTAAGCTGAGTTGAAACTAGAGCAAAGAGGAAGACCTGTCAGGAAACGATGTTGATACCCCTCTTAAATAGGAATAAAGGAGGCTATACATCGACGTCAACACTGAGTAGGCTGTGAGTCCTCCTGTGCCACCAAGTTGCACAGCCTACCATAGTAGCTTTAATGCGGAGTTGGCTGACTGCAGATGTGAGTCGACAAATCCTGGGATCCAAATACCTCTGCTATTGGTTCCAGCTTGTGCCAGGTTAGTAGATGAGATCCCGTTTGTTAATGCTTGATATCGGATCTACACTTCTGCCTCGAGTTCTGCCTAAATGACTGTGCTCATCGGGCGTGTCTGTCTGGGAGGAAGTGACAACGAATGCATGTAAGTCGTGTAAGGTGGGTGCCTTAATTATGAAATCTGCCGAGACCGAAGAACGAATGGCAACCGTGAGATAGTCGTGCATTGTACTACTTTCCACGAGCGGAGTGATAGTTGGACCGTCTGATAGCTCAAGGATAGGGTACGTAGTCTAATAGAGTAGAAGAATGGCGGAATGGCCAATGTAAGGTATCGACTGCCGGTTGTGAAGTGATGCCGACCTAGGATGATGTCTCACTTCTCGATCTTGGTTTGCATGACCTGTTCATGAATCGTTTTGCGTGTTTAGTCGAAAAAAAGTCAAGATGCCAGAGAACGTACTCACATTATATTCCCGGTGGGATTTGCTTGTCTGTCACAGCCTGGTGTAGAAGTGATATGTTATACCTTACAGTTCTGAGGTTTGACTGCAGGCATCGCCATTGGTCCCTGGGTATCACCACAGCTACCCCAGAAACAATAACATGTTGCTTCACCATAAGTACCTCTTACTGACATTTTGAGTGTTATTTAAACCTTTGTAAAGCCACGGTCTTGGTTTAGCATATTTAGCAGGAGGTTATCCTCATGAAGCACGATGCTGGGCAGTTATAAAACTACACCCTTTGAGACATGGAAGGTCACAGCCCCTTTCTGGCATTCAAGAAGAGTTGTCCTATTCGCCAACAGAAGCCAAGGAACGCCCACGTCGAGGCTTGGTTGATATCACAGAGAGGGGTTAAAGCTTCCCGAAGGTAAGCTTCAGCTACCTTGAGCTACCCCAGTCACCTCGGACACTGATCGATCATATTAGTTGGCCAAAAGAGGCGGGCTTGGCAACGTTTGAAATGGTTTCTTTTATGTCTTCAGTTTCCATGATAGGCAACTTCGTGTACTGTTGTCTATCTTCAATGATAATGATTTCTTTCTTCTTTATAGGATAACCGACCAATTTCGTGGCCGTGGTGTGGACTCCACTGGAGGAGACGAAGCGGTGAGATCCAAAGACAACCGCTCCAGTTTGCTGCTAAGCGTCTTGCCCAGTCTCACCGTGTCCGGATTCTGATCAAGCCGGACGACATACGTAGGCCAATCCGACTGAACAGGTTGCTCCAGAGGAGCAGCATATATGTCCGTCTCGGCCTCGACGTTAGCAAACTTTTTGAGCAGTTGCACGTCCTCCGGTCTCATCGCACTTGCTAGTAGTCGTAAGACCGCACGGGCAACGTAGAGACTTTGGGCCTGTTCCCACATGCCCTTTGTTGCGAGAAGGGCCGTTGACCGGAGCGTCTCAACATGGGGCGCTGATGGGTTTTGGGCAATCGCATCAATCGTCATGTAGGCGAGAGCGCCGAGGAACTGCATCAAGAAACTGTCCAAGGCTTCGAACCCATGGCGGAGGTAGTAAATGCGGATGAGTGTTTCGAACAGAATGGTAGCATTTAGGTAAGCGTCGTGTGGCGTACAGGGCGGGATCGTCTTACCCGGCGGTATCCCGTTCCTCCATTCAGACGTGACTATGGGCCGTAGCATGTTGATGAGGATGAAGTAGAAGTGCATGTGCAGCTTCATCTGGTGAGGCGTCACAATCTTTCGCGGTGAAAGAGGTTCGGGGAGTTGGTGTAGCCAGTTAACCAGCCTGTTGTAGAATTCGAGGACCTGAGAGCTTGACATCTTCAATGGGAGACCCCCGTCCCGGAACGAGAGGAGGGAAAGGTCGTTCATGATGGTCCAAAGTTGAGCTTTCGCCTTGAACATGAATCCCAGATGTGTCGGGAACCGTGATTGACTTCCGGGGTATTTTACCCAGATCTCACCGTACCACTGCGGATTCTCAATAGGATCCGGTAGGGGCACCTGAGGCGGATGCCTCATTATAGGGGCCCTGAAGTAATGATATGAGTTTATACTGTTAGGGCTTGTTAGCAATCACGGCCGATAAAGTCTTTCGGACCTCGATGAGACATACCTCTGCCATGTAAAAACTATCCAGGCCGTAAACTCTCTGACATTCCGCATTTCGCGGTCCATTTCAGGCTGCGCAGCCCCAAAAAGATTGATCTCATGGGCCATGTCGATCGCGCGAAGGGAGTAGCGCCACCCGATCTTATCGGAACCGTTGAAAAGATAGAGAACGTTCAAAAGAAGACCGGCTTGTATGGTAGTTAGTCGCCGTTCCTCCCATTCCCTCAACCTTCGCTCTCCGTGTGGATCGTTTAGCATTGGTATAGGTCTTTCAAGTTCTGAGTCGATCTCAAAAAGCCTTTTGGCTTCTGCCAAGAACATGTAAACGATGTTTGCGGGATTCCAGTACTCTGCTCGACCATGGAGCCCCCGATGATGATACTGGGGAAATGGTCAGTAGTGAAGGTCGCTGGGGCCTGGAGATACGTACTGATCCGATGCAGAGAATTGTATTGACGAGGAGTCTGGAGCAAAATCGGTGGCGTCCGTTCGCCATGTCATCAAGAAAATAATCAAGATGAAGAAAGTGATTCCAGCCATAGTCGTACATGATGTAGTCATGGAGAAACTTCCGCATCAGGTTATCGTCGGTGCTCACTGAGGTCCACTGAGATGGCTGTAGTTTCTCCAAACGTGAATTTTCGACGGAGGCGGCGTGATATGGTTTATGATATGGATCGCTGTGTAAGTCAACGGCAGGGCCATGCGCCAAATAGGGGCTCATGCTTCGACTTGCGTTTGAGGGCGTAAAATAAGGTTGTTGCTGAGAGCCGGAAAGAAGTTGACATGCCAGCTGCTGGCGGTGCTCTACGCTCACGGCAGAGGGGCCGGGGCAGACCGCCGTAAGACGCAGGCATAAACTTCGGAATCCAGGTAGACGTTGTCGTGCCGCTGCAAGAAGGCAGGCATGCCAGGCAAGTAGGGAAACTCGTATCGATAGCCTGTATCGGGGGCCAAGGCAAGCTGAATGAGAGCATCGCCAAAGGTTATATGGCGCAGGATGGTGGCAGGATCGGCACCTCTCCGGATGCGCTGGAAGACCTCTCCGGCCTCCTTTTCGTCCTTGGTCTGGAGAATTTCAAAGACTTTCTCGGCAGCCGATTTTGAACTTTGGAGCTCATCATACTTGCGCTTAAGAGCTTGAGCATGAGTCTCGGCCACATTGGTGTCATACTCACAGTCAGTGCCGCGGTCATGACAGGCAGAGCATTTTGGACGCTCGCCATTGCACTGTACGAAAAGGGAAAGGTAAGCTAGTGACCAGTAGAAAGGTACACACAAACGTCCTGGATTTCAACGCACCTTGGACTTGCGCCTCCGACAGGCACCACATGCGGCAGTGGTTGCCTGTCTCTTGGACCGACCGGTAGGGACAGCGGACCGGGCCTGAGTCTTGGTAAGTGTGGTTCGGCCGGTAGTAGTACTGCTAGGTGAGGTAGAGGCCGATGATCTGGCGGGAGCTAGGGGCCGTGAAAGAGACTCTTCCGAACCGACTGGTAACAAACGGCGTAATGATGCCGAGTTGGTGAGAGCGGAAGTATGCTCGTCTGGTGAAGAGGAACCACCCTGTGCAGGTTCGGGTGTCCTGGTCATAGTCATTTTTTGTTGAGTTCCGGATCGGGATAACGAAGGATGTGGTGGAATGAGCGACTACTATAGAGAGAAGGACGGGCGAGACAGGAAGGGGGCGTAGGCAGCTGGGCGGGAAGAACACTTCATCATCAACGAATGTCGGTCGGGTCGGTGTCCGGGTCCGGTATAATCGGGTTTATGGTGAGTTTTAAGTATGAGTGGTTCGTGGCAGTGACTCGGGTGGTGAGGTGTGAAAGTGTGCTAATGTCAGGTTGATGATACCCAGAGGCCCTGAGGTCGCAGAAAGCTTAGGTAGCCTTCCTTGGCTCCTATTTGTCTTTTCCGGCGTCTTTTCCGGCCACGATGCGGTAGGATCCTACAGCGTCTAGCTGTTTAGAGAGCGTGCCTCATTGAGTGTGTGCTTCTAACAAAGCTGAGAGTAGGTAGGTAGAAGGATGAGGTGTAGGTGTAGCAGGTAAAAGTGGTATATCGAAAAGAAGTATATGGGAGAAAATTCCAACGGCGCAAACGATGCGCAGTTAGCATGGCCGATCGACATGGGGCAGGTAGGTAGTCTTGGAGGGCACGGATAGCACCGCGAGTCCGCGACCCCTAACAACCTAAAACTCACCCTTAAAATCCCATTTTCATGATGGCTTCGTCCCTCAAAACGGGGACGCGGATCCCTGACCTGGCTGGGCAATCATGACGGATGGAAGCTGAGTTCGGACTTTGCTCCGACTGCCGATGGGATTCGCCATCCTATGAGTGGTTGCTTGTCGGTGGTTGCATCTCCACGGCCATCTCCTGGATGAAAACTGGCGGCGATCCTGTCGTGCAACCGCTCCTCCATACTAGTGAAATTTCAAGAACAGCCAGCGATGCTGAGGTGGCGGAAGTGGAACGGGGGATCCTCCTCGGGCCCGGGGGATGGCATGGTTGGCAGGCTGGCAGGCTATGGCGGTAGAGGTACCTACTAGGCGGGTAGGCGAATACCCCGGAGGAGACCGGCGACACATAACGAACCTGAAGGCACAAAGCACAAGTCTGGGTAACAAGGGAAGGAACAAAATCACAAAACAGGAATCCCTACAAAGTTTATAGGGTTTGCCAAGAAAATACTATTACGTAGTTACAAGTCCCTCCCAGCAACATGATCGCGATGCTCACTTTCCTATCTGGAGTTCCATGTAATGTCGTCCTGACACCTGCACATACCGGTATCGTGCGCAATTACCACCCTGCATTGAAGATAAACCCCCAAGACAGGAGGGCCTATGAGAACCTGCATAATCCGTTGGCCATGCTGGCCCGCAACATGAGACATTCATGGACGAGTCGGCTGGCTGCCAGCAGAATCCATCCCATCCTTCCTTGGACCCAGCGAACCAGGTCCCCGAAATCTCGGAAACGTCTTTGGGTTGTCCAGACTACTCCCAACCGACCAGACTGGAGTGCTGGTGCAAACAAACATCCCAGAACGGCAAAGCCCAGAAAGGGTTGGTCGGCCGCGTCGTGCCGGTCCGACGGAATTGCGAAGGGTGTGACAACAAACTGTTAAAGATACTGGGTAGCCCCGCTGTCTTTCCACTAACAGCTGCCCAAACCCCACAATCTGTTGGGGTCCATTGGTCTTCCTGTCCCACACATCATTGGCCAACACAATTCAATGGATGGAATTCGACATTTCCCACCACGTCGCCCCGACAGGCAGGTACTGACTGTACCTTCGGCACCTACCGTCACCTCCAACTCCAAGTCCCGACAAATTTGCATCCGCTCCCTCATCCACTTCATGACGAAGAGCCATTGACCCATCCCGACATGGCAATGTTCAAGCCGACGACGGGAGTCTCTAGAAGGTATTTTCTATGCTTTGATGGCCCATTGACTTTTGTGAGATGCATCACAACTCGAAACAACAACCGCAAAGAGAGTATCGACCATCAACATGATTTGGGACATAAAACCCCAAAAATATGTACCTCTTCTCCAAAATGCACAGTCAAATAATATGGGGCCATCTCAACGCTTCCACTTCCCGTCACTCCCCATTCTGCCAGCCCGGGCGGACCCTGTTTTCCCGTGTTTCTCCCGTGACAGTGACTGGAGCAGTGACTCAATCGACCCTGCCACAAGTCCATCCCCAGGCCATGTCCGATCTCGCCCTGGGCCGTATAAAACAAACCACCAAGTAGTTCATCCTCGTCTCTTTCTCACTCATTGTCCTTGTTTTTCTCAACTCAACGTCACCCAAGATACCCCCAAGATACCCCGATTCTCCTTCACAAAAATGGCCCCTACCGTCCTCCACCTCCGCAGCGAGACCAAGCACCTCGAGCACCGGTCTGCGCTCACCCCCGCTACCACTGCCGAGCTCATCAAGGCCGGTTACATTGTCAACGTCGAGCGCTCCCCCGAGAGAATTTTCGACGATGAGGAGTTCGAGAAGGCTGGCGCCACCCTGGTGCCTGAGCACAGCTGGGTCGATGCTCCCAAGGAGCACATCATTGTTGGCTTGAAGGAGTTGGAAGAGAAGGACTTCCCTCTCAAGCACGTTCATGTTCAGTTCGCCCACTGCTGTAAGTTTCCCCCCAGTCCGGCACTCTTCTGGGTGCGTGGCCAGGAGAATCCTTGCTGACTCGAGATTTTAAAAACGAAACAGACAAGCACCAAGCCGGTTGGGAGAACGTTCTCGCCAGATTCCCCCGCGGCGGCGGCACGCTTCTTGATCTCGAGTTCTTGGTTGACGAGCACGGTCGCCGTGTGGCTGCTTTCGGCTTCCACGCCGGTTTCGCTGGTGCCGCTCTTGCCCTCGAGGTGTGGGCCTGGCAGCTCAACCACAGCGAGCCCTTCCCCGGTGTTGAGAGCTACCCCAACGAGGATGCTCTGATCGCCGACGTCCAGAAGGCTGTCAAGGAGGGTGTTGCCAAGGCTGGTCGTCTGCCCCGTGTTATTGTCATTGGTGCCCGTGGCCGTTGCGGCTCTGGTGCTGTCAGCGCTCTCCAGAAGGCTGGCATTCCCGACGAGAATATCCTCGACTGGGATATGGCCGAGACTGCCAAGGGCGGTCCTTTCAGTATGTCACTCGCACCTTTCAAGACTCATTGAGTAATGAAAACAAAACAAAAAGAAATACTAACAACCACCCCAGAGGAGATCACAGACAGCGATATCTTCGTCAACTGCATCTACCTCACCAGCAAGATTCCCAACTTCGGTATGTGTTCTTCCCCTTTCCCTTTCCCTTTCTTTCCCCCATCCCCAGTGGTGGTGGTGGTGGTGATTGGTTCACCAAGAGCCGGTGAACAAGGTTCCCCTGAGCCCTGGCCCGCCCAAAAATCCACAACCCATTGGGGTCCATGATCCATCCACATCCATCACGGCGAACAGTCAAAACTAACCAGCATCCCCTCCCTCCCAAACAGTGAACAAGGAGTCCCTCCAAGTCCCCGACCGCCAACTCTCGGTAGTCTGCGACGTCTCCGCCGACACCACCTCCCCCTTCACTCCCGTGCCCATTTACACGGTGGCCACGACCTTCGACAAGCCCACCGTTCCCGTCGACGGTCTTGCTTCGGGCCCCCCGCTCTCCGTCATCTCCATCGACCACCTCCCTTCGCTTCTGCCCCGCGAGGCTTCCGAGGCGTTCAGCCACGATCTCCTCCCCAGCTTGCTCACGCTTAACGACTGGCAGAACTCGCCGGTGTGGGCGCGGGCGAAGAAGCTTTTTGATGAGAAGGTTGCTACGCTTCCCGAGAGTGCACTTCAGAAGTAGAGTTAAGTGTCCCTGATGGTTTTTTGGGTGGGATGGTCGTGAGATTGGGAAATAACGGATAGAGAAAAAGCGGACAGAGAAGAAGATGTCGGAGGATGTGAAAAAGACATCAACCAATTGTATATGACAGAGAACTACAAAAGGAACAGCTCATGAAAATATGACGGACGAACAACGCAGATAGACAGATTGGTGTCGAGAAAGACACGACGAGAATAGATAGACTTGGTCTACTTACACTTTACTTGATCCCTTGACTTTCACACAACAGAACGTGATTATCCGATGTCCAGAGGATTTGAGTTGCGTTTACGAATGCAATGTAATGGATTT